GTGTCTGAGATGGGGGCAGTGGCTGCAGTCGACGGGGCTGGAGCCCCTGAGCGTGGGTTCCTTCTGGAAGGACAAGCTTCTCTCACATTTGATGTCATCTATCCACTTCGACAGCGCTAAGTACTATGAAAGAGAAGTCCTGGGAGGGGGCATGTTATGGGGAGACCTGATCTATTGTGGGGTGTCTGAGTGGATTCCCTGTGGAAGCGACGCCACAGCCTGATGGGAAGCTGCGGTCACCAGCCCTGGCTCTCAGCTCGTGGGCGCTGCTGTGGGTGGGTGCCCGTCCGCCCTCCTGCTTCCAAGCTGAACCTGAGATGCCACCAGCTAGGAAGAGAATATTCTGCCGGCTCCAGGATGGGAGCAGGGGCAGGCGTGACCCCCAGCTTCTGCAGAGCATGAACCTCAGAGGCACTGGGAGCACGCGACCCAGCCCACCGTCCGGCCCCGGGAAGGCACGAGCCGGCAAGCGCGGGCTTCCAGTACTGCCCCCGTGGCCCTGGCACGTATTTTTATGAGTGCAAAGAAGATGCAAAGGGGAGCGTCCGGACCCATGGCCACCACAGGAGCCCTGGTGCGGGATACAAACTTTTTTTTTGAGACCATGATAAAAATATGGAAATTTCACATTCACGTCTGAATTTAGGGGTTCCCTTGGAAAAACTGAATGATTTGGCAGCAGGCACCCCTCATTCTGGCAGGTCCCCCTCGCCCTCCGATGCCACGGGGGTTCTCCAGCTCAGCATAACCTCCCCCACCCCCTAGCGCCTCCCCCGCCCACTCCCTGCTTGGAACTGCAGGCTTTAGGGCAGCACCCCCATCTGGCCTCTGGCCTCTGGCCTCCTACTAGGCTAGTGGGCAAGAAGGGTGATTGACTTGGGGGGTTTGAATTTCTTTCCTAAATTCCAGGAGACCAGCAGTAGACGGAGCCTGGCTAAGCTGTCCAGAGCGCCGGCTACCGCCTGCTCAGCCTGGCCTGACTTGGCCTCATCTCGGCCAAGACTTGTCCTAAGTGGCCTCGATGCCAGCCTGGGGCACATGCAGCCTCTCTGGGGGAAGCAGGGAAGGCTTGGGTAGGACGGGCTCCTGCCAGGGAGCCCCCAGTGGAGCCCTGGGAACCCAGGCTTCCCCGGGACAGAACCGGACACAGCCACCAAGGTCCCCCACCGCCAGGCTGCAGGATCACGACAGGCAGGCAGGCAGCTCCCCGCCAGGGTGGCGCTGGCCTCCCGCCACACCACAAGAGGCTGAGATTCCCCTGAAACCCAGAGCTGCATTTATCTCTCACCGGAGACAGAGAAACAAACCAGCCTCCTCTGCCCAGGAGGCATTTCCAGAAATTTGGGCTCTGGCTTCTTGTTGACGAAATGCCAGATGATCCCGGCCTCTTTGTGGTGAGGGAGCCATTGAGCAATAGGTGTTTTGTTCTGTGGATGACAAGATTTTCGACATTGAAAAGCTGAGAGGATAAACACAAGAACCTTGACCGGCTCCCACCCCGAGCTGCGAGCCTGCTGACTCCGGTGCTTGGCAAATTTGTTCTTCCCGCCTTCCAAGCCACTCAGCCCCGCAAAGATCTCCTCGCTCCTGTCTTTGGGGCCACCTGGGCCCGGCAGGGCCCGGGCTCAGAAAGCTGCTTTAAGCAGAGGCCACGGCCTCTCCTGCCCCTGGGGCTGTTAGTGCACATAGGGGCTTTGTTTTTTATCTTCACATTTGATATACTAAATGCAACAGCAAAGACACCTTCAGTGCATTATCAGTGTCAACAGTTTATCTTTTGTCTTTCATTTATATCTGAGATTAAATAGCACCTTTCTGGACAATTCTGGTTGAACAGCCCGCCAGGCAGGGCATCTCACCATACGGCTCTTTCTTCTGACCACCACCCCCTGCACCGTCTTTGATGCTCCTCCCCCCGCCCCTTAACTTCTGACAACTCACTTCAGACCCCTGTTCTGCAGTGGGTGGGGTAGAAACCTTAGGCCAGGGAAGGTTGGGGTTAGGTCTGAGTTTGGGGGCATGGGTATCAGAGTAATAGGTTAGGGGGCAGGGGAAGAACAAACCCCCGGAGAGGATGAAGGCAGGGGAGGCTAGAGGCCAGAGGGAGACGGAGGGCTCCACTAAGCCAGCTGGAAAGGTAGGCCTGAGCTGCCAGGTGTCCAGGCTGATGTGTGGCTGCAGATCAGTAAACTCCCAGGAGGCCTGGCCACTGCCTGGCTCCACCCGTGAGCAGGAGCACAGTCTGGGGCCAGCCTGCGCCTGAGGCTGGGCACTTGGCACCTTGTGCCAGGGGCACATTTGTGAAACCCCTGCCAGGTCCTGCTGGGGTGGGGGCCAGGGAGACAAAACAATAACAACGAGGCAATAAGACTGGATGACAGTAAGGGGAAGAAGACATTTCCAAGGGAAGGACAAAGCCGGGGAAAATGAGAGGCGGGGAGGCAGCCGCCAGCAGAGAACAGCTAACGCCAGCGTGGGGAGCCTGAGGGCCTGGCAGAGGCCAGGCTGGGGAGGCCCTGCAGCGACCCAGCGGAAGAGTGAAGGCAGAGCAGGTGGTGGTCCCAAGGCTGGTTCCTCCGTCCTCAGCACCTAGGCCACGCTCCCTAGAGAGCAGGAAGACGCTCTTGGGAAGCAGCTGATCGGCCCCTAAGTGGCATTGACTAGGAGTGTCTCCTTGCTGAAGGCAGGAGAGGGGCCAGCCAGCCCCTTCTCTGGAATTTGCTAGCAGCCCGGGGACCCTGCCCCAAGCCACGTGGGTAAGGAGGGCCCTTGTCCTGCATGGCATGATGGTGGCTTTAGGGCGTGAATCACAGACAGTGCAGCCTGGCCCCTGGCTCAGGATTTCCTGGTGTTTCCTGCCTGGGCCAGCAGCCTGCTGTCGGGGGCACTGGCCCACCGCTCCCTGACGTCAACTGCCCTTCCAGTGAATGGATTTCCTTTTCCTTTTGGGAAGATATGGTATCTGTCATCAGTCCCACCGACCCTGTCAGCCTAAGCCTGGCACCTCCTGTTTGGGAAGGACCGGGGGAGACTAACAAGTGGTGGGGGCAGGGAGGGAACTCAGGGTGGGCTTCTGAGCTGCCAGGTCTCTGGGGACTGAGGCCTTCTTGTCCAGGACCAGCAGGTGAGAATGGAGTAACCCCAGCAGCAGTGGTCGCGTCACCCGAATGCCCACTCTCCAGACTAATTGGGGTGCTCCCAGGGGGATGTGGGTACCTACGTTTTTCTTCTTCCTCACTCACTACTCCAGATGAGACCTCCTGGCAGAAAGTGTTTGTGTTGTCATGATGTAAGCGCAACCCTTCAAAAATTACTCAATCTCTGAAAACCATTATTTAAAATTTTTGCAACCTCTTAACGCACGTGTCCTGGGGCAAAGTCGTGGTTGCCTCACTCTGCTCGTAGCTCTGACGGTTTCAAACTAGCCATGAAGGCCAGAGGCTCTGGGTGTGTGGTTCTGAAGGGGCCGGGCCATGGCCTGCTATGTATACTTATCACGCTATCAATTTCAACATGTGTCCCTACAATTTATTTTAGATGAGACATGTCCAGTGGGGTGGGACGCCGGTTGTTTTCCCCCTTGATACTTCACACAGCAAAGCAGCACATGCAAAATGAAGTGGCCAGAAGAGATGACCAGGATGCTCCCCAGGTCCACGGGGCACTTGGGGCTCAGCAGGACAGCGTGGCCATTCAGTAGCTACTGCCCTGCACCCCACCCCCTCCGGGGCCAGCCCTGTGCAAAAGTGGAACCTCGCATGGATGGTCTCATTCTAGTTACTGGAAGTTAGGAAATGTGATGATTCACCACTTCTGACTTAGAAGCACTGAATCAAATTTCGCCTGTATTTGTCAAGTTGTCGAAGCTTAAAGAAAAATTCAAAATTCATCTGAAATCCTCACTGGTTGTAAACACGTGGGACAATCGTCGAAGAGCGCCGAGTAACCCATGTTAACACTCGTGTGTGCTTACTCTGCCTGTGCACACGCTCTCTCTGTAATTTTTAACAACAGGAGATAAACTCTATCCCCTCTGTGGGAATGTGGACTTTACACTGAATGGCATTAAACACCCCCCCAGAACATCACTTTTTTAATGGATCGTGTCCTCCCCCCGGGTGGTGTGCCCTTGCTCGCTTGCCCGGCTCCCCCGCGGCGGAGTGTTTCCACACTTCTGATGTCCCGGCACCGGGGGATGAGCCGGGTTTCTGGAAGGGCGTGTGTCACGACTTCCTCGGGATTATTCAGCGGCCGCGAACCGGGCGGTTTGGCGTCCAGCGTGTCCACTTCCTCCCACCCTCACAACACCCCGGGGCCTGCGGGCCTGATGCCCTCCGGGGTGTCCGGCCTCAGTCCCCGGCGGGGCGCTGGGCTTGCAGGTTACGGGGTGCGGGTTTGGGGCACGGGCTACGGGAGGCGGGGGACAGTGGGACCCCTCCCCTGCCGCTCAGGACGTTGCAAAATTTCCTTTTCAAACTGGCCACAAGCCGCCTTGCAGCCCTGGGTGAGCTCCCTCAGCGCGCTCCCCCGCGGAGGGCCGCGTTCCCAGGGCGTGCGGCAGCCTGGGTATTTGGGGGTGCGGGGCTGCGCGGCGACGGGGCGGGGGGCTGCGCGGTGACGGGGGTCCGCTCGGTCGGCGGGGTTCCTCCGAGCCGGGGCCCGCCAGGGCTCCCCCACGCCTCGGGGGGCGCCCGCGCCGCCGAGTCCGCTGCGGGGGCGGGAGAGCCCGGCCCCCCACGAGGCTCCCCGCCACGCCCCCGGCCCCCCGCGCCGCCGCGAGCCGGGCCGGGGGTCCCCGCCACCCGGGCGTGCGCGCGCCCCCGCGGACCCCGAGGCCGCGGCCGGGCGCCCCGAGCGTGCGCGCCGCCGTGTCCGCGCGCCGCCGTGTCAATAAAGTTCTCGCGCGCCGCCGTGTCCGCGCGCCGCCGTGTCAATAAAGTTCTCGCGCGCCGCCGTGTCCGCGCGCCGCCGTGTCAATAAAGTTCTCGCGCGCCGGAAGCGGAAGCGGCGAGTCTCCATGGCGGCGGCGGCGGCGGCGGGGCCGGTGTTCTGGCGGCGGCTGCTGGGCCTCCTGCCGGGCCGCCCCGGCCTGGCCGCGCTCCTGGGGCGCCTGTCCGACCGCCTGGGCAGGAACCGGGACCGCCGGCGCAGGAGGTGAGCGAGCGGCCCCCGCGCCCGGCCCGCCCGGCCCGCTGCCCCGGGGCCGGCCGGCCGCGCCGGCGGGGGGCGGCGGCGCGAGTGCGGGCCGGGCGCGAGGGCCGGGCCGCCGGGGGCCCGGGCCCGTCCGCGTTCGGGGGGCCCCGCGTGCTCCCGGGCAGCGGGGCGCGAGGCCGCCGGGAGTCAGCCCCGGGGGCGCGCCGGCCCCCCGCGCCCGGGGCTGTGAGGCAACCCCGAGGCCGGCCCGCCCCACCCCCTCAGCCGGGAGGAGGCGGCGCTCGAACCCCCCGCCGGCTCCCCGGAGGGGCCGGGCTGAGAAGCGCTGAAGTGGGTTGTGCAAGCGGCGGCGGCGGCCTCAGAGTAAACACGGGCCGGGCGCTCGCCGGCCAGGAGGCCGCTGCTGGCGCGGGTGTTACCATGAAGGGCTTTCTCAAGTGCTTCCTTTCTAAAGAAGGAAACTTTGGCTGGTTTTCGTGGTAGTGGCTTGAGGCGCAGCTCTGGATGGCGGCGGCCTGTGGTGCGTTGGCCGTCATCCTAGGTGTCATCCTAGGTGTCATCCTAGGTGTCATTCGCGGCCCGCGTGAGCTGCCCTCGCGGCCCTCCTGCGGCATCTGGCCGCGGTGCCGAGTCCGGCGGTGGGCGGAGCCGCTTCAGGTCGCGTCAGGGTGGGAGATTTGCAGCCCGTGTTCAAGTGTGTTTAGGGGAACTTTGAAGTGCTAGAGTGAGGGCTGGACGGAACTCCTGGAAGCCTGCTGATCAGAAGAGCTCAGTTTCACAGGGGCGGGGGGAGGGCGGGAGGGAGGGGAAGCGCGGCCTCTCCACTTGCTGTAATCGGTGCTCGGCAGAGACCAGCTCCGGCCCGCGGTGGCCTGGGAAGTCAGGTGACTTCTGCATCCTGGCGTCAGAGCCCTGAGAAATTCGGTTAAAAGTTTCAAAAAAATGTTCTCAGAGATGAGATGTTTAGGTGGATTCGTCATTTCCCTTGATGTGTTTAAACGGCACGAAAAACACTTCCTTATTAATCATTGTTTAGCAGTAGAATTAATTACTGAAGGATGTTGAGGCAATCTGCACAAATCCTCAAACAAAAACATCTCTCGGGCGCTTTGGGGGCTGGGGCAGCGGGCACCGCAGCAGTGGGGGTGGGCTAGATGGACTTCGCAGTGTGCGTGCTGTGAAGAGGGTCAGTGAGGCTCGCGCTCTTTCTCTCTTTCAAGATTTGTGTATTTATGCATACAAGAGCTGGGGTGCAGGCCAGAGGTGGGGGCGGAGGGGGGTGAGAGGACTCACCAGAGACAGAGTGGGGAGCAAAACAGGCGGATCTACTGAAATCCACTGCTGAGGGGAGCAGCGGGGAGACAGGTGAGGTCTGCTGTGTCCTGTGGGTTGAACCCGTGCTGCAGAGGCCGGGACAGCTTCATAGTGCTGAGGCTTGACCGCTTTTGCTACCAGGGAGGCCCCATGGCTCCTTATTTCGTCATTAGGCTGAGAGAGTTGTTTTCTCTGAGTCAACCGTTAAGTCAGAAACTCAGGTAAATCGGACACAGACATCAGACGTTTGTGTTTTGTCGTCCTTGGAAATAATGTGTCTGCTGGGACCCAGGAGGAGAGCGTGGGCCGCCTCTGTTACCGAACGCCAGCCTCAGTTTCCCTCAGCTGATAAAGGAAACAGAGTTTGAGGAAAAGGAAAGTGGTTTAATTGTCGTCGCATGAGGAGGGCCGCAGGCTCATGTCTGAAAGGCAGCCGTCCTGCTCTTGGGCAGAGGGCAGGGTGTTTATACAAAAGGGAAGAAAGTGCAGATGGGCGAGGGTCTCCCCAGGGGAGCGGGAGGGGTCGGGCTCCAGCTTGTTTCTCTTCATAGCTGGTGTTTAGCTTTCTCTTCCTTGGAATGCAGGATGCTCCTCTGGGAGACCGGCAGTAAAGATAAACCTGTCAAACAAGGGGGAAATTGCAGCCTGTCAGGAAAGAGGAGAAAGACACATTTGTCAATGCCTCTCTAAGAGACCAGTCATTCGTAACTCACCTCCACCCGGCAGGTGGGTTTCTGGCCCTTGCCTTGCCTTACTGGGCTCGCAGTCATTCTTTGGCCTTCAGGTCGCTCTTGGCTGCTGACTGCTCACGTCCGTCTCTTCTCCATTGTTCAGTCTCCCAAGTCCTCCTTCCCTTAATGATGTGGTTTCTTGTAACTCGGATCATTGATTCATTGATAACAGTGCTGTGTAGTCATGAACTTAAATTAGTGTGCCTCTGGCTTGCCGCTGACTCACCTGATGGAGTGGTGGGGAGTCCACATGCCTAGCTCAGGCAGCGGTGGGAGGGGACCATTCTTTTCCTGCAGTGGTTTCCTTTTAGGTGTAGAAACAGCCATAGCGGGCCTCCCTGGTGGCGCAAAGGGTTAAGCGTCAGCACACTGAAGCAATCCGCACCTACTGCAGCACGAGTTCGATCCCCGGCTACCCACATGGCGCAGCAGACCTCTCCTGTCTCCCCGCCGCTCCCCTCAGCAGTGTATTTCAGTCAGTCTGCCTGTTCTGATCCCCACTCTGTCTCTGGTGAGTCCTCTCACCCCCACACACACACACACCTCTGGCCTGTACCCCAGCTCTTGTATGCATAAATAAATAAATCTTTTTTTAAAAAAAGAACCGTAGTGACAGAGAACGCCATCCAGCATCTAAATGGTGATCTAGAAATACTGCTGCTTGCTGTCCTGCGGCGTCTGCCTCCTCTTCATGGGCTGCTGGCTCTTTCTCTAATCAACGTGCATGTGTGGGGCACGTTGTGCTGTGCTTGGTGCCCAGGAAGAGACACGCCCTCACCTTCATGAAGCTCAGACCCATAAACCAGCAGTTCTAGTGAAGTAAGGTAGGGGCCTAGGCAGCACCATGGGGCACCCCTGGAGGTCACACCAGGCGTCCTGGGGTGGTGATCTGGGGCCTGTGCTTTGGAGGGGGGTGTAGGAGTCAGCTAGGTGCAGAAGGGGGCCGGTGGCCTAAAAGCACGGCTGAGGGTTGTAGGCCGAGGACTGTAGCAGAAGGCGGTTCTGAGGTCCCCCAGGCACTCAAGCCCTTGCCCGGAGCTGGCTGGGGGCGGGGGAGGGAGGAGCTAGGGGCAAGCTAGTCTTCCAGCTGGAGACCCAGGGAGCCAGGCCTTGCGATTCCACATACAGTGTCTTGGGCTCTGGTCTTGGCTTGAACTGGTGGTGCTGATATGACGTCAGGGATAGTGGGGTGGGTAGGGGATGGTTGGAGGAGAGTTTGTTTTGATGGGGGTTGCTGGGGGGTGGTGATGCGCCTGCTGTGGCTGACCTCTTGGGTTGTGGCACACACGTCACTAGAGCAGGGAGTAAGCAGGGGGATGATGGTGGGGGAGTCGGGCCTGTGCGTGGGAGTTGGCGGCCCGTGGAGAGCTGAGCAGCGGTGGATGGGCCGCGCCCCCAGGTGCAGGGAGTGGACCTGTCTGGGCCGGGGCCTGGCCATGTGTGTGCCACGGTGTCCCAGTCTTCAGCTTGGGGCGTGTCAAGAAATGCTTTTTCTCTGCCCCCGTTTTTGTTTTTAATTATTTTCAGTTTGTGCTGATGTGCATTAAAGTCTTTGTTTATGCCCTCCTGTCAGCCGGCAGGGGCTTCTACCAAAGCCCGCAGTGACTTTGAACTCCGTGCTGGTGCTGGGACCCGGGTCCTGACCCAGGAGAGCGCAGCCGAGCCCTGTCTGGGTCTCTGGGGCAGCTGGTGGGAAGTGAAGACCTTGGACCCGAGCCCAGTTCCCCGCGTGCCTCAGAACCAAGGTCGCGGGGGACGACAGCGGCGGGCTGCGTGGACTCTGGCCTCCCCAAGTCAGGATCGCCCCAGGCCCCGCACGTCGCTGCGGGCTAGGCGGCCGGTCGGCTGGTGGGTGGGTTGTGTGCTGTCCCCTGGCAGAGCCGGCCCGGCTTAGCCGGCTCATGGTGACGCCTCTTGGCAACGTGTGATTCCAAGTGTCCGCGTCGATTCCGGCTGCTGGGCGTCGGGCTGGGGCCTCTGGATCGCAGGACGGGGAGTGGTGCTCGGGCCTGGAGGTGCCGGCGGAGCCTGTGGGTCCTTCTGTCTTTTTGGGCTCCGGTCCTTCCACGCTGCTGCCGTCCTCGGGCTGGCATGAGGCGAGCCCCCTGGCTGGCGGGGCGGGGTGGGGGGCGGGCCGGGGCCGAGGGCTGCAGCCACCTCCGGGAACTGACGCTCGTCCGTCCCCCCCCCCCCCCAGCTCCGCTCCCCGTTAGTCAGGGCGCGCCCCGCAGCTGCAGGAAACGCGGCCCCTGCAAGTCGCCGCGAGTCCTTCCCAGGAAGTGTTGTGACTGTTCCTCGGCTTCACGTTTCTACGCTGAAATGCGCGTGGGGCGGCGCCGAAGGGGTTTTCTTGCACCGTAGTTCTGAAAACCATGCAGCGAGCGAGCGCGGTTTCTTCTAAAACCTTCTGCCGTCATTCTGCACACGTTGGTGGGCTCCAGGCCACAGCGCGTGTCCCGCGAATCTCACTGCCCGGTTCCAGGAGCCCCGGGACCCTGCGCCCTGGTTCCGGGCCCGCGGGGCGGGAGGCCCCCCCGTGCATCCCGTGGGGCTCGCGGTCAGGCCCGGGCCTGGCGGGTTGTGGGTGCTGGAGGCGCCCTCAGCATTGCTGGATCCCTCCTTGGGAGCCACGCGTGCGCTGGTGTGGGGAGGCCCCAAGAAACTGGCCCTCGGTGACGAGTGTCACAAGTGCCGGCAGCCCTGTGTCCCGTGAGCAGGTGGGGAGGTGGAGGGCCGCGGAGGTGCCCGCCTCTGCTGCCTCCCCCCCGGGGCGCCCCAGCCCCGTGTGGGCAGCGGGCAGGGGAGCACAGCTTCATCGTGGCAGGTGGATGGCATCTGCCCCCCACACGTACCCCCTTCTCCTGTGTTCCTGCTGCCTTTTAAGTCTGCGCCGCCGCAGCCTCTCGCAGCCGCCTGCTCGCCGGGTCTCCGAGCCCCGTTCCCACGCTCAGGCTGGCAGGGCTGGCTCCGGCCCACCGGCCCGCTGGTCCCCGCCCAGGGTGCAGGAGCTCGGGGACCAGCACGGCAGAGCCCGCTCTCCTCAGTCACACGTGCGGTCCCCTTAGAGACGGTGGGAAGACGCTCCCCTCCCCTGCCCGCTGCACCCCACTCCATACTCACTGCTCGTCCGGTCACCCCGCTCTCTGTGGCGGGACGGGCCCCCGGGCGGGCGTCCTCAGTGTTCATGCCCAGCCCACTCCCCGGTACAGGGAGTTGGCTGCCGGCTCCGCTGGGTGCCCCTCCCACTTGCCTCTGGAGTCGCCGGCTGAGGACGGCCACTTGTCGCGGCCCCTGCCAGCGGCGAGGTCTGCCCCCAGGGGCTGTGCTTGCTGGGGTCCCGGGTGCCCTGCTCTGGCCTGAGTCTCCCCTCCACCTCCCCGACGGGGCCGGAGGCGGCCGCCATGGCCTGCGCCCCTCGCTCGAGATGGCGCTGACCCAGAGCCCAGGGCCGAGGGGGGTTTAGTTTCCTGGGCGGTGGGGACCCCCCCACCGCCTGCCTCCACGGGTCTGGGGCCTGCTTGCCAGCCAGCGCGTGCATCTCAGGGGCCCTCCCGGAGGAGGTGGAGGAGGAGGAGGGCAGCTGCGTGCAGGGGTCACCCCGGGGCTGGGCACAGGCCGCTGCTGGCCCGGGGAGAGAGCTTTCCGGGAGGAGTCCCAGGCCTTTGGGGTGGGAAGCGGGAACTCCCTCCCCTGGGGTTCCGCCTGCAGGGAGAGGGGAAGAATGGCGCCCTGAGCAGGCTCCCCGGAAGCACGGCGGGAGCCCCCGGCGTGAGGTCACGCGTGGCCAGCCGTGCTGTCGCATGGGGCCGCGTGGGGCGCTTGTTCCCAGGCCCCACAGAGACGCGGCCGCCTGGGGCTCGGGCTCCTTCCCCAGGATCCCCGAGACCTAACTGGCTCCCTGGCGCCTTCCCCTCCGACAGAAGCAGCCCTGTCAGGACACAGACGGAGCAGGAAAGCCCGCGCCAAGACTTGGACCGAGCCCCGGCGGACCGTTCCCAGGGAGAGCTGCCCGGCGGGGATGGGGCCCGCCCAGGTGCCCCTCTCCCGGGAGCGCGGGGTGACGGGGGCCCCGCCCCCGAGACCGCCCTGGGCTTCGTGGGTGCTTCTGCTTTTGGCATCTTCTCCCCTCCCTGCTGGACCCCCGCCCCCCTTGGCCTGAGTCCTGCCCGGGTCGGAGACGGAACAGGCGGGCCAGGCCACCCCTGTTCCCAGAGGCGCGTGCTCCTTCTCTCGCCCTCGTCACCGCGCCCGGCCCCCTCTCGGGTGCTGTTCTCCGCGGCTGTGGGGCGTCCCGGGGCACCTGGACCGGGCCTGGCTCTTCCTGTTCCCTCCGCAGCGCGTCGTGGGTGCCCACGCCGTGGCGGGGATGGAGGCCTGGCGGGCTTGCCCTCTGCTGGGCGCCGTGTGCCAGGGAGGCGTTTCCTCACGCGCCTTCCGGGAGCTGACGTGAGCCTCGGCCTGTCGGTGGCGCGGGGGGCCCGGTTCTTTCTCCTGAGGCCTGGGGGGGAGCTGGGGGCGGAGAGAGCTCGCCGCTGCGTGCTCGGGCTGCCACCTCACCCCGGCCGCGCCTGGTCGCGAGCAGCCGGCTTCAGGCCCCCGTGGGGCTGCGGCTTGACGGGCTTCGTGTGACTCCCCGTCCTTGGCACGGCAGCGGCGTCCCTGTCCTCCGGGAGGCCGGCGTGAGCGCGGCAGGCGTGCGCCTCCGGCTGGGGGGCGAGGCGGCACCCTCTCCTTTCCACACGGGGCCTCCCGTCAGCCGCAGCTGGGGACCCGGAAGTCACAGGAACGCCGCCCACGGGTGCCAGGGAGGGAGACCCCACCTCGGGTGGCCGGCAGCTTCCCACCTGCCCTGGGGCGCCCGAGGCGAGTCCCTGACCTTCCAGGACCCAGAGCCGGTCCCTCCGCCCTTGACTCGGGTCGGGGTCGTGCTGCCCGCGGGCTTGCCGGAAGCGCAGCCGGGCTGCCTGGCGCGGGAGGACGCCTAGAGCCCGGGAGGATCCGCACGTGTCGTGGGCCAGCTGATGAGGTCATCTTCCTGGCTGTGGCCCTCAGGCCCTGGGGTGTCTAAGTGCCCTCCCCGGAGTCCCGATCAGGCGGTGCTAGTCTGTCATGCACTGAAGAGGGGTTCCTGCTGCTCTTTGCTGGAGTTGGGGGTGCAGTTGCTGGGCCGCCGTGGGTGGCTGTGTGGAGTGACCTGAGGGGGTGTCCAGTGGCGCAGGGGTGGGCCTGGTCACACCAGCACCTCCTGGTGCTGATGCGGTTCCCTGCTCCGGCTTTACTCTCTGTATCACAGCATTAGAGAATGTTTTATTTTTCTGGAAACTTCCCTGTATATCTCATCAGGCACATTGTGATGGTCATGAGACTTACACGCGGCTTGCCCTCTTCCTAACACTCTTAGGTGGCTGTCGGCGGGCGCTGTTGGGGTGCAGCACCTGGCACGGCAGCAGTGATGGTGAGTGGCTGCAGCTGCTCCCCACATGCTGTTTGGAACAGATCCAGGGTCAGGGTCACCGCAGGCCTTAGCATGTCTCACGTTGCTCAGCTAGTAGTGCTGAGGGAAAACCCGTCTGCAGGGTTTGACTTGGACTTACTGAACATGGTCTTGAATCTGAAATTGGCCCCCCCGAAACCCTCCTGTTCCCCAGGAGCCGAGAGAGCCCTCTGAGGGAATGTTGAGAAGCATAACCCTGTGTGTCTTTGTGTCTCTGACCAGGTCACCATGGCTGCTGTTGGCGCCCCTGCTGTCCCCCACGGTCCCCCAGGTCACCTCCCCACCTTGCTGCCTGTGCCCCGAGGGCATGCACCGGTTCCAGTGGATCCGAAACCTGGTTCCGGAGTTTGGGGTGTCCAGTTCACACGTGAGGGTGCTTTCTTCTCCTGCAGAGTTTTTTGAGCTCATGAAGGTAAGTCATGTCAAACGGGGAGGAGCGGGTGTTGGGGTTAGAGGGTTGGAGGCATAGGACTGGGCAAGTCCTGGGCAGAGGTGCCTGCTGTTCTGGAAGCTTTGATGACTGTTCCCCTCACCCCCGCCGCTATGGCTGGTGCACTGTCAGGAGCTGCATGCTGTCGTCACCAGGACAGAACGGCAGGGACGCGGCGGGTACTAGATTTTCTTCTTCTTTTTTTTTTTTAAGATTTATTTATTATTTATGCATACAGGAGCTTGGGTATAGGCCAGAGATGCGGGGGTGAGAGGATTCACCAGAGACAGAGTGGGGAGCAGAGCAGGCAGATCCACTGAAATCCACTGCTGAGGGGAGCTGTGGGGAGACAGGAGAGGTCTGCTGCGCCATGGGGGTTGCTTCCTGGCCGGCCGGGGATCGAACTCGTGCTGCAGAGGCTGCGGACAGCTTCATAGGTGACATCTTAACCCTTGCGTCACCAGGGAGGCCCTAGATTTTTTTTTTTTTTTTTTTTTTTTTTTTGTGGGACCCTCGCTGGTGGCCAGGGATCGAGCTGGCGCTGCAGATCGAGCTGCAGCCTCACAACCCAGCGCTCAACCACTGCGCCACCAGGGGAGGCCCCTAGATTTTCTTTTTGAGGCAGGTTGACGGCTGTGGTGTTGAAGATGTGGTTGCTTGGAGGGAGGTCAGGGAGGGCATGCCCTGCTGAGGATGTCCAGAAGGATGGAGCTTGCTCTGGTCAGGGCATGTCGGCTCCCCGCCTGGGCACCGCTCCAGAACACGCGAGAGTCGTCTCGGTAGACGTCACACCGAGGAAGGGCAGACCCCGCGGCCACGGGGTGGCGAGAGCACTCCCCACCGCAGGGGCCCGGGCAGCGGGTTCTCGGCCTCGTAGTCCTGAGGCACATCCTCCAAGCAGAGATGTGTTGGGGCTGCAGTTTTCAACATGTGGCCCAGGCGTTGGCCAGGTGTTCGTGCCGGGTCTGGTTGCTCCAGGCCAGCTGCTAATTGGGGTGAAGTCATTCGGTGCTAACTAACCTTTATTAGCACCAACTCCCTGGGTTCACGTGAGGGCGGCAGAGCTGGGGGGGGCCGGGCTGCGCAGTGGTGGCTTCTCTGCTGCGGCTCTCCTGACTGGGGTTTGCACCTCTGCTCTGTGGGTCCACGCTCGGCCTAAGTTCTGGCTGGCGCGTTCCAGATGCGATCCTGGAGCGTGTGACTGTGTGTGCCCCTCACTCCCACGTCCCGCGCCGCTGTCTGGCCCCCGTGTCCTTGTCTGGGGGTTATTGACGCTCCCGCCGGGTGCTCTCCGCCTGGCGCACACGGTGTTGGGAGGAGGCTGAGTGTGTGCAGGCTTCCCAGCTGTGCAGACCCCCGCCCTGGAAGGGCGGCTCTTGGAAGGCCAGGGAGAAGCCCCGCCCCCTCTCCTTCTCTCCTGAGCCCACACTGGGAGGTTTGCCAGTCCCGCCGAAGGGCTGTGTTCTCCCTGAGGAGGGCCGTGCTGGCTTCTGCCTCGTGCCCGGGCTGCCGTGCGCTGAGGCCACACCAGGGGCGGTGGACAGTCCCTGCCCCCTCAGCAAGCCCCTTCGCTGCTTGCTTTTGTTTCTTCACAGTCCCCTGCCCCACGAGCATCTACCGTGGTCAGTCATGACAAGGCAGGAAAGAGCTCGGGAAATTCCTCTGTTTCTTTCTCGCTTAGAAGCCTCTCCCCAGTGGTGTGGCGTGTCCAGGAGTCTGTCGTGCGTGCCTCCCTCTCCCTGTGTCCTGCTAGAACTTCACCTTCTCTCTGCCCTGGCCCCTCCCCTGGGTGGGCCACTTAGGCGGACCTGCAGAAGGGGTCAGCGGCCAGGGTTGGAGAGGCCCGGGGAGGCATCATCTGCCGCGTGTCCCCAGCCTGCCTGTCTGCATTCAGCAGCAGCCCCGCTGAGACTGAGACTCACGCCGCCCACCCCGCCCCCTCTCTGCCGTCAGGGACAGCCTTGGCAGCGGGGACTGTGTTCTGGAGCCCCGCATCTGCACACGTCAGGGTGCGTTCTGCTCCTGGGGTGCGCGCGGCGGCCTTCAGGCACTGGATGTGGCCCACACTTGCTCCTCAGCTGCTCTGTCGGGCCCTGTGGTCTGGCAGCTCCTGCTTTGCTTTTATTTTAGGCTGAGTATCTCAGAACCGTGGGTCCTTATTCGTAGGTTACCGTGCACCTTTTGGGCCTTAAATATGAATTGGTGGAGATGTAGGAGTGCCTTGTACCTAATTTGTTGGTGAACTGGAACATGATTGTGAATTTTGAATTGTTCCCTCTTTCAGGGCCAGATAAGAGTAGCCAAGAGGCGGGTTGTGATGGCCTCCCTCTACCTGGGGACAGGTCCTTTGGAACAAGAACTGGTAAGGTTTGTCTGAATGACAGCTGTGAACAACTCCCCACCCCCACCCTACTGCCCCCTCCCCACGCTCAGTGCCCTGGAGCCGCCTGGGGGGTCTGCCCTTGACTTCTGGCCCTGGTGGGGCCTGCCTGTCAGACAGTGAGAGGCACAGCTCAGAGGGCCGGTGAGACCAGGGGGGACAGTGCAGGGAGGTCTTATCCTGGCCTCGACCTTGCTGGGCCTCGGCTTTGCCTCTGTGCCGGTCTAGGCTTGGGCACATGGCCAGGGTGGTGTCTCCGCGGCCTATGAGCTGAAGATGGTTTTGCATTTTCAAATGATTGGGAAAAACCGGAAGAAGAACATATATGACACATAACGAGCATGGAAGATTCAGATCCATGCGTGCACAGCTTCGCTGGCCAGTGCGCTCGCTCACGTCTTATCTGCGGCTGCGTCTCACCCTGGTGGGGCAGTGATGGCAGAGACCATCACCCGCAAGGCCCCACACAAGCATGGCCTGTCTCTGGACGGATAAGGTTTTCTGACCTGGAGTTGGGCCGGGCTGAGGGCTGGTGCCCGATGCCAGGTTGGCAGGCAGCCTTGCTCCAGCCGAACTGGCTGTCACGCCATGCTTGTCACAGTGAGCCAGCAGGGTAGGGAGGGGCAGCAAGGCCAGGTTGTATCTGGTGGAGGCAGAGTCTGCAGCTGAGCTGCACTGAGTCTGTGCATGAGACCCCTGAGGGGCTCTCTGCTCTGAGCTAGGGAGACGCCTGTGGCCCGGGGAAAGTGTTGCTTCTCGGTTCTTCCTTGTTTACACATGCGCAGGGGGTTGGCATGAGAGGCGGGGAAGGTGGTCTCCATGACATGCCCTCACTGCGAGCACGGTGCTCTTGGCTCTTCCTGCCCAGACGCTGGCCGACAGCAGCTGTGTCTTGGGCTCACACACTCCCCTGCGTTTGCAGTGCTCTGCGTGCGGGGGCTGCCGGCGGGGCCAGTGAGGCTCAGCTGTGGAGGTGCCTGTGGGCGCTGGTGTCTGGCGAGGTCCAGGCTGAGCTGTGGCCTCCCCCCGGCTGGTGACCGCGTGCCCTGGGCCTGAGCACCAAGGGCCCATGTGTGCAGAGATTGGTGCATTGGCTGACAAGGCGACCCCCCCCTTTTTTTTTTTAGTACGTAATGAACTTTTTGGAACTTAACTTCTGTTCTTTTGGCGTTTTCTTGAAAGGTGGATTGCCTGGAAAGCACTCTGGAAAAGTCACTCCAAGCCAAATTCCCTTCAGACCTCAAGGTCTCCATTCTCTTGGACTTTACACGGGGCTCAAGAGGTAGGTCAGAGCCCCTCACCCCACCCCCGAGCTTCGGCATCACTGTCGGTCCCCCACCTTCTCAGCCCGGGCAATACCCAGGCCCCTCGACAGCCCAAGTTGGGCCTCCTCCTGCAGCAAGTGACTGAGGGTGGAGTGAAAACAACTGAGGCCAGAAGGAGAGCATGTCCACTCCCGCGTCTGCCCTGCGTCTCAAGGGCCTGCTCTGGGGTTCAGCTGCGTCATGGGCACCCACCTCCCCACGCTGCCCCACTCCAGTGGTGCATGGTGACCTCTGGCAGCCCCAGGCTGGTCTTGCCATGGCACCTTGTCCATCGAAGAGTGTTGCTTTCCTGCTCTTCAGAGCGCCCCGCCCCGGGCATGTGCCAGGCAGGACTCCCATGTGCTCATCATCCCAGCGCAGGCCTGTGCACTCTGACGCTGCAGTGAGGGCCGAGGGGGGGCGTCATCCCCTGGAGTTGAACTGCTGAGGGGGTGAGGGAGCAGTACCCCAGGAGGAGGGGGAATGGGTGCCGGTGGCAAAAGCAGCGGTGTCTCCTGCCCAGACCGCCCGGCTCCGTGGCCGGTGTCTGGAGTGGGGCTGCGCTGAGCACCTTGCAGAAATGGCAGCCGGGGCCCGGCCTGGGTGGACGGGCCCCGCAGGGAGCAGCCTGGGTGCTTTTGCCGGCGTGACTCACCGTGCTTTCCGCTCGCCCCGCGCCCAGGGAGGAAGAACTCCCGCACGATGCTGCTCCCGCTCCTGCGGCGGTTCCCGGAGCGGGTCCGCGTCTCCCTCTTCCACACGCCCCACCTCCGGGGGCTTCTCCGCCTCCTGATCCCCGAGCGCTTCAACGAGACCATCGGCCTCCAGCACATCAAAGTGTACCTCTTTGACAACAGCGTCATCTTGAGCGGGTGGGTGTCCTGCGCTCCCTGCCTGGGCTGGGGCCGGGCTGCCCGTCCGTCTCCTTACCTGAGCCGCCCTGCTCCGGCCTGCCTTTGCTCCGGTGGCTTCGCTCCCCCACATCTGTGGCGCGCGTGTGCTGCGGAAGCTGGAAGCCCTCAAAGGGTGGTGCAAGTAGCGAGGGTTTGCTGAACACCTGCTGTGTGCTACCACCCTGCGCCCTGTGCGCGCTCTCGTTTGGTTCTCACAGCGACCCGTGCGGCGGCTTCCTCGCCTGAGACCCGAGAGGCAGAGACCGAGAGAGAGAAGGGCTTTGTCTGGGCCCCTTTGGTTCTCCCCCCAGGCCTGGTGACTGTCCGGGCCATCGTTGGCCTCGTGAGCGTCAGCGAGGCTGTCCACTCTGTGAGGGGCCGGGCTCTGCTGCTCACCGTCCATGTCCCCCGGTGCCACTCTGGCCCATCCCTGGGGACTGTCATGCCCGGGGTGGTTTGTAAGTTGGCCGTTGCTCTGGCTCCTGCTCCATTGTGGTCCTGTCCTGCTCCTTCTGTGTGGCCCGCGCCCCGCCACGGCCCTGCTGCCGCGCTCGGCCTGAGTCCCCTGCTTCTTTCCCTGCAGTGCGAACCTGAGCGACTCCTACTTCACCAACCGCCAGGACCGCTACGTGTTCTTGCAGGACTGCCCGGAGATCGCCGACTTCTTCACGGAGCTGGTGGACGCGGTGGGGGACGTGTCCCTGCAGCTGCAGGGGGACGACACGGTGCAGGTGGTGGAGGGCATGGTGCATCCTTACAAAGGTACGGCCCCGGGCCCTGCCGCCCTCGAGCCTGTGGGCGGTGGGGTGAGGGCCCCGAGAGCACGCCGCGGCTGGCCTTGCAGGCTTGGCAGACGCCGGTGGCAGAGCTGGCTCTGCTCTTGTTTCTGAAGCCAGACAGGCCTGACTTGTCGGACTGCTGTCAGCTCTTCCGGCAGGTGGGGGGGCGGGCTTTGGTCTCAGTGCTAAGGGTGGGTCTGGGACCGGCCTTCACATCCAGGAGGCCACTTGCTGACTGGCTGTGCTTGATGGGGTCCCGGCTCGTACTCCCCCTCAGCCTAAGGCTCTGTGGCTCTCAGCCCCTTGAGGTCTGTGGCCTCCCGCCTGGAAAACGAAACGGGAGAGGCCTCGGCTCTGCTCGCTGGAAACAGGCAACTCCTGGCAGCTGGTATTCTGGGGGCACTTGCATTCCTGGGATGCCTGTGGCTGTGGCCTTTAGGAAGGGCTGCTGCTGAATCTGCAACAGTGTGAGCATGTGGGGGCAGGGGCAAACCCGCGTTCTCTGAGGAGAGGCTCCGAGGTGTGTGACCTGACAGAGCGTCTGAGGAGTGCGCCCATGGGAGCCTGGACCCTGGGCCGGGGTGCTGAGGGCGCCAGGGTCGCACGGCCAGGGTGCAGACTGTGCCCGCCCTGCCCGCCGCCAGCCCGCCCACTCCCTGGTTACTGGTGTAATTTGGATTCCATCAAGATATTTGTGGATGTCTCTGCCCGGGCCTGCAGAGAGGGGAGAGAACCTGAGCGGGCAGGGGTGAGGACCACCCAGCCCATGCAGATGGGGGCACCCACCATCCAGAATACCCTCCTTCTCCTGCACCACCTTCAGAGGCGCTGGGGTCCCTGAGGCGGACCCCAGCACAGGCCACCCCTTCTCGACCTGTAGCCAGCCCAGCCCCCGCAGGCGCTGTGCAAGGGCCCTCCCGCTCGGACGCCGCGGGCCCGTCATCCTCCCGTTTCCCTTCCGGCCTCTCAGCCCAGCCAGCGCAGTTCCAGAAAACCAGCTTGTGACGGTGCTGATGCTCTCTGTTATTTTGTTGTTTTTCTGCCCTTAGACTATGTTTTTGGTTTTATTGTAGCCCCCCCACTTCTTGAGTTGGGTACTTGGTTCATTAATTCTTAGGCTTTCCTAATCAAATAACCGCATTCACAGCCATCTCCTTACTTGTCTGAGCTGCCACCTGCTACCAGTCTTGTGCAAATAGGAAAGACCCTGGACCTGTTCTCTGGGTCCTGCCCACCCCCACTCGCGGGGCCGGTGGCTGCTGCATTGCCTGCAGCCCTGTGCCCCGCTGGTGCCTGCACGTGTCTTCATGGGATGGATGTGCTTTGCAGTGTCAGATGCATACCATGTGCCAGACCCCTCCTGCCCCCAGCCCAGGTCCCCAGCCCAGCATCGCCCCAGAGGTGCCCACGGCCCTCACTTCTGTCCCCCTCAGTCCATGTGGCCTGTTTTGTTTTTTTTTTTAAAGGTTGGGTTTTGTTTTCTTTTTTTTTAAAGATTTTTTTATTTATTCATACAAGCACTGGGTACAGTCAGAAGCGCGGGAGGGTGAGAGAATTCACCAGAGCCAGAGCGGGGAGCAGAGCAGGCAGAAGGACCGAAGCACACTGCTGAGGGGAGCAGTGGGCGGCAGGAGAGGTCTGCGCGCCATGTGGGACCCTCGCCCGGCGGCTGGGGATCGAACCGGCGCTGCAGAGGCTGTGGGCAGCTTTGCAGCCTAGCGCCCAACCGCTGCACCGCTGGGGAGGCCCTCATGTGGCCTGTTTTTGACCTTTGTATATAGAATTGGTCAAGGCCGGTTCCCGTCCCCCGAACTCCTTGTGGACAGGGCCCCTTGTGACATTTCTACCCGAGAGCAGCCTTGCGCCAGCCTGCTGCCCTGTGCCCAGTAAATGGCCAGCGGTGGCCTCGAGCTTGTCTGCCACGTGTGTGTCCCCTGGGCCACGCCTCTTTCCTTTACTCCTCCTCCCGTCTCCCTCCAGGTGACCGGGCTGCGTATTGCAAGGCGGCCAACAAGAGGGTGATGGACGTGATCAACTCGGCCAGGGCCCGCCAGCAGATGCTGCATGCCCAGACCTTCCACAGCGACTCCCTTTTGACCCAGGAAGATGCAGCTGCTGCCGGTGATCGGAGGCCAGCCCCAGACACCTGGATTTACCCTCTGATCCAGATGAAGCCCTTTGAGATCCAGATTGACGAGATCGTCACCGAGACCCTGCTGACAGAGGCCGAGCGAGGGGCCAAGGTCTACCTCACCACCGGCTACTTCAACCTGACCCAGGCCTACATGGACCTGGTCTTGGGCACGCGGGCTGAGTACCAGATCCTGCTGGCCTCCCCGGAGGTGAATGGCTTCTTCGGGGCCAAGGGGGTGGCGGGCGCCATCCCGGCAGCCTATGTGCACATTGAGCAGCAGTTCTACGGCGAAGTGTGCAGCCTGGGGCAGCAGGAGCGCGTGCAGCTGCGGGAGTACTGGCGGAGGGGCTGGACCTTTCATGCCAAAGGTACGTGGCTGGCCGGGCTGCCCAGCGTGGGGTGGCGGGAGACGGGCGGGAAGGTACCCCGTTCTCCTGGCAGGCTGTTAGCTCCCTGGTGCCCCACACCTGCCTGTGTTGCCCCATTCAGTTGCCCCGCAGGCACATCGCATCTACCCTGTTGGTGTCATCCTGGTGGTGCAGAATCTCCCTTTTGCGCACCCAAACCCATGTGGATGCGAAGTGTTGTGCTGTTCTCAGAAAACAAGAACGTGATTTCTCTCCTCAGTCGATGGAGCACCCGGGGTTTGGGCTCCCTGTGCGTTGCGTGTGGCCCTGCCTCTCCCTGGGACAGTGGACACACCAGGGTCATGTACCTGGAGTGGACCACCCAGCTGCTGTCTTCCCTGCCCCCAGGCCTCCACTTTATTAGCTGAGGAAATGGAAGCCGTGCACCAGGACCCCTAAGGTCCTCTTGCTGCTGGAGCAGCCTGCAGGTGGCAAAACCCCAGGTGCATGACCCTGATGTGCGCAGGCGGGTTTAGGAGCTGGTATGTCACTGCAGGGTGATCCCCGTGCTCCGTGCTGTGGGAGTGCTCTGCCTCTAGCATATGACTGCCTTTCTGGCATCCGAGGGAACAGGGTGCAGAGGCCCTGGCCACCCATCCAGCACGTGGCTCTGTGAAGTCGGGTGGTGCTGGTCCTGGGCCCTCAGAAAGAGCTGACACTCCGGCTCCTCCTCTGTGGTGCTGAGACTAGGTCAGCTTTGGGCCCTCAGCTTGAACTGTTTCTGAAGCTGGTTTTTTCATTTGGGGAGATATTGCAAGAAATACCAAAGCCCACGCCATCCTAGACCCCCCAAGTCCAGGGCTCTGGGGGTTGAACCTGATGTGGCTTCCTGAGACATCCTGATGCCCTAAGAGCCAGTTATGGCTCAGAAGGGGGATGCTTCTGGCTTCTTGGGTGGTGTCCACTTGCTGCTGGGCAGGCCATGGGCCTGCTTGGGCAGGTGCTTTGTTTGGCGCGGGAGGCTAGCTGCCCGCGCTCTTCCATGGAGGGAGGGAGGCTGGTGGTCCGTGTCCCAGTCAGGTGGCGGCAGCGGGGGGCATGGGAAGTATGTGGGACTGGCCCTGGCCCTTCTGGGAGCAGCAAGAGGGGCTGGGCAGTGGGGGACGCCTTGAGCCGCGAAGGGGACCTGCACCCAGCTGAGTGTGTAGCTGGCGCAGAGCCACATGGGGAGTCCGCTGGCCCCAGGGCTTCGGTGATAGGCCCCAGCTCAGCACCCCCCACCGCGGCCACTTCCCTGAAGCTGTGTGGATCGGCGTGGTGACTCCCTGGTTACCGTTGAAACAGAAGCACCGACCGGCTTTTCCAGTGAGTCCCGCCTTTTCCCGGATGGGCCTCTCCCACCTCGCTGCTCCGCCCGCCTGGCTGCCCGATGGGGTGGGGCCCTGGCCTGGAGTCCCAGGGCTTGAGCCTGTGAGGGCCGGGCGGGGGCGGGGTGCTTGTCAGGGGCCTCTGGTAAAGCTGGCACAGGTAACTCTGGGAGTTGGGAGCTGGGGTCCCTCCCAGTAAGTGTCTGTGACCCTTGGGGGTATTGGTGAGCCCCCTGTCCAGGTCATCTTTCGGTGGTCCCTGCCCCCAAGCCACTGAGGGGAGACGGCTTGCGCGGGATGAGCAGGCCGCCCGGGTGGAGGCAGGCAGGGGCGGCGTGGTGGGTGCCGGGACGTGGTCTGTGCACCCTCCGCCGACCCCACTGGTAAAGCTGCCTGTCTGCTCTTGTGTGTCTGCTTGTGTGCTCCAGAAAATTCTTGCCAGCGGCTCTAGAGCCAGTAATGGATTCCTTTCTCCCCCCGCACGCTGGTCAGGCCTGGGCTGGTCTGACTTCTGCTCCCAGTAGCCCTCAGGTGAGCAGGGCGAGCCGGGATGCTGTTCCCGCCTGCATGGTGTTCCCTGCCAGCCCCACACAGCCTTGGCATCAGCAGCGGGCGGCACTGCGGGCTGACTGTGAGGGGCGTGCTGCTGGCCCCGTGAGTGGGTGATGTGAGAAAGCCCCGTGGGGTCCCTGTGTCAGTGGGGACCGCAGCCTCCTCTCGGAAGTGAGTGCCCGAGTCGTCAGGGCCAGCACCTCGCAGTTCAGCCATGACAGGAAGTCCAAGGTGCATTCCTGCCGTTTCTGCCTCAGGAGCGTTGCTGGGATGTCAGGCAGCAGCCCGGAAGCCTGCAGAGCTTGTGTGCGCTGGCTGTTCGCCGAAGCAGGGCTCTCTGCAGCGTGCTGGTTTCCAGCAGCCTTGGCTGCAGGTCACGTTTTAATCAGCAGAGCTTCTGTGAGGCATGTGTCGAAGGCATGTGTCGAAGGCATGTTCTACCTTTTTTTTTTTTTTTTTTTTTTTTTTAAAGATTTATTTATTTATTTATACATGCACCGGGTACAGTCAGAAGTGCGGGAGGGTGAGAGAATTCACCAGAGCCAGAGTGGGGAGCAGAGCAGGCAGAAGGACCGAAGTACACTGCTGAGGGGCGCAGCGGGCGGCAGGAGAGGTCTGCGCGCCATGCAGGACCCTCGCCGGCGGTCGGGGATCGAACCGGCGTTGCAGAGGCTGCGGGCAGCTTCGCAGCCCAGCGCTCAACCGCTGCGCCACCAGGGGAGGCCCTAGAGACTTATTTTGTAATAAGATTTTTCTGTTTCGTTTTCACTTGGATTTTTATAAAGGATGCCCGATCAGAGCGCCGTGGACACCCCCATCAGGTGGCTTGTGTGGGGATGACTAGACATGGGGCCTGGAAGCCTGGTTCTCAGGCCAATTTTACCTGCAGCTCACGCCGGGCGGCGGGGGGTGCTTCTGTGTGAAATGGGGCAGTGGCACTGGGTCACCTCAGGAGGACAGTGACATGGCTGGGCAGTTCATGCGCCCAGGGGGTGGACACTGCACCAGAGGGTGGTGCTGGCCCCGTGGGCAGAGGTCTTGGAGCATGGGCAAGGCTTCTCTGGCCTGGTCTCCTGCCGCTCGGCCGCCGCTGTCCCTGGGGCCCCTGAAGGCCCACACTGAAGCTACAGGTCTCACCTGCGCCCTCTCGGCCTCAAGGGGGCTGGTGGGCCTGCAGGCTGGTGGGGGCTTATGTTGGATGGCAGCCAGCGGGCGACCCCCAGGTCCCAGCTTGTGCATTTCCTGCTGTCTGGCCCTCTCCCTGCCTGCTCTGGAGGCAGGAAGGGCCCTGAGGAGGGCTGCACCAGAGGGCGGGCTCCTGGTGTTTTCCTCCCCTGCACCTGGCATGTGGTCGTTTTGTTACTTTTTGTAACACAGTTTGTGGCCACGATTTATATCTTTAAAAGGCTTATTTCTTTATATATATCTTGAGCAGCATCAGCTTCACAGCTGAGAGGAAGGCACGAGACTTCCCATCTGCCCTGCCCCCACATGCATATCTCCCCACAGTGGCCCTCCAGCAAGGTGGAGCTTGTAGCAGATGAGGGCTGCCGCACCCCCATACCTGGGGCTCGTGCTGGCTGGGCAGTCTGGATTTCACGTGGCCCCACGATGTAGTTTCAGGTCGCGTTTCATGGCCCTGGGAACCCTCTGTGTTCCGTCTCCTCCCATGTCCTGGCAGCCACTGACGGTTTGCTGTTTCTAGCTTTGCCTTTCGGCATTTTCCAGAATGGCCAGCACTGCCGGGTGTCCCTCGTGTAGGGTGCCACCATTTGTGTATCACCTGCTTAGTGAGGGCACTGTGGTGGCTTCTGGGGAGTCTATTTCTTTTTTTTCTTTTTTTTTTTTAGTAGAGGCACGTTTTATTTATTTATTTGTTTGTTTGTTTGTTTATTTATTTATACAAGCACTGGGTACAGTCAGAAGCGCCGGAGGGTGAGAGAATTCACCAGAGCCAGAGCGGGGAGCAGAGCAGGCAGAAGGACTGAAGGACACTGCTGAGGGGAGCAGCGGGCGGCAGGAGAGGCCTGTGCGCCATGTGGGACCCTCCTCCGGTGGCCGGGGAGCAGCCGGGGATCGAACCGGCGCTGCAGAGGCCGCGGGCAGCTTCGCAACCCAGCGCTCAACCGCTGTGCCACCGACGAGGCCCTCTTTTTTTTTTTTTTAAGATTTATTTCTTTATGCATACAAGAGCTGGGGTACAGGCCAGAGATGTTGGGGGCATGATGAGAAGATTCACCAGAGACAGAGTGGGGAGCAGAACATGCAGATCTACTGAAATACACTGCTAAGGGGAGCAGCAGGCAAGTCAGGAGAGGTCTGCTGTGCCCTGTGGGTAGCTCCCTGGCCGGGGTTTGAACTCGTGCTGCAGAGGCTGCGGATGGCTTCATAGGTTGTGTCTTAACACCTTGTGTCACCAAGGAGGCCCGGATTCTACTCTTAAAACCTGGTCCTGGGCCTTCCTGGTGGCACAAGGGGTTAAGCACCGCACTGTGAAGCAATCCGCGGCCTCTGCAGCATGAGTTTGATCCCTGTCAGCCAGGGACATACCCACATGGCGCAGCAGACCTCTCCTACCTTGCCCGCTGCACCCTCAGCAGTGTGTTTCAGTCAGTCTACCCGTTCTGCTCCCCACTCTGTCTCTGGTGAATCCTCTCACCCCCCACATCTCTGCCTGTACCCCAGCTCTCGTACGCATAAATAAACAAATATTAAAACAAAACAAAACAAAACCTGATCCTGCTTGGGGTGCGGGGGGTCAGGGCCGGGAGCTGAGGGCTTCGTTGGCAGCTGACAGTGCTGTCTGCTGTGGCCTGTAGCCTGCATTGAGGCAGCAGCATCAGGACCTGCGTGAGTGCAAAGCGCGTCCCACCCTGGGGGGCGAGGTCTGGGGGCCATGCTCCTCCGTGTGGCCTTACTGCGGGGAGCACGGAGCTTGCAGCTGTGGGCCGGCCAGGCTCCCCTGACAGCCCTCCAGCAGGGGACACAGGTATGCCCCAGGCAGCTTTCTGGGAGGGGCTTGAGGTCGCTGGCTGGGCCTCCCCTGGGTGGAACATGCCACTGCTCACTGCAGAACGTGTGTGGCAAGGGCGGGGCCAAGCCTTCGGATTAAGTGATTTCTGGCTCTTGCTGACAGGAATCTGTTAATGATTGTGTGAATTGTCACTATTTTTACTGCCTTCCCAATAGGCTGCTTGGCATAGCACCCAAAGGTGAACTTCGTCTGCGAGTGGGCAGCCCCACCCTGTGTACCTGGCACTCACATGGGGTGGCTCTCCCTGGGAACCTGGCAGGTGCGCTCTGGTGCCGGTGCCCTGCACCGCTGTCAGAAGTGTCTCCACCTGAGGACAGGGCCTGGTGTCTTCTGTCCCCTCTGTTTCTACAGGGGCCCAGAACCCTCTGGAATTCATGACAAAGCGTTGTGGGTGAGAATGAGGACGGCCGCATAACTCTGAAAGTTTCTTTGAGAGACTTTCAAAGAAGGTCTCCCCCCGAGATGTTCTACTTCTGTGGCCCCGCGGAGCTTTTTTTTATTTACGCTTTATTTGAATCCCCTTGTTAGAATGGGCATTGCCACACATTTTATTCAAATAAACACTCGCCGTGCCTGCTTGCACCTGGCACTGTTCAGGGCACTGGGACAGACGGCGCGGGCCAAGACATTCTGCCTCTCTGCCCGCCCCAGCGCGTGGTTTCGTGGGGATAGATAATGAGCAGGCGGGCTTATTCAGTGCAAAGGGCTGTGGAGAAGACCAAAGCAGGGGACCCAGCTGATCGGGTTGTTAGAGGGGGGCCAGGGAGGACCCTTGAAGAGGTGGATTCAAGCAGGGGCTGGTGAAAGGCGGGCCGTACCAGGCTCCCAGGCCTGCACCGCCAGTGTGGACCGAGCTGACAAGGGTGCTGGTGGGAGGTGGGAAGACGGTCAGGGCCGTGCAAAGGCTCAGAGGCCTTGGGGGGGCCGCTGCGTGGGGCCTTCGGGGTCACTCGGCCCGCCCTTCAGAAGGTCATGAGCACGAACTGGCCGGAAGCAGGCAGTCGCCTTTCCAGAGGCGGCCCTGAGCCTGGAATGGGCTCTCATCGGGGGACCCTGAATGCAGCTGTCTTGTGTCCTCGGCATGCTCACTGGGCGAGTGTGCCCGCTCCTGCCCGCAGCTGCCCATTGCTGTCCCTTCCTGGGCTGCCACTCCCACCGCTCGTCTCCTCGCCCGGTGGTTCCTGGAAAGGCAGGGGTGCTGGACCCAAAGGTCAAGGCTGAGGCGAGGAGTCGGCCTGATAGCAGGTTTATGGTGCCGGGCTGGGAAGTGACGTTTCCCGGCAGGAAGCCTGCGGCCTGTCCTGGCACTGATGAGGGCCCCTCGCTCTCCCCTCCCCACGGGAACATCCCCAGCTGAGCTCAGACTGGTCGATGGCTGAGAGCCCCGAACCGTGACTGGGGCTGCCACTCCAGTGGCCTGGCCCCTGGCACGCACTGCCTGCAGCCTTGGGGGCTCCCGCTCTGGGGGCGGTGTCCCCACTGGCACACTCTCTCTTCAGAGGGCGGTTGCTGGGCAGATGAGGCTGTCAGGGAAGTGAGCAGGTGCCTCACGCCTGCCTCAAGTGCTGCCGCCAATGCTTGCCGGAAGCCCAACCTGGGCCAGACGGGAAGGTGGCTGCCGGGGGATGGAGGGGCAGGGGAGAAAGACGAGACCTGAAATAGGTGTGTCTCGCATGCCCTAGGGCGGGGCCGGGGACACTGCTCCTTGGGGAGGGTGCCGCGAAGCGTTAGGCTTGCACGAGGCTGGAGACCAGGCATCGGCTGGCCCGCAGGACGGCAGCATTTCCCTTGGTGGCATCTAGGGAAGCTGGGCCTAAGCCAGGCTCCTTTGGGGTCAGGAGTGAAGGTGGCTGGAGCGGCAGCGCCTGGGGGACGGCCCCTGGCTGGCCTCTGACCGCCGCGGTGCTCAGGAAGGACCAGGCCCTTCCAGTCTTCCTCGCCCGACCCCTGAGGTGGACAGTCAGGGTGGTGTCCCCCCGGGAGTGGTGGGGATCATGCCACGCCTCGTCTCGCCTGCCCACTCTCTGAGTGCGCTTGGGGGCGCCGACGGAGTTGGAACCTGTGGAGGGCGCCGAGGTGCTTGCCTTTCTGCCTCGCAGCTGGTGGCGTGTCCCTCCCAGCTGCCGGCGTGTGGGGTGATGGGCAGGGGCCGAAACCAGGGGCGGTGTGGACAGAGCCAGTGACCGCAGGAGACGGCCCCGGCTGTTTTGCTCCCTCGGCGGGGAGAAGAGAGCGCAGGGCAGCGAAGGGGACCGGCCTCCACCCACCCTGGAGAAGGTGGGGTACAGGGCTACCTGCGGGCTGCGGCCCAGCGGGGTGGTGCATCTGATGGAATCATGTGCCCAGGCAAGCTGGAGCTCTGAGGTGGCCCCTGCGGGGGGTCGGGGGGGGCAGGACATTACAGGAACAGGCCGCAGCGCCGTCATCGCTTACCCAAGATGTTCTTGGAAGTGTCCTTGCTCGGAGTGAGAATTAGGAAACGGCCTGCTATTTTCGGAGCTGGTGCGTGTTGCGTGTTGCTGATTGGCGTGTGCTGGCCGTGTGCTGTCTGCCGGCCCTCTGCAAGGGGCAGCTTGGCCGGGGGCCCGGGGGCGGCGGGCGTGGGGCTGGCCCGAGCCAGGAGCCCCGCGCAGGCCAGCTGCTTGTGACGGGCACGTCGGGCCGGGTGTTCTGGGCTGAGCTGGGGGCCAGGGAGGGCAGCGCGAGGGCAGACCCGAGCCCGGCTCCGGGAGGAGGAAGGAAGTGTCGGGCAGCTGTCCTTGGGAGGCGAGGCTTGGGGAGAAGTAGCTCCGAGGGGGCTGGGCTGTGAAAGCCGGCGGGCCGTGGAGCCTGGGGAGGGCCCTGAATGGGGGACGGAATGCGTGCATGCGTGTGTGCGCGTGCGTGAAGCGAGGCTCTCCTGTTCAGGGGACATTTCCGGCCCTGGGAGGACCCGCGTCCTTCACTGCGGCAGGCCGAGGGGCAGAGACGGCAGTTCCCCGGCGGGCCGAGGCCGGGCCCGCCCCCATGGCTGCTCAGGCTGTCCTGCCTTTCCGTGACTGTCGTGCCCGCTGGCTCTTTCTGCGAAAAGGGGAGCGGTATTCTCTGGGGGAGAGGAGCTCACGGGGCCCCTCGTGGCCTTCTCCATGGGCTCTTGGCCGCCCTGAGGCCCCTGCGCAGCCCGCACGGCGTCGGCGGCCAGAGGGAGAGTGCCGAGCCCAGCAGGCCCGCCTGCGCATCTCGAGGTGGACGTGGAGGGCGAGTGTGTGTGCCCGTGCTGCTGTCTCCTGTGGGCAGCGCAGCCCGCCGCCTAGTGCAGAGGGCGCTGCTCCCACTGCTGCGGCCACACGGCCATTGCCCTTCCCCCGGGGCTCGTGGGAGGACCGTGTAGCCTCTGGCCAGTGCCGACGTCCAGCCTGTCAGCCCAGACGTGTCTGTGGCAGCTCAGGGAGCCGGGGGTCCCTTAGCCTGGGTGGGGGGATGAGAACAGAACCTGGGCAGGGCATCCCTGGGCTTCTGTGGAACCCCAGGCCCCTCCAGCTGCATCTGCCCCAGACCCAGGGATGCCAGGAGGCTGGGATCATGGGGGTGGGGGTGCTGGCGCTCCAGAATGCAGCCCTGGCTCTGCCCTGGTGCGCCGTGGCCTCTCCTGGAGGGCGCCCCTCGCCCCTGGTGGGCTGCCCTTCTCTAGGGTGACTGTGGCACGGGCGCCTCCACAGACACTGCGCTCACCTCCTGTCTGCACGTTTCCTTTTCCCTGCAGGCCTCTGGCTGTACCTGGCAGGGAGCAGCCTGCCCTGTCTCACGCTGATTGGCTCTCCTAATTTTGGGTACAGGTCGGTTCACCGGGACCTGGAGGCCCAGATCGCCATAGTGACGGAGAGCCGGGCCCTGCAGCAGCAGCTTCACCAGGTGGGTTGGGCGCGCAGGGTCTTGTGGGGTGAGGGGGTGTGGCTGGATCTCAGCCTGGCCCCTGTCTCCAGGCCCCCGGAGGACCGTCTCCTGCCGTCCTCTCCTGCTGGGGGAAGGAGTGGACCCCTGCCGGTCTGCCCTGGCCGGATAGCTGGTCTCGTGAGGACCCCAGCGGGACCCTTTCAAAGCAGCGTCTCTGCTGCTGCGGCCCCTGTCCAGTGCGGCCCTTCCTCCCCGCTGGGCGGCTGCTGGACACAAGTCACACATCCGGGCCTCTCGTTCCCCAGTGCCATGTGAGCGCAGCGGTGGTTCCCAACCTCCCCTGGGAGTGTGGCCTAGCTCTGGTGGGGTCAGGGGTCGGGACCTGCGCCCTATAGTGAAAGGCGTGGGGCCGGACCTTTCCTGGGGTGGCACAGGGTGGGGAGCAGAGGCAGAAAGGGTCCTGGAAGCCAGGGTCTAGGGTGGGGAGACGCCGAGTCCCGGTGTGGGGAGAGTTCTGGGGCGCCCGTCTGTCGGGGCTGCTCATCCCGGCCCCAGTCTCTGCCTTTTGCCCACGTGTTCAGTCACATTGCTGGACTCGCCACGGAGTCTGTCTTCTCTTACGAAGTACCCCCCGCGGCGTGGCCTGCTTTGTGATTGAGGGGACGGTGATGGTGGTCCAGGGTGCGCCCAGCCAGGCGCTCTGTGCTGGCAGAGCCCGGGTGGGCGGTCCGGCCACTGCTCGAGCAGGTCCTCTGCTGGCAGGGGCCTGGCAGGCGGCTCCGCTGGGCTGGGCACGTGGCGGGCCTTGGCGTTTCTCTGCTGTTCTCAGCTCAGAGTTGTTCCCGACAGCGGGAACAGGCAGGCCCTCTTCCTGAGAGAAGTGGACCTAACCGGCTGTGGCATGGCATCAGGCGCAGGCGGCTCCTTGGAAGAGGCCTTCCGGGGTGTCTGTGGGGCTGTGCTTGGCCATGCATGTCGGGGGGTGCCCCGTCTCCCCCACGGGGCCTTGCCTCACACTGCTGGCCGGCTCGGCGCTCCCATTGGCTCTGAAGCCCTGCTGTGCCCAGAGAGGTGGGGTGACGAGAACCCAGTGGGCGGGGGACCCAGTGCTGGCCTCGCTCCCCTCCCATAATGGTGGTTTTGGCTCTGAAGTTGAGAGCAGCAGGGCCTGGGTCGGTGCCTTCATGCACATCTTGGTCTTTGGTTGCCTTGCGGCGGTGCCGCTGGCTCGGGATGCAGCCTTGCGTCCGTGTGCTCCAGGCTTTGGGCCCCTGACTCGCTGCCTTCACAGCCCAGCTTCTGAGGAGGGCGCCAGCCTCCCCAGCTGCAGGGCACAGATGATGCCCCCGAAGGTGGGCCCTCAGGCGCCCCAGCGGTGGACTTTGTTCAGCCTTCATCCTCCAGTGTGTGGGAAATGCTGTTGCGAAATTGCTGAGGCCTTTGTTGATGGACGAGGAAACTGCCTTGCCCCCTGGATCTGGGAATCTAGGCGGTGATGAGTGGGGCCGGGTGCCGGGAAGGCCTTGCAACCAGGGGCAAGAGGAAGTGGTGGCGGTCATGCCCTGGGTGGCCAGCGGGAACCCCAGCCGCGCGCAGGTTTCTTGCTGGAGTGGCTTCCAGTGAAGGCCTGGGGAGGCCCCGCAGCTGAGGGCCTGGGAGGGTCAGCTGGCCTTGGAGCGGGGGGTGCAGTGGGGCCGCTGTCTCGGTTGCAGAGAAAGGCCTGCCCCTGTGAGCGGGGAGTTGTTAGGTGGCCGTGGCCTGGAGCCAGGGCGAGGGTTCTGTGGATCTGGGCTGATGTGGGCAGCTAGTCCCCCAGGCCTGTGTCTAGGACCCCGGTGCTGGCTGCTCTCCCCACTTCCCGAGTAAGGGTCTGAACCCACATCCTGCATCTTGAGAAGAGCTGGCAGTTGCGGTCAGAGTTGCTTTCCCAAATGACATGCTTGGCATATTTTCTTTTTCTTCCCAAACCTGAATCCCAGGGTCTTTTGATCGTGGGATGAGGTGGGGGGCAGTCCATGCTGCCGCAGCCCTTCCGCCTCTGGAGGCGCATCGATGTCTGGCCTTGGAAATGCAAAAAAACGCACTTCTAGATGATTCCACCTCTATACGCGTCCCCTGGGACTGTGGCACCCTCCGGGAGGCCTGAGCCTCCATCCCGGGACTGCCCACCACACAGCCTTGCCACAGCCCTGAAAGTCCCTAAAACCCCACGGCTGGGCCCCTGCTCCCAGAGGCCGCCTCTGGGGTCCCCGGGGCGCAGGGAGGGCCTGGGCCTATCCCACCAGCGCAGGGAGTGGGGAGATACTGTTATCACGATCCGAAGCCCCTCCCTCCACTTAGCGCGCACAAGAAAAGCAGCAAGCTTCCTGGTTCTGTTCAGGGAGCGTGGTTCACCACCGTGACCCCAGAAAGGACTCCCTGCAGCGGCCCCTCCCTCAGCTGACTTCCTACTCTCCCGCGGCGGGGCTGTGAGGAAACCTAAGTGTTTCTGGTAATTTAATTGAAATCTTGGCTGCGTGTTCATCTGAAAACATGAAGCTGGAGCTGGGTCTGTGGAGACTTCGGCAAAGCAGCCCCGGGAGACCGGAGCTGGCTGCTTGGCCAGGCACCCCCAGCAGGCGCAGCTGGGGCCGAGGACCGGGGTCCGGGACACAGCCCTGTCGGCACGTTTCTTAAAAGAGAAGCGGGTTTGTCCTCGCAGAGCTCCTCCCACGGCCCAGGAGCAGCTCGCGGGGGCAGTGGCGGGAGTGAGATGTGGGCATCGCCGGAACTGCCCGGCCCTGCCTGCCCCTTCCCGCGTGCCTGTGGCCGGGCCCCGTGGGTCTCAGGCTGGCCCCATGTCGCTGCCCACCCGCTTCTCTTGCCCGCCGGGCCCTGCCCTGTCCCTGTGGTCAGGTCGGGTTCTGCTCTCACGTGGGGCCTCGTGGCGAGGCCGCCTGTCACCTGGCCGCGCACTTCGGGCTGTCGTGGCTCCCGGCTGCTGCTGCAGGCGTGGCCGAGGAAGAGGCCGGCGCGCAGCTCAACGCCTCAGCGCGTGGCTGTTTGTTTGGTGTGACCCCGGCAAGTGGAGCTTCGAAAGGCTCGCCTTTGCCACGCTGCCCTCGAGAGAGACTGTTTGATCCTTCTGTCCCGTGGTGCGTGGGGCCGCTGTTGCCTAGGCCTTCTCCCGCCCAGGGCGGTGACGTCGTACATGTGTTTCCTCGGAAAAGCCTCCTGTTGCAAGAATTGACTTCTCGGCGCCTTTGCCAGCCGCGTTTAAACTTTGCCCGTCCCACGCGCTGCTCCCCCGCCCGAGCATAGGCGCAGGGCGGGGCGTGTCTGGGGAGGGCACAGCGGGCCAGGGAAGGCCTCCTAGCAGGTCCCTGGTGCTGGAGAGGACCCCGACCCCTGTCTTCCTCTTCCTCAGGAGCAAGAGCAGCTCTACCTGAGGTCAGGTGTGGTGTCCGCCGCCACCTTCGAGCAGCCGAGTCGGCAGGTGAAACTGTGGGTGAAGATGGTGACCCCGCTGATCAAGAACTTCTTCTAGCAGACAGGTGCTGACCCCGCAGCCCCGCCTCACAGGCAGGGGCCATTCGCCCTCCTCGGGGGGGTGACGGGCACCAGGTCCAAAACCACGCCCAGCAGCCGTTCCCCTCCCGGCAGACACTGCTTCTCCCCGGTCCCAGCGCCTCTGAGGGCGCTCTGCTTGTCCCTGGGCAGACCCAGGGGCTGAGGGCAGAGAGGTGGGTGCTGCCCCGCCGTCCTCAAGCTCAGTGGTTCCGAGGCAGCTGGGGGCGGGACGACGATACCGGACGCTTTCAGGCCTGGCTGGCGCCCTGACCAGCTGCAGCCTCCAGGAGGGGCTTGCTGTGGAGCAGACCTTGCGGCTGCTGCCTGTCCCCCGTCCTTGTGCCCCGCGCTCAGAGACGTGTGTTCTCCAGGCGGCGGCTGGTAACGCAGGCTGGGTCCTGCAGTCAGCGCAGAGGCTGGGCCCACGGCGGCAGCAGGTTAGCCTACCCAGTCCCCCGGCTGTCCCCACCCGTGGAGGTGGGTCCCTCCCGAGTTGCCCTTGGGATCCAGATCCCTCGAAACCCTGACCTCGCCCCCGGATGGCCCCGGATGGGCTCTGTTTCCCAGGACGCGGGAATGTGTCTGGCTGCCCTGGGTGGGTGGCGGGAATGGTTGGGCCTGTGGCATCTGGGGAAGGGAGAGTGGAGTTGACCAGCATGGAGGGGTGAAGGGAAGGGGGTGCTCGCTGCCCACTGCCCTCTGGATCCTGGTCCACAGGTCTGTCAGCCTCATTTCAGACAAATTATTTCATCATTCAGCTTTTCATTATTTTAGTTAATCTTAATTTTATTCCAATAATGTATAAATAGAGTAAAACTATACTAACAAGCAAAGAATTATCTGCTTCCTGCCCCTTAGCAGTGGTCTCGCCAGGCGGGCTCACGGCCCGTGTTCCTGTGTGTGCCGCTGCCCCCGAAGAGTCAGACACTCAGAGCTGCCCGTCGCCCAGCGGCCTCCCTCCTAAAACACTCGCAGGGACGCCTCAGTGTCGCCAGCCTCCCAGAGGCCGTTACGGTTCCAGGCACCTTACACTCACCCTTTTTACTTTTATTGTCATTCTGGATGTTTCTGGGACTTGAGGCCGTGTCAGGTCGTGCTCTGTGACCGACCGGGTGCCTGGTCGGTGAGGTCTCCGAATCTGTGGGTGCCTCGTTGCCCTTCGCAGTGTGGCCTTCCACAGTGGGTGTCCTGAGAGCACGCGCTCGCGTGTCCGCAGAGGGCCGGCGCCCATCCGCCTGCTCTGAGGCTCTTGAGCCTTGCACAGACGTGGCCGGGCAGGGCGGCCGACGGAGGGGCAGACTGGGGCCTCCCGAAGGCAGAGCGGCAGCTTCCACCAGCCCTTCGTGGGTCCCGGGTCTCACGGCCAGTCACCGCGGCCTCGCGCCCGCCTTCCACCAGGCACAGCTGCACCCGGCCTGCGGCTCTGCGGGCTCCGCGGGGGCGGGAGTCTGTCAGGCTGGGCCCGGCACGTCAGTTAACACTGCCCGCCTGCAAACTAGTCATTAAGTTGTCCTGTGGGACAATTAGATCAGAGAAGCCAGAAGAATGTGCCAGGGCACCGGGTTTCTGTTTGGAGAGAGGCTTTCGGTAAACAGAGCTGCATTCCTGCAGGTCCCGCGGGGCCCGTGCACACGGGCGGTGGCTCGAGCAGGCCGCGGCCTGGCCCGCGCGCCCCGATGCTCGTCGGGGCAGGTGCTGCCCCCGCTGCTCCGACCCCCTCCGCGGCGCCCCGGCCTCCCGTCAGTCAGGGGCTGGACCTGGGGGTGCCCCCGCCTCCCAGCGTTCCGGCCGCAGAGCAGCGAGTCCGTGCTGTTTCCCCGTCGCCGCAGGGCGGCCTGGGGGACTCATCTCTTGGAAAGCTGGGAGGTGATTTTGCCGGCTGCCCTCAAGATGTCCGTGTGGAATCAGTGACTGTTTCATTTCAGACTCCGCAGGCCACGCTGGACAGCCTCCGATGGGCCGTCCGCCCCGACGCGCTCGCTGCGGAGGCCGGGAGCCTCCTGTCCTCCAGGAGCGGCTGCGGCCCGCGGCGCGGACTCCAGGGCTGCAGTGACCCCTCGTGGCCAGCAGGGCGCTTGCCCTGCGGTCGGGCTCCTTGGCCAGAAGCCTGCCCTCCTCGCTGCCGCCCCACCGCGGGCCGGGTGGCCAGGAGGGAGGATTTGAGGGACGTTTTTCCTTTTCCCTCTTCCCAACCCAGCAGCCCGGGATGGCTGCCCTGAAATTAGGGCTCCGGGCCCTCCTTTTCACAGGTTTGCGTGACTCCTCCTGAGGAGGTTTCCAGGAAAGCTCGGGACTAGGTTGCACATAGGACGAGGCTGCGTCTCCTCTGTTCTTCAGCCTGAAAGTATCAAGGGTGCCAGCCTTGGGCTCCCCTGGGGTCCCCTGGCCCTGCAAACTGCCCACGTTCCAGTCACAGAGAGGGTCCCCTCTCCTCCCGCTTCCACTCTGCCACGCCAGCCAACACGGCTGTGCCATCAGGCGGGCCCCGGCTGGCCGTCGCTGACGCCGTCCTGCTCGTGCACGGGGCGCCCCGGGCCGAGGTCTCAGCCAGGTCTGTCCTGGGGTGGCGTAGTTGACCTCGGCCCCCCTCCCTGGACAGGTTCAGAGACCTGAGACAGCAGACCAGGCACTTGCCCACGGCCTCCCGATCCCGCCGTGGGGCCCACGGGCCGAGGAGGAGCCCGCTGGTTGGCAGCAGGGTCGCTGGGCGACCTCCCCCTGCTGCTGGTGGGTGCTGGGCTCTGCAGCTTCAGCGCCTGGGTGGCTCTCCCAGGCCCCAGGGGGACTTAGCCCCGGGAACAGACACCTCGAGCGCAGGGATGAGAACACCTGGTGGGGCGGGGGGGCTCGGAGGACACGGTGCCTCACTGTCCTGGCAACCTGCGGCCTCCAACACCCTCGTTCGAGGAAGCCCCCGGGTCCTTGTTCTCTGTGTCTGTTCCCCAACAGACACAGGTGAGGGGAAACCTCGCCACGGGACACAGCATCTCTGGAATAGGCTGTGTGTTCTTCAGAATTCTGGGGTGGGTGGAGGGAAAGGTTTTCTCGTCGGGGAGCGAAGGGAGCAGTGCTTTAGGGGACCGAGTGGCGGTGGTGGCAGCCTGCTGCCCATCGGCCTGCCCCTCTGCGTCCTGGGTGTGGGAAAATGAACCCAGCCACCCTCTGGGAAGCCAGGATTTTGGGGGGGGGGCTTTTGGTTGCTGGGATGCTTGCCCTCGCTGCTGGGAAACGGGGTCTCACCTGCTGCCTTCCCAAAGCAAAGCAGACAGACAATGGGGCGACTTCATTGTTTTTATCCAGCCACACCCCCCCCCCCCCCCCGCCCAGGTGCTTCTGCTTTTGCTTATGAAGCGCCGGACGAGTTAGCGGAGCACGAGGTGGACGCGTCCTGCAGGAGCGGGTAGTCGCCACGAGACTGTCCCTCTGGGCGCGGGGGCCGGCCGTGGGCGGCTAGACCTGGAGGAGCAGGGCCACGGCGGCCAGGATCCACTTGGCGGCCTTCTCTTTGGTCTTCAGGTTAAAGGTCCAGACGTAGGTGGGGCCGCGGATGCGCGTCTTGTACACGGGGCACTCATAGATGTTCTTGGTGTCCATGCGGTCCACAGGAATGGCCTTGATGAAGATGACGGGCATGACCGGCGTCAGCTCCTTCAGCCGCGCTTCACTGATGACCCCGGTCTGCGTGTCCCAGCGAGCGCCTGCGGAGACACGGCTGAGGCGGGGCCCGGGCGCTGCTGGGTCCTGTCTGGGGCAGCTGGGGGCCCCTCCGGGAGCCGGGCCCCACCCGCCGCACGGACACGGCTGGGCTGCGCCCCAGCATCCAGGCAGGGGCAGGGCGGCCCGGCCCGGGGGAAGGCTGGACGCGGCGCTGGAGACGGGCCCGCCGGGCGACAGCCGCGTGACCCCAGGGAGCGGCCCGGCACCGGCCGTCTGCTCCCCGCGCCCGTCCCTGCGCACGCGCTGGGCCGCCCTGTGGCCTGTCTGCTGCCGTTTCCGCTCCCTGTTGAATGATGTTTCTGCTCCTGTCTGGTTCCGGAATAAACGGGGAGAACGGCCGCTGCCGTGCTTGTCTGCTGCTGTGGGAACTGGGGAGCCTTGCCGCCGGCGGGGGGCGGCCCCGGCGGGGAGGACGCAGGTGAGCACGCCTGTGCCCGGGCGGGAGGTGGGGGGCACTAGCGCAGGGGCCCCCACACTCGCAACCCCATCCGCAAGACGCACTCCTGTCCCGGCCCTGCTGCGGGCGTGAAGACGCTGTGCCTGGGCGGGGCAGCCCGTCCCCCCCCCCCCCCCCCCCGCCTCCTGACTGAGCCCCTTCAGCCCTCCCTCGGGGCGCCCCTGCCCCCAGCCCCCGGGGCTGGCACACACAGCGCCCAGCCGGAGCCAGCGCCCCCGGCCAGAAGGCCCGCGTGTGGGAGCCCCGCATGGGCGCGCTCCTTGCCTTCCATGAAGAGCCCGTACACGTAGGAGCCCTCTCGGGGGGGTGCGGTCATGTCCTCCCGGTTCTTCTTGGTCACTTCCACAGACAGACACATCTTGTCCAGGGGCCACTCGTTCTTCCTGGCCGTGGACTGCATGATGGCGGTGAGGAAGGACTGGGGGTTGAAGAAGCCGGCCAGCCACACGGTGGTGGGCAGGGCGAAGTCTGTCGTCCAGGCCTCCAGCTCCTGGAAGGCACGAGGGCGGCTGGGGGAGGACAGGCCGGGCCGGCAGAGGCCTCGGCGCGGGGGCCGCTCCCTTTGCCAGCCCTGGCTGCGGGCTCAGGGCAGGTCTGTGGGGTCTTTGCCCTCGCCCCGCGGGGTGCGGGCCTCACCCTGATGCGGAGCAGCAGGTCGGCGTACCAGGCCGCCAGCCCCATCATGGAGGGATAGGCCCGGGCCTCCCACGTGCTGGGCACGGTGTCGTAGAACAGAGCCGCAGACAGGTCCTCCATGTCGGTGGTGATGGTCAGCTCCCCCTACGGGACACGCACGGCCGTGCTGCTCGCCCGCACAGAGGGCCGCTGGACAGGCTCCGGGCCGGGGGGTGCTGCGGCCTCACCTTCAGCCCCAGGCTCAGCTCCTTCAGCGAGCGGCGCATCTCGCTGGTGAGGATGTTCATCCTCTCGCACTCCTGGAAGGCCACGACCACGAAGGGCGTCTTCTCGGCGGCCTTCGCCATGATCTCGGCCATGTTGAAGGCCTCCGGGATCTTGTCCAGGATCTCGTCCAGCACGGCCTTCACCTGGGATCGGTCCCCGGAGCCCCCGTCACTGCACGCCACCCCCGCCCTGCCTCCCCCCGGGCCACCGCTTGGACCCGGGGGCAGAGGGAGGTGGCGCTGCCAGAGAAACGGGCTCTCGGGTGCAGCCGTGAGGGGCCATCAGGTCACCTGGCCTGGTGTCTGTGACCTCCCCATGTGCACGGGCTCCCTCCATGGGCGTGGTCCCCAGGACCGTCCCCCACACAACTGTCCGTCAGGCAAGGGAAGGCCTTGGGGCGCAGCAGCAGCGAGGGCCTTCCGGGCAGGAACGCGCCTCTCCTGGGAGCCGGACTGGAGACAGCGGGGTGCCAGCATCCGGTCCTCCCCCGCCGACACCCTGCCCCTTCCTGCTACCCAGCGCCCTATCTGCCCCACGATCAGATCACGAGCTTCCCTAGAAGCTCATGGGGTGCATCTGCGCCACCCCAGGAGCCGCATCCGCTCCTGGGAGTCTGGCTGCTGCCCCCTGTGCTGGCGGGCGGCGTGCGCCGCAGCCCGCGGCCAAGTGACCGTTGGCGGTGCAGGGGGAGGCCGGCCGAGCCTGCTCGCCTGTCCCGCAGCCGCCCCTGCTTCTCCAGCCCGAGGGCCTGTTAGGGGCCTGGGCGCCCTCGGGGTCTCTGGGCCCCAGGCTGGGTGGTGCCGCCCTCCCGGGATCAGGCGCCAAGGACCTGCCTTCTCCTCCCGGGAGACGCCCGTGCCGGCGCCCGAGTCGGACTCCTTGGGCTGCATCTCCAGGACGGTGCGGAAGAGCTTCTCCGAGGTCACTGTTAGGAAGCCGATCTCGGCATTGGGGTGCAGCCCATACAGGTAGGGACTCTCGGGCGGCAGGTTCTCGTTGATGTATTCGTGGTAACCCTGAAAGCAGGCGGGTGGGCTGCCGTGGGGCACGCCGTCCTCACCAGGACGTTCTGCCCATGTCCTGCCCTTGGTACAAACCCCTCTGCTTCCCTGCTCTGTTGGGGACGCCCCCCAGCTCCACGCCGGCCCCCACACTCTCTCTCCAGGGGCTGCGTCCCCAGCTTCTTGCTCGGGCACCGACGCTCCCTGTGCCGAGGTGGGAGCAGCCACTGGCCTCGGCTGTTTTGCCCCGAGGGCTGAGCTCCCCGCGCTGCCGTGGGCCGTCCCGACCAAGGGCCCTCCTCACCTTGTAGTCCAAGTTGGGGGGGATCAGGAAGCCGGGGGCCAGCAGGGTCTCCCCCTCCAGCATCTCTGCCCGGATGTACTCCCCCAGGTAGGTCCTGCAGAGCCGCCGGTCCCAGTCGTCGGTGATGTGGCCGCCGTACATGATCTCACCGAACAGGTAGCGGAGGTCATCCCAGGGCACCTGGGGGCAGGTGCAGGCGTCACCAGAGCGTCCTGCCGCTTTCTGTCACCGCACGGTCAGGCTTAGGTGGTCCACTGGGGGGTCCCTCATGTCCAGTCGCTTGCATCTTCCTCAGCCCCAGGTCTGCAGCCGTTGCCGCTGTGACGGGGCCCTGCACTGCTGACGCGGGGGCGGGGGGCAGGGGTTGGCGGCCCCTGCTGCACCCTCGCCTCCTGGACCCCCAGCTCCACCGCCCTCCCTGCCTGCTGCTCCCCTGGGCGCCGTGCTCAGCCACACGCGTCCCCTCCGCCCCGTCCACGGTCAGCCAAAGCAGCTTAGTTCTACGTCGGCCACGAAGGCCAGCTAGAGGGTCTGCAGGGTGTTCAGGGGGGTCTTCTTTGCTCCCAGGGAGTGACCCGGGCTCAGCCCGTCCTCGCCCGCAACGCTGTCCCCGCAGCTCTAGCCCGAGCCCCGCCGGCTCCCCATGCGATGCAGTCCCCGAGGCTGGGCTGCCCGGACGCAGGAGCAAAGACCCTCGGTGGCCACGGCGTCCACCTGCCCCCAACCCCCACCGCCCAGCCCTGGGAGGCCACCCGCCCCCTCTGAGGCCGCCTCCATGAGCAGGCTCCTCCCCGCAGCCTCCGGGCCCCACGTCACAGCGCCCAGGCCCCCGCTTGGAGGACCCCCGGGGCGCCCCCCCCCCCCCGCTGCTGTCCAGCACACTGCAGCGGCAGCCACCTGTGACCGTCAGTTTTCTAGCAGCACTTGATAGCCCGGAAGGGTCACTCCGACAGCTCGGAAGCGACCCGGAGGCGTTTCACGTTCTCTCCTCGACACCAAGCTTTGAGGCGCCCGCCGTCCGCCGGGGCAGGACCCTGGGGCCGGCCTCCCATCCCGCGTGCGCTGTGTTGTCCGAGGGGGCGGCTCACGGGCACGGCGGGCAGCTGGGAAGCCACGGGGCCTGCCCAGCCGCTCCGTGCCGGATGCGGGTGGATTAAAGTGCGCGGAGACCGTCACTCGGCGGAGCGCAGGCTCAGGACCCTCCCTCCTGAGGCTCAGTGTAGGCTCCCGCTCGCCCCTCCTGTCTTGAAGCGCCTTCCTCTGCGCGGTCGTCTCCGGGCGTACCACTCCGGTGTACCCACTCCGGGTGTACCACTCCGGTGTACCCACTCCGGGTGTACCCACTCCAGGTGTACCACTCCGGGGGTACCCACTCCGGGGGTACCACTCAGGTGTACCCACTCTGGGTGTACCCACTCCGGGCGTACCACTCCGGGGGTACCCACTCCGGGTGTACCACACCGGGTGTACCCACTCCGGGGGTACCCACTCCGGGTGTACCCACTCCGGTGTACCCACTCCGGGTGTACCCACTCAGGTGTACCACACCGGGTGTACCCACTCCGGGTGTACCCACTCCGGGTGTACCCACTCGGGTGTACCCACTCCGGGTGTACCACACCGGGTGTACCCAGCTGCTTTCCCTGCGTTTTGCTTCCTGGGGATGGTCCCTCCGGGGGCAGGGGCTCATGGAGCCAGCCCTCTGTGCCCCACAGCCGCAGGCGGCGGGTCCCGGGCGCCCCTCTGACACACAGTCGGGGTCCCCAAGAAGTTGGCCTGTGTTTCGGGGCCTGACTTTTGTCTTCGTGCGAGGGAGCAGCACTGACCCCTGCTCCCCAGGTGGGATGTGGACACGACCTCACGGCAGTGGCCTGGCCAGCGGCCCGGGGGACGGCGGAGCGGGTGGCCCCCAGCAGGGCCTGCTGCCCTGGCTCCGGTGCGTGCCGTGCGGCGAGTGCCCAGGAAGGGTCCGCAGAGGCCTCGGCAGCCTGTCCTCCCACCCGCCTCCCGACAGCGCTGACGAAACCGCGGTGATGGAAGCCTCGTGCCCCTGCTCAGGGCCCGGACGAAGGTGATGGCTGTAAGGTAAGCTTGGGGCGCCAGTCGGACCCCCAGCCCCACCCGCCTGCGCTCAGGACACCCCCGTCCCTGGAAGGGAGCCGGCCGGAGCCTCGTGGCCGCCGCAGGGGGTGCGGGGAGCTGTTTCTCCAGGTAACTAGGCAAACAAACGACATTCCAGGTGCGGGCCTGGAGGTTGGCTTCCTCCTCCGTCCCCTCGGGCTGCGCGGGGGCCCAGGGGCAAGGTGGGCCTTTGACACAGCGCCCTCAGGGGTCGGCCTCTCGGGCTGCCCATGGTGAGGGCGGTCTCGGCCCTGACCTGCGTGGCTGGTGTTAAGAGGGTGGAAGACGAGGTGCTCCCCGGGCCAGCGCCCCAGCCTCCCGGCCAGGTGCGCACCTCGCCTCCTGGCTCGACCCCAAGCTCCAGAGCTTGGCCGCACCCCAGGCCCTGAGCAGTTGCCCAGTGGGGCAGGGAGGAGCGGGGCACAGACCATGTCTGCAGCTCGGGCCCTGGGTCTCCCACTGCCATGGGGGGGTGGGCACCCAGGAGGGGCCCCATCAGGCCCACCAGGGCAGGCCCCGAGCAGCCCCCGGCCGGCCAGCGCTGCCTTTGCCCCGCACGTTCTGTGTAGAGGTGCTGGGCCTGGATCTCCCAGGAACCAGAGTTCTCATTGCTACTGATTTTGGGGGAGAGCAAAGAGGACCCCAAGGATTACAGGGGTGCACAGACAGCCCTCTGCCTCTGCCTGGGGGGTCACAGAGGAGGCTTTACATGAGGAAAATCCTGGGAAGAGCCCAGTAGGTTCTGGATGGGGTGGCCAAGTCCTTGGGGGCCACCCTAGGACATGGCCGCGCGGCCACTGTGGGGGCTGCTGGCGCCCCCTGCTGGACAGTTTCTGGAGTGCGGGCTCTTCCCCACTGCCTGCTCACACGCCCTGGGCCCTTGGATTTTCAGGCGGAACGCAAGGAAGCGTCCGTCTGTCCAGGGAGGGTTCTTTCCACCCCCCGTCCTGCTCTGCACACCCTGGCCGGTCCAGCTCATGCCGCCGGGTGCTGGATTTCAGGGGACATCCCTGTGCGGGTGCAGCCTGGCAGGCGCACAGAGGCCTCAGGCGCACGGATGCCGTCCCGGCAGACAAGGGCCGGTGCGGGAGGTGGTGGCCGGGCCCAGGGTGCCGCTGGCCCACGCTCCTGCACAAGAGCCTCTCGTGGGGGCGCCGAGCCCCCCGCCTCCCTCACCTTGGGGTTGGCCTCCAGGTAGTTGTAGAGCACATTGATGGAGATGGTGAGGTCCCCGTTGTTAAAGGGGTACGACCTGTTCCAGCCCTGCGCCCCGAACTTGCGCCTCTCGGCCACCACGGCGTGGAAGTAGCACAGGGCGAAGAGGATGCACTTGAACTCGATCTCCTTGCTGCACATCTCCAGGGTGTCCTGCGGGGCCGGGGCCGGGCAGATCCAGCAGAGCCCCACCGCCCGCACTGCGGGGCCGGGGGTGAGGCGGGGTTGGGAGGGGGGTAAAGCCCCCCTCGGGCCAGCTGGTGCTTGAGCCTCCCGCCCCGCAGAGGCTGGGTTGAGAACACGTCCTTGACCTTGTTTCAGGAATGCGACTTCACCGCCACCGGGTCACTGAAACTGCCCCCTGTAAAGTGGCCCCGACACGGGGGCTCTCTGGGCTCCTTCCCGGGGCTGCGCCCTCGCCATCGGGGGGTGTGTGGGCGGGGTGGGGCGGGCAGGTGCACGTCAGGAGCTGGGGGCTCAGAGTCTGACCCCGCTCTCAGCTCCTGCGGGACCCGGGGGCGGCCGGCGGCGCTGCCCACCTGCGTGAAGAGGTCCAGGGCCTTGTGCAGGTTGGCGTGCATGCCCGTGGGCGGCTCGTTGGTGATCTTGATGGCATTTTCCAGGATGCCCTGGGGGATGATGTGGGACTCGGGGCTGGGCGCGGGCTCGGCGCTCATGAACACGCGGTAGTCCTCGTGGCTGCCGCTGCTGTACCGCTCCACCTTCTTGTCCAGCGTGCTCAGCCACCGGGCCACCAGGTGGATGTTCTGCAGCCAAGACCAGGGCTTAGCGTCGGCCCCACAGGACAGGCCCCTGGGCGGTGTCCCGGCTGGGACAGCCCCTCCCGACAGCACCCGCGTCCACCTCTTGGGTGCTGAGCGTGTGGACGGCGTCAGCCCAGCCACCAAGGCCCCAGCCCCTGGAGTCCCTCCACCTCTGCTGGCCCCAGCCAGATGATGGTCTCAGTCCCTGCTGAGAAGTTTGGGTCAAAAACAAATGCCTGGAAGCTGAGGTCCCCACAGTGGGGCCTGGCGAGGCCCTGGGGACGGGACCAGTGCCTGCTGTGGGGTCTGTGGGAGTCAGGCAGGCCTGGAGGGGCCGGCGGGGCAGTCGGGGGTCTGGGAGAGGCTGGGCTTGTGCCGGGTTTCACGGAAACACGGAGACACCCCTTCCCCCAGGCGCGAGGAGGGCGTTTTGCCATTTAGGTGGGGGTGCCTGGCCTGCAGCTCCCCCTGGGGAGCTGCCAGACGCCCACACGGCCCCGGGCCGGCCGCAGGCTCTCCGCACCTGCAGGATGACCCAGTGCCCTTTGCTGGCGGCCTCGTCCAGGGCGTTCTCGGCCACCACCTCCTGCCCCTGCCCCAGGGACACGTTGTGGAGCTTCCCGTTGTCGATGGTGAAGTCCAGTTTTTTCCCTGTGGGAAAGGAAGACGGGGGAGTCGGGGCGCTCAGGTGATAGGGCCGAGGCTCTGGCCCCCCACAGCCTCGCTTCTTAATTCTGGCAGAGCACACGCACATTCCAGTCAGCTTTAAAAAAATTAACATCAGGGCCTCCCTGGGGGCGCAGGGGTTGAAGACACAGCACTATGAAGCCATCAGCAGCCCCTGCAGCCCGAGTCCATCCCCGGCCAGGGAGCAGCCCACGGGGCGCGGCGGACCCCTCCTGCCTCCCGCTGCTCCCCTCCGCAGTGGATTTCAGTGGATCCGCCTGTGCTGCTCCCCACTCTGTCTCTGGGGAGTCCTCTCACCTCCCACACCTCTGGCCTGCACCCCAGCTCTTGTATGCATAAATAAATCTTTAAAAAAAATTGAATTTAATGACATTCGATGCAGTCACCCCAATCCTCGCTTGTGCCGTTGGTGCCCCGGGGCCGCTTCTCCCCGCCCCCCACCTCATCCTCTCCTGCCTCTGCGACCGCGGCCGCCTGTTCCCGCAGCCACGTGGGGCCACGTAGGGCCGAGTCGCGTTTCCGGGTGTCCGGACGCCCCCGCTGGCCACACTCACCCAGCGCCTCCACGTCCTTCAGGGGGTCCACGCCCGGGGAGAGGATGAAGAAGATGGGCGTGGAGGGGCTGCTCTCCTCGTAGGACTTGGAGAACTCCACGCTCCGGCCCTCCACGAACTTGCTGCCCATCTTCTCCTCCACGAAGTTCCTGGGGAGACGGGCGGGTGAGAGCCGGGCCGGGCCGGGCCGGGGCGGGAGCCGCTGCCGCTGGCAGCACCAGGCCAAAGGCCGCTCCCTGGGGACACGTCCGTGCCCCGGAATCCTGGGTCCGGCGGGGCGGTGCGCGGGGGCGTCCTGGCCACAGAAGCTGGCGGGGCGGCCCCCGGCTGGTTTTCGGGGAGCTGGTTTTCCGGCCCATCCCCTCCCCGGGCCCGTGCACTGGAGGACACTGTGCCGGGCCCCAGGAGTATGGGGGCGCTGGTCACCACCAAGGCACAGCCCAGCCCCCTGAATGTTATCCACCCCCGATCTGAGTTCCTTCCTTGGAAGCTGCGCCTGCGGCCCCCACTGCCCGGGAAGGTGGCCCTCCTGGCCTTGGCTCCAGGGCACGACCTGAGGCTCCTGGTGAGCGGGGTGCCTCTCTAGGCAGAGCGCCCTGGGGCCCGCGCACCCTGCAGGTGCCTTTCTCAGGTCACCCGAGCTGCACAAGCGTTGACCCAGGCGAGTCTCAGGAGCCCTCTGGGTGGCTGGGCTGGACGCCGAAGGTGCCGCTGCAGCGGGCGGGGCCCTCACCTTGGCCTAGCCCTGGACCCCGCTCCTGCCCTGGCTCCTGCCCCGCTCTCCCCGGGGTCGGCCCCCGCCCCTCACCCTTCCTGGCCCCGTTCCTCTTCACCCCAGAAAAACAGCCAAACAGACTCCCAAGGTGTCTGTGAACCCCCCGAGGTATGAGTCAGGCTTCTGCTGCCCCGACGGGGCTGCCGCCAGTGACGGGAAATCTGCCTGGGCTGCCGGGACAAATGTGGGGCACATTTATCCCTGGCCAGGGAGCTGACACACATGGCGCAGCAGGCTTCTCCTGTCTCCCCGCTGCTCCCCTCAAGGGCTCCCCTGAGCCTGGCCCAGGTCGGCCTCCTGCCCGAGGGGCTGTCTCCCGGGGAGGCTCCTTGCGCCCAGAAGCCACAGCTGTTCCTGAGCCCTTCTGGGACCCGGTAGGCCTGGTGGGTGGGGGGGGCAGGATGGCTGTCCCAGGCCTGGAGGGGTTTCTGGTCCTCCAGGGAAGTGGTTGGGGGGATGAGACCAGTTCTTTGCCAAGGAGCCAAAGCTCCAGAGGACAGACCCCCATACACCGGAGCCCTTGGGGCGGGCGTCCTGGGGTGCCAGCGGCTTTGTCAGTCCCCCCGCCCGACCCCACAAGCACTCTGCCTGCGTGGCCCACCCCGTCCTCACTCAGGACATCGGGTCGGGTCGGTGGCCCCGAGACCCAGACAGCCAAGGCCCAGGAGTGGAGGCAGCGCGGGGCGCAACGGCCCCTCGGTGCCCGGGAAGCAGGGCTGCTTTGGCCCGGGGCGTGGGCCTCCCCTGGGCCGGGTGCGGGTGGGCGGGCACCAGCACGGGCGGGGGCGGGCGGCGGGGGGCTCACTTGACGGCGTAGGTCATGCGGTCGGGCCGCATGCACCGGACCATGCAGAGCTTCTGCAGGGCCGTCTTGTTCTTCCACTCCTTGGGGAAGACCTCCTTCTCCGGGGCTTCCGACTCCACCAGCTTCTTCCACCGCTTGGCCGACCCCTCGATGTCGCTGTCCAGGTTTTTGAACTCGTCCATCTCCGAGAGGGCCTGGGGAGCACACAGCACCCATGACCCTGCGGAGCCCAGGCCCCAGCCCCCGGGGGAGGGAGCCAGCTCTGGCCAAAACACAACCACAGCTGCCGCGCCCCAGCAGACCAGGGGCCGGTCCGGGCGGCGGGTCTATCTGGGGACGCGGGGCTCCTTCTCTGGGGGGTCTGGCTCCTCTCCAGGGACCACCTTCTTGGGTCATCTTGAACGGAGATGTTGAAACCCGGGGTCACGGGCCCCGCTGGTGGCCTGGGGGTCAGTCTCAGGCTCTCCATGCTGAGGCCCGAGTTCAATCCCCGGCCAGGGAGTGACCCACATGGCACAGCAGACCTCTCCTGTCTCCCCGCTGCTCCCCTCAGCAGTGGATCTCAGTGGATCCACTTGTTCTGCTCCCCACTCTGTCTCTGGTGAATCCTCTCACCCTCGCACCTCTGGCCTGCACCCCAGTTTTTCTGCATAAAAGGAAACTCGGGGTCGTTGGGGCCCTGAGTGTGGGTGTCTGGGCACCCGAGGGGTGGTCTTTCACTCTGTACTTTTTAGGGGACAAGAGTGGGGGAAAGACCCTAGACACCCCCAGCCTTTTGCCAAGTGAGGGTCCTGGGGTCGTAATTGGATGGGAAAGTGGGACAGGGCTTCCCTGTGGGCATAGGGCGTGCACCCCATTTGGGGACATGCCTGAGTGTACCGCCTCCTGCAGGGCCCCCTGGTTTCCAGAATACCAGTGGCAGCAGCGTCTTGCCGGTGTCCCCAGCCCCAGCAGGGAGCACAGGGGACCACGCACCCACCTTGATGCCGCCCCAGCCCTGGTGCTGCAGGAAGTCCACCGGGGACACCAGCCCCGCCTTGAAGGGGAACCGCAGCAGGAAGTCCAGCTCCATGGGGTTCAGCTCCTTCTTCGTGGACAAGACCTGCAGGAGGCAGGTGCTCAGACCTGTCCCAGAGCAGGGTTCACGCCCCGCACCCACCAGACCCACTGTCCTGCGCGGGCCAGGCAGGAGCTGGCCCCGGCAAGGTGATCCACGCACAGAGGTCTGTCCACTCCCATGTGCGGCCACCCCACGTCCAGGCCTCGTCTCCCCCGATAGCAGCCCCTGGCAGTCGTGATCAGGATCTGCCTGGACGCCCCACGGGGGGTCGCACATCAGGTAACGTGCGTGCTGGAGCCCCACTGGGCATGCTTTCAGGGGTCACCCTGTTGTCACGCTTGGTGCTTCCTTCCTGCCTGGGGTCGAGTCCACCATGTGGACGCGCTGCAGGGGGACCCTCCGCTGAGGACAGGGCAGCCCCCTGGGCCGTGGACGCCCCAGCGTGAGCACCTGCGGGCAGGGCGTGGGCGCCCAGGGCGGGTTTCCAGGGGCACGTGTGTGGGTCGCGGGCGCCACGTGGCTTCTGGGGGTTGGCTGACGGGTGGACTGCGGGGGTGCGGCCCACCCACCTGCCAGGGGCTGCGCAGCCGCCTGTGCCACTCCCCTCCCCGCCCCTCGGGGTCGGACTCCGTCTCTCTTTGGGGAGAGGAAGGAGGGGGTCAACCCAAAAGTTCCGTGGACATGCTGGGCCCCGCAAAGTGAAGGGGGTCCCCACGGAGCCGCACCCGAAGCCGTCTAAGGGGGCAGAGTGCGTCTCGAGCCGAGACCGGGTCGGCAGGGGAGAAACTCCGTGTGACGCAGTCGTCCAGGTTTGAGTCTGCGCCGAAAACCGGGTTCCCATGGACACCCCAGCTCTGCGTGACGGCCTTGGCGTCACCCGCACCAGCAGGTCACGGGGCTTCGCCCGTGTCGTGGGACAGAGAGCGCAGGAGGGACATTCTTCCCTCGTTGCTGTGTTTCCTTAACCTCCCCTCGGCTCCGAGCGGGCTGACCCGGGCCGCTGCGGGCTGGCGCCGCGGGGCCTTTCTCTGGGCACTGCCGGCCGGAGCTGGTCGCAGCCCCCGCTCCCCAGCCAGGCCCGTCAGCCACCCAGACCTCACCCCCAGGCAGGCTCGGATCTCCGGGGTCCGGACCGGGGCCCCACCCGCCTTCCCAGCCCCTCCCCAGTTGCGGGCCCGTTGCCGCCAGTGGGCCGGGCCCAGGTTTTACCTGAAAGGCCATCTGGGCCAGAAAGATGAGCTTGTCTCGCTCGAAGAGCCCGCGGGCCGTGTACATGTACACCGAGTAGGTGATCTCGTCCGTCAGGTTGATCACCCGCTGTTTGATCTCGTCGGCGGGCGCCGTCCTCTGGATGGCCTTCTCGAACACCACGTTGAAGGCCTGGGCAGCAGCCACAGCTCGGGGAGGCTGGCAGGGTGGACCCCCGGGTACGGGTGCGCCCCTCCTGCAGCCTGGCCCGCCGCCCTGGGGGTGTCCGGTGCCCCCACGGCCCAGCCCCAGGCCCAGCGCACCTTGAGCGAGAACTGGTAGATGGGGTTGATCTTGTTGAGGTCGTTCAGGATGAAGTAGAGCAGGGACGCCCTCTCGGCGGCCGGCCGGTAGCTCTCTCTTGCCTCGTTGATTTTTGCTTCTGTGATTTCTGCCTCTTTCACCTGAAAACAGACCACAGGGGCTTGAGCGCGGCAGCGGGAGGGTGACCCGGCGAGCAGAGGTGCCCCAAGCCCTGGGCGGCCTGGGCAGTCAGCCTGGGCCCCACCTTCTCCCCAATCTCGTTGGCCGTGTGCTTGGTGGTCTCCAGGTTCTCCACCAGCGCCGTGTCTCCCAGGAAGTTCCCCGAGGCGGCAGACAGGCGGGCCAGCAGCGAGTCCTCCAGCTCCTTCAGAACGATCTTGAACTCATTTTGAGACTTGGTGAGGTTGGCCTGCAGGAGGGGCAGAAAGGAGGGTCGCGGCCTCTGGCCCCGGCCCGGCGAGCAGCTGGTGGGATGGGTCGCTGCCTCTGCAGGAGGGAGGCAGGAAGGGGAAGGCGAGGACTCGGCCGCGGCAGGAGATGGGTCTGGCTGAGCAGCTGGGGGTCCGTGGGCCCCGGGGGGCTCGGCCTCACCTTCAGCTGCTCCAGGTCTGGGCGCTCCTTGGCCACCACGGCCGCCAGGAGCTGGTCCTCGAGCCCGTCCCTGGTGACCAGGAAGTTGATGAGGGTGCACTGGGCTTGCATCTCAGGCTTGTAGTGGGGGTTGAAGTACTTGGTGTGCAGGATCAGGCGGAACTTGGGGTTGTACTCCACCTCCTTGTCCCCGATCTTGATGAACCTGCGGGCGGTGAGTGAGTGTGAGGCTCTCGGGGCCAGCGATGGCCACACACAGACGCCCTCAGCGCGCCGGAGAGGCTGCGCCCTCGGGGTCCCGGCGCTTCAAGGAGACAGATGTTCCCATCTCTGCCGCGGGGTCTCCAAGGCTGATGGCCCGTCCTGCCCGCCTGCAGCCTTGGGGGTACGGGTGCTCTTCCTGCCACGCCCCATGGCCCTCACCTCAGAGGCGCTGACACCCCACTAGAGCAGCAGCATGAACCGGGGCGCCTCTCCCTGGGGGACCGCCCTTGGCCTCTGCCCTGCTGTTTCCTGTCAAGCTCACTTTTTAGGGGTCTCCAACCAGGCCCATCTCAGAGCCGGGGACACCTGCAAGCCCACTTGCCACCTCTGTGCGGCCTCTGCGTGGCCCCGACAGGGAGGGGGCTCACAGCAGCTCGGGCAGTTCCAGCCATTAAAGTTGATTTAATTTCTCCGACACTATAAAGAAACACCAGCTCGACACCTCAACCAGCGAATGGACAGGCAGGACACGGCTGTCCGTGCAGCCAATACTGCCCAGTCCTCGGAAAGCACCAGCCCCTAAAATTGCCAGGACAGCACAGACCTTGGGAACACAACGGAGGGCAGGAGGCAGCCCCTGGCCAGACCTGCCCCACCGACAGCAGCGTCCACACCGCTTAGCCACAGGTAGCAGACGGGGTTACAGGCTTGCGGGGGTGGGTGGCGGCGGGTTTCCTTGTGGGGAGATGGAAACGCTTTGAACTAGTTAGAAGTGGTGAGTGGGCTGCGGGCCCTCGACAGATCACTTTAAAAGGGTTTGTCTCAAGAAAATATAGGTAAAACACTACAAGACATACATCTCAGTAACATCTTTGAAGATTCATCACCCAAAGCAAAGAAAGTCAAGGAAAACATAAACAGCTGGGACGACATCAAACTGAAAAGCTTCTGCACAGCAAAAGAGACATTAACGAAAACAGAGTGACACCCCACTGATGGGGAAAAATCTTTGCACCCCAGTCAACTGATAAGGGACTGATCACAAACATATACAAAGAACTCACACGACTCACCAAAAACAAAATATACAATCCAGTCAAGAAATGGGCAGAAGAACTTGAAAGACATTTCTTCAAAGAGGAAACGCAAATGGCCAACAGGCATACGGAAAAAAAGTTCAATATCCCTGATAATTACGGAAATGCAAATCAAAACCACACTGAGATACCACCTTACACCAGTGAGGATGGCACAGATCAAAAAAACAAGCAACAACAAATGCTGGCGAGGATGTGGTGAAAAAGGAGCTCCCCTGCACTGCTGGTGGGAGTGCAGACCGGTGCAACCACTGTGGAGAGCTGTGTGGAGGTTCCTCAGTCTACTGAAAATGGAGCTACCGTACGACCCGGCAATTCCACTCCTGGGGATCTCCCCAAAGGACACAAAAACATTGAGTCAAAAGAGCGCCTGTGCCCCTATGTTTACTGCAGCACTAGTTACAACAGGTAAACCGTGGAAACAACCCAAATGCCCCAGAATAGATGACTGGATCAAGAAGATGTGGTCTATATACCAATGGAATATTATTCAGCAATCAAAAAAGAGAAACTCATGCCATTCGCAGCCACGTGGATGGAGCTAGAAGGGATTATGTTCAGTGAAAGAAGCCAGAAGGAAAAAGAAAAATATTGGATGGTTTCACTTAGCAGGAATATAGGGAAACCCAATAAGACATCAGTGTAAAAAAAAATAATAACGGTACAAAACACAACAAAGCAAAAAGAGACAATTATAAACCAGAGACATCCTGCAGGGGAGGAGGCGGGAGAGGGATCAGAGGGAGGGAGGGCGGAGCACAGGGGACTGAGGTGATGGTGCGGGGGTGCCTTGGCGAAGGAAACTCTATGGGGCCTACACCTGAGGGGGCGGGGGGAGTAAATACTGTTTAAAAATGAACAACGATGTGAAAAATAACAAAAAATAAAATAAAATAAATAAAAAAAAGGGTTCGTCTCGTTATGTGGATTTCATTTCACTTGAATTAAAAAAAAAAGTGACGCAGGCTCAAGCTTTGCAAAACGCACGGAGGTGGGAAGAGGAAAGCGGAGCGGCGAAGGGTCCCACCTGCAGGGAGGGCTGCCCCCCAAGGGCGTGGCCTGCCACCCCACCCCCTTTCAGCAGCTGGGAGTTCCTTTACGTGTGGGCGTTTTGTCAAAGGCCCTCTGCCCAGGGGTAGGCAGAGGGTGTGCGGGCAGTTCACAGAGGTGGCACCGGCAATAACTCACCTTCCCTTTTTAATGGTGTTCCTGCCCAGCAGGGGGTCCAGCACGGGATCCACCGTCTCCCCGATGTTCTCGATGAGCAGGGTGTCCCCTTCAGAGATGGCCTGCTCGATGATGTCCAGGTAGCTGTGGGCACAGCACGGGCACCCTTTAATGGCAGAGGCCTCGGGGTGCTGTAGGGTGCCCCAAGGGGTGGCCCAGGGGGCCGGCACCGGGGCTTCTGCCTCAGTCTCCCCTGTGGGCGTGGGGAGAGGGGGGGAGAGGCCGGGAGAGGCGGGGAGAGCTGGTCTCCAGCCCCCTGGGAAGGCGCCAGGGGGCCCTGGCCACAGACGGTGTTATGAGAACTGAACCCCACAAGCTGGGCCCCGAGGAAACGCGGGGTGGGGGTGGCCAGGTGGGGCTCAACCCAGGTCGGGGCGGGGGGCTAGGTCAGAGCCCCTCTCCGGGGCTCTGGTAACCGGGACGTTTCATTCGGGGCCAAGTGTCAAAAAAAAATCCACCTGTGGGCCAGGGCTGGCACTCCAGGGTCAGAAAGGCGGGAGGAGCCTCTACCTGGCCGGCGGCCCCGCCCCTCCCGCCATGGCCCCGCCCCTGCCGCCCTCGCCATGCCCCGCCCCCACAATGCCCCGCCCACACCCCGCCCTAGCCCCGCCCCAAACTGCCCTCGTCCGCCCCTCGCCCCGCCCCCACCGGCCCTAACCCCGCCCCCAGACAGCCCCGCCCCCACTAGCCCCGCCCACCTCTTCTGCCCCAGGCGGATGGCCGTCATGGCGGAACCGTATTTGTTCTTGATCCACTTGATGCCCTGCAGCTGGGCGTCCACGATCAGCGGCCAGCGCTCGGTGCTGCACAGGATGGTGGCGTTCTCCGTGGACATGCGGTCGCTGGGCAGGCCCTGGTTGTTCCAGGTGGCCACGTCCGCGTCGTCCGTCAGCAGGCTCAAGGGGTCCAGGCCCTTGGTGATGGGGATGGGGACCTGTGGGCGGGGCGGGGGCCTGATGCAGCGGCTCTGCGGCAAGCAGGGGATGGGCGGGCGCGAGTGGGGGACAGGCCGGGGACTGCCGGAGCAGGCGGCGGTAGGCGGGGGCCAGGTGACCCTGGGCCGGGCCTGTGCTGCCGGGACCTCCCCACATTGCCCGAGCGACGGACGCAGCCCCCTCACCTTTAGCTGGTTTATGTACGGGATCCAGAACTTCTCCATCAGCTCGTTGCGGTATTTCTTGGTGAAGTAGCCCACGTAGGAGACGAAGGCGGAGATCAGCAGGACGTCCCCGCACAGGGTGATGCCCTGGCTTTTGAAGTTCTCCACCGACTCAGCCCAGCGGACGTTCTCCGACGCCAGCCCTCCGACCAGCCTGGAGGGGACGGGAGGTCTTGGGGCCCTGCAGGAGCCTGCAGCTGGGCCACCGGGAGGGGAGCAGAGGGACACCCCCAGCCTCAACCTCGCATCCTTCCTGGTCCAGCGGCTCGGCAGCGAGATGGCTTTGGGGGATTTTGAGAACAAAAGGATTCGGGAGGCAAGATCCAGGGAAGCGGCTGGGAACGCTGAGCCCCTCTCCCCGCAGCCGCTGTTGGTGGGAGCAGAGCAGCCCACCCTCCTGCGAGGGCACTGCCTGGATGCCTCTGGCTACAGGCTCCCACCCGACAGAGGTGAAGTTGGGTGGTGGCCACAAGACATGGGGCTTCCACAGGGAAGTGCATGCAGGTCTGAGGGTGCGCTGGCCGAGGGTGTGCTGGCCGAGGGTGCGCTGGCCAAGGGTGCGCTGGCCGAGGGTGTGCTGGCCGAGGGTGTGCTGGCCGAGGGTACGCTGGCCGAGGGTGCGCTGGCCGAGGGTGTGCTGGCCGAGGGTGTGCTGGCCGAGGGTGTGCTGGCCGAGGGTGTGCTGGCTGAGGGTGCGCTGGCCAAGGGTGTGCTGGCCGAGGGTGCGCTGGCATGTCTGCTAAAGGCCTGCCTCAGGGTTATCCAAGCAGCCCACACAGGCCAGCAGCAAAGCCCACCTTGGTTTCTTTGCAAGTTTGGAAAGTCACTCAAAGCAGGACAGGGTGACGTCTGCCCCACTGGAGGTCACTTGGGCAGGGGACATCTTTCCGCGTCATCTGCCCCGGGGCCACGCACGTCATGCAAACGTAGCAGCCCCTGAATGTGGGCAGCCCGCAGCCTGCACCCCACACCGCATGCAGCGGGAGTGGCTGGCTCCAGGGCTCAGCCCTTGGGCTCTGCCGGTAGTGGGGGGTGCAGGGCAGGGGGTGGGGCGGCCTCTACCTGTTGGCCAAGGAGATCACCCTGTTGGTGGCATCGGCCTCCTGCTGGCACCGGATCTTCTCTGCTGTGGCCTTTTCAAACGCCGAGGTCAGGTTGCTCAGGTTGGCATTGAGCTCCTGGGCAGACAAGAGGGCAGGGTCTGGGATCAAACACCAGGCACCCCAACCCCTGAAGCCCAGCCTGTGGGCAGGAGGGCGGCGGGCAGGGACTGGGCCACGCCCTCCCCCCTCCCCCCCCCCCGCCCCTTTCTCTGCTGAGTGACTTTCGACATTGGCCACGGCCCCATTCCTGGAACCGGCGGCTGAGCCACTCACAGCAATCTTGTTTTTGATGCGGGAGAGCTTGTCCTGGGCCTCGGCCAGCTCGGCATTGGCTTCCTCCAGGGCCAGCCTCTTGGGGGCCACGTCGCAGTAGACCTCGTAGAAGCGCACGATGTTGATGCACCAGGAGCACAGCCCCGCGGCGGCTGTGGACTTGGAGCGGATGAACTCGGGGTCGAACGTCGGGTTTCCCTGGTAGGGCCTGGGGAGGGACAGGGTGCTGGCCGGGCGGGCAGGAGGCCCCCCAGTGACCACCCGCCCAGCCAGCGTATCGGTCTACAGTTACGGAACGAAAGGAACCCAGAGTTCTGGCCCCCGCAGTGGACTTCGGGGTGTGAGGGAGAGTGGAAAGCCGTGCTTTCAGGCCCATATTCTAGAAGGATCCAGCACGTCCCATCCTCCAGGGGGCTGGCGCTTTGTGTAGCTGCTCTCATTTAAATTCTCCAAGGCTGGGCCTCCCTGGTGGCGCAGGGGTTATGTCTCAGCACTGTCAAGCTATCTGCAGCCACTGTGGCCAGAGTCCATCTCTGGCCAGGGAGCTACCCACATGGCGCAGCAGACCTCTTCTGTCTCCCCGCTGCTCCCCTCAGCAGTGTGTTTCAGTGGATCTGCCTGTTCTGCTCCCCACTCTGTCAGGTGAATCCTTTCACTCCCCATCTCTCGTCTACACCCCAGCTCTTGTATGCACAAATAAATAAAATAAATCTTAAAAAAAGATTCTCCATGTCTCCATCACATGCAATAGGCTGGGCCTTGGAGGTCAGCACCCTGCTGGCGTGCGCCGGGGGGCCCTCTCTTCTGTGGGGGAGCACCTAGAGAGGCTGCCCATCTCCCCAGGGGGCACAGCTCACAAGGGGTGGCCCAAAGCCCCCGCCCCATCTGCTTGCCCCAGTGCCCGGCTCCCCAGTCGCCACCTGGAGGCCGAGGCTGACAGCGGCCAGGTGCAGGGATGCGGGGAAAGGCCGCAGCTGCTTTTAGACTCTCTAAAAACTCGTACTTCTAAAAAGGGCAAAAGACCTGAAACAGGCGCTTCCCCAAGGGACACCTGCAGGGGTGCCCAGGCAGGCAAGAAATGCTGGTCTCGCCACCCCCACATCAGGCAGCAGCTCACACCCGCGAGCCGGGAGCGAGAGGCTGGTAGCGGGGACGTCCAGGGCCTGGGAGGGCGGCCGCCGCCCGTGGTGGGGTGCCAGCCGCCCGGCCCGGCAGAGGCAGCATGAAGGGGGCCCCGGGCCCGGCAGCACCACCGCTGGATGTCCACCAAGGGACGCGAGAGCGCGGGCCCGGCAGCTCTCTGCACCCCGTGTCCACAGCGCCCAGCCCGGCCCCAGTGCCCCTCGCACGGCCGAATAACGCAGCCATGGACGGACGCTCAGCGGGATGCCCCTCCCCGTGGAAAGAAAGGGGGTGATCGTGCTCTCGGGGAGCACGGGTGGGCCGGCGCCCTGACGTAGGCCGGGAGCCAGGGCGGAGCGCGGGGAGCCAGAGAGCAGCCACGGCAGGGCGAGCCCGGGCTCCGAGCACCAGCGTTGGGGCTGGGGGCTGCCAGGGGGCTGGGCCGCGGGCTGCGGTGGAGGGGGCCGAGCCCGGCACTCGCCGAGGGGTGCGCCGCCTCCCCGAGTTACACAGTCTCCCCCAGTTACACAGTCTCCCCGAGTTACACAGTCATGGGCACGGGCGGCGCATCAACGCCACTGGAAGAGCAGAGCCAGCACCGTGAGCGCGCAGGGCCGCCCCGGGCAGGCGGAGCTTAGGCGGGGCCATCTCCCCTGTTTCTTCGCTGAGGCCACTGGGGAGGCCCGTTTGCTCCTTGGAAGCACACCCCGGGCAGGGCCGCACCCCTGGCCACACCCCAGAGATGCTGGGGGCCGGTGTAGGGGGGGACGCGCGCTGCAGGGGAGCGGGGAGCAGAGCCGCCTGGCTCCGGGCCACGGCGGCCAGTCACGTGGCAAGATCACACGTGGCTAAAGCCATGAAGCGCTTCTGTGGGGACTTTTCCCACAGTGTGAGGTAAAACGCCGCAGCGGGGCAAGTGCCTGCACGCGGGCGCGTCCGTCCAGCCGTGGGGGCGCTTCAGACAGAGACGGCGGAGAGCTGACGCTGGCCCGCGGCCTGGCTTGGGCGGACGGCGAAGCACCGCGGGCGTTTTCTGCAGCTTCGGGGTGCTCGTGCTTATCGGGCGCCGACCAGCGGGTGGCAGCCGGGCGAGGCTGGGGTCCCGCTGGCCCTGGCCTGGGCCTTTCTCCGTTGGGTCCAGAGACCCTGGCGTGGGCCCAGGGGCGGGAGGCGGGCCGGGGGCGCACAGGGGGAATTCGGCTTATGGGGTCGGACGTGGGCACCCCACCCAGCCCAGGGGCACCGCCACCAGCAGGCTGGACGTGTGCTCGACGCTCACAGAGCCGCCCGCCCGCAAGTGCTGTGCGCATGTGTGTGCATGCCACGTGAGTACACACGTGTATCCCGGGGCGCACCGCGCGTGTCGGCTACTCTCACAGGGATGGGCCCGGGGCCCTGTGGGTTCCCCGTTGGGCACCCCGAAGGATCGTGTGGGGCGGGGGCTGCCCAGACGGTGGGTCCCAGCCCCGGTGCCTGCCGGCCGGGAAGCCGAGGGTCATGGGCTCCCTCGCCGCGACAGCCCGAGCACTGGGGGGCGGCCAGCGCCACCCCGACCCCCAGCAGGCCCAGGGAAGGCTGGAGAAGGCTCCGCGGTGCCGCCGGCCCCGACTCACTTGAAGGCCTTGAGGCAGGCCTCGGGGATGTGCTCCTTGTCGAACTTCTTCAGGGAGTCCAGGAAGGTGTCCACTTTGCCCATCATGATCTTGGCGGCTTTCCAGCTCTTGTCCTTGGGGATCTTGCCCCCGGGCGCCGTCAGAATCATGACAGCAGCCGTGACGTTGACCACGGCGTCCGGCGGGGACCCGAAGGACTTGAGCTCTGTCAGGTTGTTCTGCGGACAGCAGGGGCGAGGCCCTGGGGGAGTCCCACTGGCCCGGAGTGCGCCCCAAGGCCTCCCCGCGGCCGTCTCTCCCGTCTGCCCCTCACCTTGTTCAGCGTGTCCAGCGCTTCCTGCGCGGCCAGCAGGGCCGGCTCTGCCTTGGCCAGGTCCGTCTCGCAGGCCTTCTGCTTCTCGGCGACGTTCTGGAGGGAGGGCGGACAGGGACGGCACATGCAGGGGCTCCAGGCGGCAGGCACGAGCTCAAGGGGCGCGGCCCCAGCCGGCACCCCTCTAAATGGCAGTGCCTCTGAGCCGGCCTGTGTGGGAGCCACCGCCCTCGGGCCCTGGGAGGCCTGGGACCCGCCCCAGCTGGTGATGACGCTGGCCGCGGCCCCTACCTTGTTGATGACCTCCACCTTGACCTCCTCCTCGTCGGCAATGGCTTTCTCTTTGCTGACCTTCTCGGTCTCCACGCCCACCACCTGGATCAGCTTGTCCGCGTTCTCGTTCTTCTGCTTCAGGTCGGCCTCCTGGATGGCCAGCTTGGCCTTTAAGTCGTCCACCTGGGGAGGGGACATCAGGGGATGTGCAGGCCAGGCCGGGTGGCTGCCAGCCCGGGGGCACTGGGCCACGCCGAGCGGTGCTCCCTTAGGTGCATTTATTGAGCACTGGCTGTGCACACAGGTGGAAGGTGTAAGACATGTACTGTTGCTCAGAGAGTGCTGGGGGAGGCTATGGGGATGGGAGCACTTGGGGGGCGCAGGCCTGGCCAGGGGGAGGTGTGCTGGGGAGTGATAGGGCTGCCCACTTGGTTGGGACGCAGCCACCGTGTCCAGGACCGTGTCTGGAAGGTAATTTCCGCAAAGGGGATGGGGCCGTGGGCTCGCTCCTCCCCCGGCCTCTGTAGGGGGGACAGTCTGGGCTGGACCGGGATCCCCCCCACAGGTCTGGCTCCTCAAGCCCCTCGGAGACAGCACCGGCGGGCAGCGCAGGCGGGAGGCCAGGACGGCACCTGGTCCCGGGCCTCACCTGAGACGCCGTGCTCTGCAGCTTCATCAGCCCGTTCTCCAGCCTCTCGATCTTGGCCACCAGCTCCAGCCTCTTCTTGCCCAGCAGGCTCTGGTAGAGCTTGATGAGCTCCAGGAAGGTCTTGGGCGTGGTGTAGTTGTAGCGCCTCTCGGTGGCGAGGTACACCTTGGACATCTCGTTGACCGTCGTGTGCACATAGGACATGAAGAGGCTGATGGAGGCCTTGACTTCTGGCTGCAAAGGCAGGTGGGGCCGTCCATCCCTGCTGCCCTGGCAGGGCCCGGGGAGGAGGCAGCTGCTGGCCGCGGTGACCCACAGGCGCCGGGGACCCTGGGAGACGCCCGGCCTCCCTCACCCTGGGTGGTTTGAGACGGCGAGGCGCGGCAGGCTTCCTGGGTGCTGCCGAGGGCGCCCACCAGGGCGCAGCAGAGCCCGGCATGGTTACCTACCTCTCTGCCTCTCACTCGCGCCAGGGGAGGCGCCGGGCTGGCAACGTGTCTGCACAGCCCAGGTCACCCAGCGAGCGGGTCCGGTGCATGTCCTCAGCCCGGCGAAGGAGATCAGAGGTTCTTCTCCCGCCTCCTGTCCCCGGCCCGCCCAGCGTCACGGCCCCTGCCGCCCGGGCCTGCCCTGGGAGACGGGCCCTGGGCGCTGGGCCCGGGAGTGGTCCTCACCAGGCACATTCAACGCAGATTTACTTGGAAAAGCGTCCCTCCCGCCCAGGTGCCTTTGGCATCTGCTCCGGCCCTTGCGGGGCCCAGCGGAGGGACCATCCCTGCTGCCAGGAGGCCTGTCCGGGGAACTGGGAGCCGCCTCTTTGCCCCGAGCAAGAAATGGTCGCTGTGGTGCCCTTGGCAAAGGCCTGAGCCAGCACGCAGTGGCTGGCCTTTCCCCCGACAAGAAGGGGGTCCACCCATTAAAACGGGGCGGGGTGTGCCTGCAGGCTGCTCCTGATAGCACCATGTGTCACAGGGGCCAGGACGACGAGGTGTGGCTCAGCCCAGGGCTGCCCCCACTGCCCGTCACCGCCACCGCGGGCAGCGCCCCCTGTGTCCAGGCCGGCAATGAGCGGACATGGACATCATCTCTCAGCCCCACCCCACGACAAGAGGACACTGTCAGAGCAGAGCAGCTGCCGTCACCTACTTGTCTCACCCTGGACAAGGGCAGGTCGGGGGAGGCAGCAGCCTTGGGGAGACGGCCGGGGGCCGCGTCCACTCATCACGCGGTCATGCCCCAGGTGAGGGGTCAAGCCCAAGCTTAGCCGTGTGACCACGGTGCTAACCCCAGGTGCTGCCGTGGCACAGTCTCGCAGGACCACCGACAGCAGCCTGCTTTGCCCACGGCTCACTCGTCGTGAGGCTTTGACACCAGCGTGGCTGTTCGTGGCGCCCCTGACATTTCCGCCCACGGCCAGCGTCCCCCTGCCCCGCCCTGAGCCCGCCCCAGAGTGGACCAGGGTCCCTCTCCAGACAGGCGGCCCAGCACACAGTGGGAGCCGAGGGAGCCGGGCTCCTGGGACCCACCTGGATGCCCTCCGTGTCCTCCAGGAAGCGGGCGCTGACGGACACCAGGGCGTCCTCCGGCCACTCGTGAAACCAGTCGATGGCCGTGCAGTTGACCACCGCGGGGAACTTCCGCGCCCGCACGCGCAGGACGGAGCCCACGGGGGAGAAGCACAGGATCACCTGGATGCGGGGCACGGGGTGCATGCGTGTGCGTGTGCATGCCTGTGTGTGCACGGGCGGGGCAGCGCGGGGGCAGGTCGGGCCTGAGCAGGCAGCCCCGTGGAGGCGGGAGCGGGTGCCCCGGCTTCCCAGGGTCGGGCAGAGCTCAGCCAAGGTCAGGCCTCACTCGGCAGCTGTGAGGGAGCGAGGTGAGCCCGGCCTGCCGGAGGTGGCCCCCAGAGGGTGGGCGAGGACGGAGCGGGCCGTGAGCCTCCTGAGAGGCAGGCGAGGCCCGAGCAGGGAGGGCCCCACCCGCCTTCCCGCCGGCAGCGCCGGCCCCACGGCACGGGGGCACCCAGGTTCCCGGCCCCACCGGTGAGGGTGGAGCTGAGGGGCAGAGAGGCTGAAGCAGACGCGGAGGCTGGGGAGGGGACCTGGGGAGGCCTGCGGGGCAGGGACGGTGAAGACCGAGCCGCGCCTCGGCCGGGGACTGCACCAGGGGCTTGGGGGCATGAGGGAGACGCCTGAAGAGACTTGGGTGAGGCCCACAGGGACCCTGGCAGGGGCGGCCGAGGCCTTGCTTTGTGCCCTGATTTTCCGTCCAGACTTGCCCGGCCCCCCTCAGCGCCCCTTTCCGGTGGACCCCCTTAGACGTGGGGCAGGCTCTTGGGCCCCCGCGGCCCCGCTTGGCTCGGCCGACCCTGTTTGGCCAGGCGTTCGCCCACGGGGGAGGGTGACCCCGGGTGTTCCTTTGGGCATCTGCTGCCCTTTCTCCTCTTCTCTGCACACGGTCTGTCAAAGCTCCTTCACTCCGAGAGGACGCTTTGTCTTGATGCAGCAGGTGGCAGACCCCATTCAGAGCATGCAGGCTTGGGGGCCCGGGTGACCCTCAGTCTGCCCTCTAGGACACAGCCCCCTCCAGGCCCCAAGGGGGTGGCTCATCCCCTGACAGGCTGGGGCTCTGGCTGATCTGGAAGTGGCATCCTCATGGTCATTGCCACCTCCGCCCTCCCCGGCCCAGCTCTGCTGGAGAAGAGCAGGGGCACCCCCACCCCCGCCCCTCAGCTGCCCCGCCGGGGCTGTGCACCACTCTGGGAGAAGGGGGAACATGCTTTATTTCCCTTGTCAGGGTCCACATCAGTGCAGGGGCCTGGAGGGGCCCTCGGTGGGCCCAGTGGCCAGGGGCTGGCTGTCCTAGCTGGACGCCGAGCAGGAGGAAGAGAAGGAGCAGGCACAGCCAGGGCTCCGAGGAGGGTCCCCGTGAGCGGGTGCTGAGCTGAGGGGTACGTCTCTGCCTGGACTTGCCATCGGTGGGGTTGACCGTGCGCACGCTCCTGCTGGCCACGCCGCACGGCCTGAGGCCCCCGCCGTGCACCGGGGAGTCCGTGCCAGGGAAGCTGGTGGTCCCCGCGCCGAGGAGAGGTGGCCTTGGGGGTAGCCCAGCCGGCGGGACCTGCGTGGAGGTGACGCCTACCTTCAGCTGCCGGCGCACTTTCTCGATGAAGAATTTCCAGCACATCTCCCGGGAGTCATTCAGGCCGAGAGACTTGACTTGCGGCCGCATGGAGGTCAAGATGTTCTCCATGTCGTCGTCCGTGAAGAGCCCCGGGACCTCCCCTGAGGCCAGCAGGTCGTTGATCAGCACCAGGAACTGCTCCTCGGCCACCTGCGAGTCCGTCATCAGGAACACCGACGGCACATTCTTCACCGCCGACTTTATGTACTGGGCACTCAGGTCGAGCTGGACACAGGAGGACCCGCTTGGACCCGGGCCAGAAGGGGCAACCTGGGCAGCCACCCCCATGGCCCTGGGCACACCTGGAGGGCAGTGTCCTAGGAGCCGCGCTCAGGGGGCCCTGACCCCGACAGGAGGGCCTCAGGGTCAGGGCGTGGCTCGAGGTGGCCACGATGGTGCATGGACATGCGGGCCTCCCTGCAATGCGACCCCACCTGGGAAGGAAGACCCCCGGCGGCGTGTCTCGGGGACAGGAGACCCGGTCTTCCCAGGCTGCGGGCTTGTGGTCAGAGGCCTGGCCATGCGGAGCCTGCCGCCCAGAGGCCCAGGAGCCTGGAGTTCGAAGAGCAGCTAAAACCAAGCCCCCTTGGCTATTTTGGGCTGGCCTCATGGTGGGCAGGGCCCCCCCACCTTCCCCTGGCTTCGACATGTGGCGCAGGTGCTGGCAGGACCGTGTCCTGGAGAAAGACCCTGGACATCCAGCCCCTCCACGCGGCGGCTCCATGTGAAAGCGGGAGGAGGGAGGGTTTCCCCGGGGCCACACCCAAGTGGTAGGAGGAGCCTGCGGCTCACCTTGAGATCTGGGATGCCGTAGCCCTTCTTGATGGTGATCTGGAAGACGTCCAGGGAGCTGATGTAGGCGGCCAGGCGCGAGAGGCTCTGTTTGCCGCTGCCGCCCACCCCCACCAGCAGGGCGTTGCCGCGGGGGGACTCCAGGATGCGGTTAATCCTGCAGATGTGGGCCACCGCATCCTCAAACAGCACCTGCGGATGCCGGATGGGGGCCGTGGTGACCTGCCTCGAGCGCGGGGACTGCCCCCAACCCTCGGGCAGTGCTTTGCCAGCATGGTCAGCCCAGGCCATGACGTCCCGGCTGGGCGGGGAGGGGGACTCGGCAGCCAGCGCCTCACCAGGTTCATCACCGCGTTGACTTCGTTGTAACTGTCCAGCACCTCGACCAGCAGCTTGCTCAGGTGCGCCATGTCCGTGACCGGCAGGTACTTAGGGTCGCCGATGCCTTGGGCGAAGTGGCAGAAGATGTTTGGTTTGGCAAACAAGAGCTCTTCGCCGAGGTCCTAGGAGCGAGAGACGGGCCTCTGAGCTGGACCCCGTGGGCCCTGGCGCCTTGCCCTGCAGGCCTGGGCACTCAAGATGTTTGTCTGGGCTCCGGGGCCCAGGGGCCTGTGGCCCAGGGCCTGGCCGGCCACTGGGAGGGCTCCCCAGGTGTTCTGATCCCGTCATGGCTGCATGAACTGGCAGACAAGAGGGACTCTGTCCAGGAGGGACCCTCTTCAGGAAAGCCCGATGCACCACAGGGCCCCCGACTGAGCAGGACGTCCCGTGGACGGGGGAGCCCGCGCATCCTGGCCTCCTGAGTGAGAGCCGGCTCCCCTCCTGCAGACACCACCCTCATGGCCAGTCCTTTGGGGACTGCCTGTCCGCACCCCTGGCCGCCCCTTTCTGGCCGGGCGGCAGGGCCGGAGGCTGCATTTACGTCCAAGAACTTCTTGGTGGAGGCTATGGTGACCCTGCGAAGCGTGTCCTGGTCCTTCTTATCGATCATCTTGTCGCCGTACACGCGCTCCGCTTCGTGCAGCCAGAGGCGGGCGAGGTCCAGCGGGGCTTTCAGGACCTCTGCCGTGGAGAACAGGAGGCCCTGTTGGGAAGTGGGTGGTCAGTGGCACCCCCGCCGAGGGGCAAGGCAGAGGCTGCCCGGGGCCGTGAGCAGGCCGTGAGCACTTCCCCGGGACGAGCCACTGTGCTGTGGGGACAGTGCCCCTCAGGGCAGGGCAGCCACTGACCGCCAGGGCCATGCAGACCCTGGGGAGAGACATGGGGATACTCCTCATAAGAGAGGGTCAGGGCTTCACCCCTCGGGGGGTGGACGGTGGAGAAGGGACAGAGAGGCTGATGGGGGCCTAGACTTGCAAAGGCCAGAGCCACGGTTACAGGCGTGGGCTCTGCAACAGGCCCGCCTGCGTCCAGGCCTGGCCACTTGCTGACCACGTGACCCGGATGAGACCAACAGGTGCCTGTTGAGTGTGCTGTTTCCCGGCACTCTCTGGGCTCTGGGACACAGGTCAAGACCGACCCGCCTTCCCGGAGCCTGCATTCCGGCGGGAGGCGTGACCAGTCAAACGGCCGCAGGCGTTACGGTCATGATAGTCTCACAAATGACACAAGTGGGGGCAGCCAGGGGGGGTGTGGGCAGCGGGGGGCTCGGGGCATCTGAGCTAAAGCGGAAGTGGGAGGAACCAGATGTGACCTCGCCCACGTGAGCCTTTGACACTCCCCCCCCCCCCCCCCCCGACACACTGCTGTAAAACAAGCCTGTGGGCCTCTCACACGAGCGGAGGGAGCCGGGCCCAGGCGGCCAATAAATGAGAGACAATGTCATCACGTCACCACCATGGCCACCACCCCCGTCACCGCCATCCCAGCCTCGTCATCACCGTCACCCTCACATCACTCTCCCCGCCACTAGTCATCTTCACCTTCAGCGTCACCGCCATCATCACCCCTGTCCCCAGCACCGGCGAACCACCATCGTCCTCACCGCCATCACCATCACTCTACGTCATCGTCACCATCATCACCGCCACCTTTACTGTCAACACCGTCGCCGCGGCCGTCACCGTCCACAGATCACTTCGCTTTCTCCCCCGGGAGAGGCAGAGGGGAGTGCACCGGTGGCCCAGGGGCTGGGCCGGGAGGCGGCCTGGCACAGCTCAGACAGCCGTACCTGGAAGATATTGGAGAGGTCCCTGAGGTTGAAGACGTAATGAAACTTGATGGCCGTGGGGAGGAACGTGGCTGCCACTTTCTGATGCAGGGCTGGAGAGAGAGAAAGACACCGATTCTCAGCCTCTTCACGGCCGGGGAGTGCCAAGCTGAAAGCACGGTCGCTCGAGCAAGCGGACAGTTAAATGGTGACAGTTAAATGGAGTGAGCAATCTGCATGGCTGAGGAGGGAGGACGCTCGCGGCTCGATGACGCGTAATCATTTCTGCGTGCTGGGTTCCCTGCCTCTGCCTCCCCTGGAGCCGCTGCATCGCACAGCAGCGCCTGCTGAAACCCAGCATCATTTAAAAAATATTGATTTAAAAGTATAAATAAAACACCTGTCGGGGGGAAACACGACGACACCCTCGGCCCCATAAAGCAGGTCTTCACGCCAGGAGGGGAAGGGTGGGCGGGACGGGCTGCTCACCCAGGGCGGAGGCCACCAGCTGGCTGCTCAGCCTCTGCACCGCCATGGGGGCCATGCGGTAGGCCAGGTGCTGGGCCAGGATGGAGCTGTAGATGGTCGTGAGGGCCTCCTGGCCCGGGAAGCTCACGGCAAACACGCAGAAGTGCCGCTGCCAGAACAAGCAGAGACCCGTCGGGCCGCCTGGACGTGCTGGGGCTCCGTCCCTGCTGCCTGACGAAGCTGGGCTAGACGGACAGCTCCCTCCTCGCGCCCCCGCAAGCTACAATCCCATTAAGGGTCCACTCTCCCTGGCTCAGCCGTCTTTCCTTTCTGCTCCCAAGAAAAATGGCTGACAGGGGCACGAGCCTCAGTGCACAGGCCTGGCTTCATCTGTGCCCACCCGCTCACGTGACCGAGAGGGGGTCTGGCCTGGGCGGCTGCAGATGTGACAGGGTGCCTGTCGAGGGTGACTCTCAGACCAACACAATAAACTTTCAAGTAAGTGTGTCTGCACCTGGTGAGTCGCCCGGCCCCCCGACACGGCCGCCGGCTTGCTGTGTGTGTGGAATCCAGATTCCCTGGGCACCTGGATTTCACCAGCTGGACATGGCAGCTCTCCGGGGCCCGGGAGGCCTGGCCAGCTTCTCAGCATCCCCGGACCCCAGGGGCTCCTGACACTTTCTGAAGCCTGGGGAGCCCTCCAGAGGCTTGCGCCGCTGACCGATGCTTCCACCTCCCGGCCGGAGTCAGCCTCCGCCCGCGGCAGCCAGCGCAGTGAGCCTGACCTCTGCTGACCTGGAGTCGGGGGTCGATGGTGAAGGACCCCGAAGTGGGGTTCATGCACGCCACATACTGACAGTTGTGGATGTCCTTGAGCGTCAGCTTCTGTCTGTCGTACCTGCGGGGAGACCAGGGTCCTGGGGGAGGCGCCCACCCTGCCTGCGAGGAGCCTCCACGGGGAACAAAACCAGCTGCACAGGTGCCTGGTCGGTCTGGCTGCCGAGCGGGCCGGGCGGGGCCCAGCGGGGCTCAGAGTGTTGTGGCAGGGACGATGCTCCCGCCCAGCCCGCCCCTCACGCACCAGTGTCCGTGGTCCATGTGCTGCCGGATGAGGGTGTGTGGGGCCACCGTCCCGTACTTGTCCACCTCGGGCATGTTCATGTCGTCGATGAAGTAGATCAGCTTCTTGGTGCCGGGAGGCCCGTAGTTCCGCCCCGATTTCTTCTCCAGCGGCTTCTCCAGCACCCCTAGAGCCGTGGCCAGGCAATGGCCGGGTCTCAGTCCCACCCTGTACCCCTGTACCCCGGCTCTGCTCTGCACCCCCACTTGGCCCCGCCCACCCTGCTCCTGGCCCCGCCCACCCCCGCTCCTGGCCCCGCCCACCCCGCTCCTGGCCCCGCCCACCCCTGCTCCTGGCCCCACCCACACGCCCTTGCTCCGGCCTTGCTCCACCCTGCATCTGCCGCGTAGCCCTGCCCCGCCCCCGCTCCTGGCCCCGCCCCTGCTCCTGGCCCCACCCACCCGCCCCTGCCCCGGGCCCCGCCCGTCTCTGCACCTGCCGCGTGGGCCTCACCCTGCAGCATGGCCGAGGTGGTGTAGAAGTTGAAGGGCACGGCTTGCACCAGGTAGTCGTCGGTGTTGAGGTTTTCCAGCTTGTCCCCCATCAGCACCGACTTGCCCGACCCCGCGTTCCCCACCAGCATCACAGGCCACGACTTCTCCATGAGCAAGTCCATGAAGTAGCGGATGCGGATGGTCTCCGTGGTGTGCACGAGGGAGGCCTGCGGGGCGCGAGGGGCCTGACCACGTCCCCTGCCGCGCGCTGCCTGGCTCGGGCAGTGTCCTCGCCCCACACCCACTCAGGTGCTGCCGGGGCCCTGCTCCACCCTGCACCTGCCGCCCGGCCCGGCCCCACCCCGCCCCTGCTCCTGGCTCTGCTCCAGAGCGTGGGAGGGGCCGAGCTGTGGTCCATGGTCAGCGGCCTCTGCTGCGGGGACGTACCTGCAGGGGGACATCAGGGTCCAGCTCGAAGGAGGGCACCTTGTCCGTCCATGGCAGGAACTTCTTGGTGTCGGGGTCTATGTAGTAGTCAAAGACCGTGCCCTGCGAGGGGAACTTGATGGTCTTGAACTCGTTGATCCACCATTTGCTGAACTCGACTCGATAATCAACAAGCTGTTAAAAAAAAAAAGGAAAGGAAACCGTAGCCGGGGTGGCTAAGCAGCTGCGGGATACCCCCGAGGGCCGCAGGGAGACCCGCGTGGGCGGCGGGGCCCCTTGGTGCCTGGTCACCTGGTCCTGGAACATGGCGCCGCCGAAGGCCCAGAAGCAGGCGAACACGAAGTAGAGTTCGTACAACTCCTTGGGGGAGTCGGGCGGGGCGCTCTTCTCGGTCAGCAGGCACTCCAGCAGGTACAGGATGGTCTGGATGACCGTGATCTCGGGCACCGGCGTGATCTTCTTGAACCCGACCCGCAGCTTGTCCAGGCAGGTGGGCAGGTACTTGTCGAAGAGGATCATCAGGTTGGCCTTTTCAGACTGCACCTTGCGCCTCTCGATCCAGCTGCTCACCACTCTGGGGAACATGGGGAGCACGGTGAGGTGGCCACGGCGTTGTGTCCCCTGGGTGAGCGTCGCCAGGCTGCTCCCTGAGATCCTGGGGCTCCCACCTGGCGTGGGGGATGTGGAACTATGCTCTTCCCTGGGAACCTATCCAGGGGGGTGCTAGAAGCCTAGATAACTGGGAGCCACCCTTACCAGCCCTGATGAGGCCAACATTGAGGGCAGTAGAGCAAGGGGGTAGAAGAAATCAGAGGAAAGTTTCCATGAATCCTTTGGGTGGGGGTGGGAGAGAGAGGATTTGGTGCTGGGAGGGAGAGAGGAGAGAGAGGAGAGGTGATGCAACGTCTCATTACTTCTCCTTGCTCCTGGATCCAGCCATGCCTGAAGCGCGCCATGCCCAATTAAGTTGGTCATTTTTTGTTTTTTGTTTTATTCAGCTAGTTTGAGTTTGAAGTTGCCATGTGCAGTGGGAAAGTCCAAATCAGCGAGTTGTCTGGCAGGCACTGGCCTCTGCGCATAGAGGTGGCCGCCACAGCAGTGTGGGAAGTGGGCCCTGGAGCCCTGCTGCCTGGGCTGGAACCCACCCCCCCACTGCCAGCGGCGGCCGTAAGCAAGTTACTCCACGTGCCCGGGCCCCGGATTTCCCGTCTGCCATGGGGACGGCAGCACTCGCTCCCCTTCAGAGGACTGCCTGGGCTGCTCTGTTTTGGAGCTTGTCGCAGGGAGCCCGCCCCTCGTCAGTGCTGCCCAAGTGTCTGCTGCAAGTGTCGAGAGCATCCGGCTCTGGGGGGGTCCACGCCCGCCCACAGCCACGCCGCCGGCAGCTCCCGTCCAGCTCTGCCTCCGGCCGCACCTCCATCAGGGCAGAGGATGAGCGGAAACCCGCGGCTCGCCCAGGACAGCCGGCAAACCGTTACACTCCCACTGTCTGAACAAAACCGCGGCCCCAGCGCCCGGCAGAGCTAAGAAGCGACGTCCAGTCTTCAGCAGAGGCCGACGTGCACACCTGCCTGCAGACCGCTGCCTTCGCCTGCGGTTTTGAAGGAGTTGGCGTCCTTCGTGCCTGCGGATGTGCACCTGGCAGGGAAAGGGTGTCCTCCCGCCCCTGGTCGGGCGGCTCCTGCCTCGCTGCCTGGCTCCTCCGGCCCTGGAGCCTCACTGCGTCCTCCCCAGCCCTGCAGGGCAGGGGCGCCTCCGTTCCACCCTGTGCCCCCAGAGGCTGCTCTGCCTCGAGGGGTTGCTGCTCTCCCAGCCACTCCACTGCAAAGCCCAGGTCCCTCCTCGTCCCCAGAGAGGCTCTCACTGCCTTGGCCACTCCTCTGGGGGCCCCAAGAACTGCTCCCACCTCTACCCACACCTGCTTGCCTGCTGGTCTCTCCTCCTCCCGCTGGCCGCTCCCAAGTACCCCACCACCTCCGCTCCCCTCCCCATCTGAGGGTTCCTCATTTCAGTCCTCTGGCTTCATCTGCGGTTCACCCCTATCCTCAGCAGCAGGCAGGGTGGTGACCCTCCAAAGACAAGGCCCCCCAGGACCTCAGACGTGGTGTCTGCAGGTGTAATCAAGGGACGGCCCTTGAGGTGCGCTTGCCCTGGGCGAGGGTGGCCCTGACCCACGCCTGTCCAGACGGGGCAGAGACCCTGAGGGCGAGGAAGGCGCAGGGAGGGGACCGCCAGTGGCACGGGCATGGGACGCCGGCTCCGCGGCAGCGGTCCCTGGCCCGTTGGTGCCCCGGCCGTCCAGCAGATGGCCTCGCCTCCCGAGAGGAGAAGCAGCGCATCGAGCTCACCCTCCCGCCTCTCCCCCCGGGGTGTGGGCGCCCTGCCCCAGGCCTTCCATCCTGAGAGACAAGCTCTCCTTCCTCCCGCGCCAGCCGCACAAGTTGCATTTCCAGAGAGGGCTGCCGCTCCTCCTCCGCCACCGCCGTCCGGCTTCCGGTTTGCGCCCGAGTCAGCGCTGGGCCTCCGGCTGCAAGGCCAGCGGCAGCTGTCCTGTCCGGCCCCTGCCCGGGAGCCTCTCCCCTGTGTCCGGGAGGACATCCCTGGATCCCTCCTGCCTTTGGGTCTTTCCGCCCCGAGCCTCCTGGACTCCAGCTGTCTTGTCTTCCCAGAGTCTCTCCGCGCCGGCCACATCTTCCCCGAGGAGCCAGCCCCCCGGCCTGGACGCTCCGAGGCCGGACACACCGTCGGGCCAGGCCTTCTGGGTGGGGGAGCGAAGGGGCGGGTGCAGGGCCCGCTGGGGTAGGATGTTCTCTCCTGCGCCTCCTGTTGCCGGAACGGCCCGCCTGGGCCTCTGCTCCGGGCCCCTGGGCACGGCTCTGCCCGCGGCCGCCGAGCGGGAAAACGCGGCTCCGGAATCCACAGCAGGTCTCCCGTTTCTCAAGGTTCCCAGCATTCCTCACCTCCCGGCCCCACCCCGGCCCCGGTGGCCCCGTCTTCTGCCTGCGGCTCGTTCACCCGGGCTCCCGGCGGTTGCTGTGAGTGCAGGCGGGTGTGCAGCGAGCGAGGCAGTGTGTGCGCGCGCCCTCCGCGTCTGTGTGCCCCTGGGGGTCCTGCGTGCCCCGGACCCGGGCCTACTCACGGATTCCACCCCAGGTCGGCGGGGTTGATGTACAGGATGCCGGCTCTGGACACGGTGGCCGGGGTGGCCGTCCGCAGGTGGCTGATCTCGAACACCAGCCTCATGGTGCGGTTCAGGGGGATCCGCTCGTTGCTGGCCAGGGTGAGGACCTAGCGAGGGGCCCGGGGTCAGGCGCCATGGCTGAAGTGCGTGCCTGAAGTTGGGGCCCCTCCACGCTCGGAGCCTGCCGCCCCTGCAGCTGCCCTCCTCGGTGTTTCTCAGCCACCCTGTGCCAGCTCCACCTCTGCCCGCCGCGGGCCCCAGGTGGACAGTGAGGAGCTGAGTGAGTGTCATGTTAGATGCCCCCTGCTGCCCCCGGGAATTCTGGGGAGTCCAGAGTCCTGCTCTCAAGCTGCGGCTGGTAACTCCAAGGACCCTCTGCCGTCAAAGCCCTCACTGCCCTTTCTGTCCTGCGTGATCGGGACAGGAATGCGCTCCCTGTCTGTGCCCAAGGCGGGGCGCGGGGAGCTCCGCAGAAGGGGACCCCATAGTGGGGCCAGGGGTCTCCTGGGGGAGGTGGTTACACTGCAATTCTCTGAGCCCTCTGTCCCCCACTGCCCCCGACGGAGGTTTGGGGGTTAGGGCTAGAATCCAGCAGCCCCTCGAACCTTGTTGTCATCCATGACGGTGTTGAGAGACTCGATCCACATGGGGTCTATGTCCCCGTCCAGGACGATCCACTTGGGGCCGTCGTGGGTGAGGTTGGCCAGGTCCCGCATGATGGTGGAAAACAGGCCTGTGAGCGAGCCGGCCAGGTGAGGGGGCAGGTGAGGGGCAGGTGAGCAAGGTGGGTGTGAGCAGGCTGGTGTGAGCAGGCCCCCAGCAGACCAGGGGTGCTCTGAGGCTGGAGGGCTGACAGGCTGAGGCTGGAGGCCTGAGCCTGCCCTCTCTCCTGGAGGTGGCCACACCCCAACTTTGGGAGACAGCAGAGGCCCTCGGACAGGAGCACCCCCCCTTCCTGCCCCCTGGTCTCGCCTCCGCCCGTTGGGACGCACCCCTGGCTGCCCCAGTCCCGGGGAGCAGGGGGAGGCGAGCTTTCCCGTGTCCTCACTGCCTCTTGGCGCTGGCGCCATGTTCCGGTGCCCGCCCCCCGCCCCCTGCCAAGGGCCTCGGGGAGCTGGGGAGGGCTGGCATGGGGACCCCCCGCTGGCCCCGCCCAGGTACCGTCTTTCCACTCCCTGGTCGCCGGGTTGATGATGCCAAAGAGCTCGTCGCAGGTGACGGCCTTGGGGTCCAGGTCCACGGCCACCGGCCTCCTCTTCAGGTTCTGGTAGGTCTTGTTGAGGGACTTGAGGACCTGCATGGGGGCATCACCGTGGGCTCAGCCCCGACCCCAGCCGCGGGGGAGGCAACATCCACACCCAGGGCCCCCGGAGCCGCAGGCGGGACCCTGCTCTGGCCCTGTCCAGGGATGGCCGCTGCAGGGGGCTCCGCAGGGGACAGGGCCGGCCTTGGGGCCACGCCGAGGCCCCACGTAGTGTCCTGAAGACGAAGCCCCGGTGCTCACGGCACAGTCCAGGCAGGGAGGCCCCGGCTTCCCGCGGGGAGAGGCTGCAGGGACACTGGAGGAGTCTCGTGTAACACGCACGCACACGCGTGTACCTGCTCAAAAAGTGGGGTTTGTACGGGTGCTGCCCCTGCGTCTCTGGTCTTTAGAATAACCTTTACTAACAGCGCGGTCGTCTTCTGGGGGCGTCTGGCTGAACACTTGGCTGGTTCAGAATTTTCCAGAGTTACAGACGTTAGTGACGTAGCTGGCGCCTGATCTCCACCACGACCCGGGCGGGCAGGGCGGGGGCTGGCGCGGGGAGGTGGGTGACCAGGGAGAGGGCCTCATCAGTGGAAGCAGGGTCCCCAGGCTGCCCCTCGCCCCGCTCCTGCCCAGACCACAGCTTCCTTCCTGGGCACATTCTGGACCTGGGGCTTCCCGATGCACTGGGCCGGGGGAGGGGGAGGTGAGGAGCTGACACTTTAGCAGCCTCGCTGGTGAGCTGGAGCCCAGCAGAGTCCTGGGGCACCCCCCCCCCACCCCTGCAGGGTCGGGGAACCCAGGCACCCGCACCTGGGACTTGCCGCTGCCCGCGTTCCCGATGACGAACACCGAGTGGCGCACTTGCAGCAGCTCCTCCAGCTGCACCACCTTGAGCACGAAGCTGTCCTCTGCCTGCAGCTTGAGCTCCAGGATGCTCTGCTTGATCACCTGGGGGCCGGCAAGGCCGCTGAGTGCGGGCACCAAGGCACGCGGCCTTTCTGGGGGGGCTTTCTCGGGGGCTGTTCCAGGGGACCACGGCCTCGGCATGGAGGAGCCGGCCAGTCCCGCCCGCGGGGCTACTGAGAGGCAGGGGATGGTCTGCCCGAGGCCCTGCCTGGAGCTGAGACAGGGGCTGGTCAGGGCTGCCAAGGGCGCCCGGGATTCGGGGGTGCCTCAGAGCGAGGGGGCCCCCTGGGGGCCTGCCCTGGGATGGACCCGAGTCCCGGCCTCATGCACCTTTTCAAAGTTCAGGTCCCGTTTCCGCGGCACGTCCAGGGCCGGGAAGAGGTCCCCGATGAGCCCCATGAACACGGGCAGGTCGTCGGTCACGATCTTGGGGATGTTGAAGTCCCTCAGCGCCCGCATGAGCACCTGGTCCTCTGCCCGGCTGGGGTCCCCCCTCTTCAGGGAGCCGGCCACCACCAGCACGGACTTGATGGCTCGCAGGCCCCAGTCGTAATGGTCCTGTGGGCGGGCAGGGCGAGGGGGAGCTGCCTCAGCAGGCCGAGGCCAGGGCACAGGGTGGGGGAGGGTGTGGCAGGGTGGCGGCGGCAGCCCCCCTCAGGCCAGGGGCCCCCCGCCTGGGTGCACACCTGCTTGGAGAGCAGCTCCTTGCACAAGGTGTAGAGCGTGATGAACTTCCTGGCCAGGAGCCGGGCTTCCAGGAAGCCCTCGGCCACCAGCATGATCTCGCAGATCAGCTCGAAGTCGGGCACCACCATGGCGCAGGGCCTGGGGACATCGGGGAGCCTGCCTGGGGCTCGGCCTCACCCCGCCATCCAGACACTCCACCTGGCCACTCACCTCCCCTGCCCCGGGGAGGGGAGCAGGAAGCCACCTGCCCCCGGCTCCCAGGACTCCTCTGTCCCCTCCAGCCCTGGGTTGGCCCCCCTCCCGCCCACACACCTGAACAAGGCCTTGAGGTTCTCGGGCAGCTCCGTGCGGCCGGCGTACCCGGGGTTCATGGTGATGAAGAGGCCCACGGTGGGGATGAGCCTTATCATCTCGCCCAGGAAATTGAAAGTTTTCTTCTTGGCGCGAATTGCATCTTGGACACATTTTACCTAAACGGTGGGCACGGACGTCAGGTCTGCGTCAGACGTCAACTCCCGGTCGGCCGGAACCGATGCGCCCGGGTGCCAAGGGTCCGGCCAGCACAGACGCTCCGGCCGCAGCCCTGCCTACCTGGCCTGGAACCCGCCGGGACCCCGCCCCGCCTAGGCCTCTGCGGCCGCACCCGCCCCGCCCAGCCCGCAGCTCTGTGGCCGGCCTGCCCCGGCCCCTCGCCGCGGAGTGACCGAGCAGGGTCACCGCGCCGTGTCCCCAGAGGCAGGCTGTCGTCACACTCCTGGGGCTCCCTCCGGGGGCTGCACCCCGTCTGCCCCGTTACCGCTAAGTACGTCCACCTCCGGCCACCTCACACCGCCCGGCCGCGCTGGGCCAGACGCTCTTTGAGGAAGTCCCCCCGCAGGTGAGGGACGCGGCCCTTCCCCCTGGGCTCCCGCCAGGGCGCCCGCGTCCCCGCCCCGCAGCCTGCGCTCCGCCCGCCCGTGCTGGGAGCCTGGAATCCCCTAAGGCTCTTGTTCGCCATCCGTGTGCCCGGGACGGGCTCTGCGCACGCTGGGGCTCCCCCCCGACTCTGGGGTGGGCGGTAACCGCTGCCGCCTCGGGGTCAACTGCCGAGTCCCCAGCGGCCCTGCGCGGCGGCCTGCGCACCTGCACGGCTATCACGGACAGGACTTCCACCGAGATGCGGTTGAACTCATCGAAGCAGCCCCAGGCCCCCGTCTGGGCCAGGCCCTTGTAGATGTTGCCGCAGGACTGCAAAGGGGAGACGAGGCCTCGGAGGGAGGAAGCCACGAGGGGCCATCCCGAGCCGGACCAGGGCAGGGAGCCCCGTTGGGCCCCTTCGAGGGCCCTCCTCCTTCACAGACACCGTCTCAGCATGCAGGAGGCTGTGTGGGCTGCGTGACCGCGAGGGTCAGAGGGCAGATGCCCCCCTTCAACTTCAGGATAGGGCCCCCAGAGAGGGGGGCTCGGGCGGGGAAGCCCTGCGGGCCCAGGCGCCTGAGCTCAGTGCTCCCCTTCCCCTCAGAGGCTGCTGTGGCCTGGAGCCAGAGGGGGTCCGCTCTCCTGCGCCCCTGGGGGGAAGACGCTGTTGCACCAAGTCTCCGGTGACCACCTTGATGGCCCGGCCCCAGTGCCTCACCCACGCCCACCTGGCACCCCACAGTGAACCCCGAGGGAGGTGCTTGCTCTGCCTGAGTACTCAAATGCAGGGTAAGCTTGCAGCCCAACTTGGGGGGTCATTGTCAAGGGCAGGGCAGGACTTGGGGGACTGACCCAGACCAGGGCACATGGCAGCCTTTTCCAGGCACCTCGTCTTCCAGGCACCCTGTCAGGCCCAAGAGGCAGCAGATGCCCAGAAATGCGGCAGGGATTGGTGGGGTGCAGCGGCTGGCCTGTCTGCAGGGCCCGCAGCATGCTGGCAGCCTGGGCTCCAGGTGTCTGCAGCCCCTGGCAGCTGGGGGTGCAGCTGCAGCCCCGGACACCCCGTCCTGCCCGGGCCGGCACTTGCCTTGTAGTCCATCTGCTCGGAGCAGTTGAAGACATACACCATGGTGCCCAGGGCCCTGCCTAGGTCCTTGGTGGTCTCCGTCTTGCCGGTTCCGGCGGGGCCAGCGGGGGCTCCACCCATGATCAGGTGGAGGGACTGGGTCAGGGTGATGTAGCACCTGCAAGGGACGCGGCTGTCAGGTGTGCCCCACCCTGCAAAGTGTCACAGCGTCTGTCACCCCCCTCCCCCGCTAGGGCCCTGGACACGTCAGGGGTGTGTGGTTTTTGTTGTTAAATAATCTGCTCAATTCTCCACCAGTTCACAAGGGTTCAGAACACACCCCCACTTTGCAGGCCCTCTGTCAGAGAGGTGAAGTGAGCCCCCCAAGACAGCACAACCAGGGCAAAAACTCGGGGTCCAAGGATGCCCCCTGACCCAAATGCTGGTTCTTTCCACCTCAGCAGCCGACATCCAGGTCTGACCATGTGAGCCTCGTGGGGAGGAGCCCCTGGAGCGAGAGCGACTCCCATCCCGGGGTGTTCAGGGCCAGACCTGTGGCCCGGTCACCTGTCAGTGAGTGGGGTGATGACCAGCCGCGGCGTGTTGCCAAGGTACTCATAGGAATACTGGATCTGGGCATCACAGATGTTGGCAAAGCAGTGCCTCTTCTCTTCGTCCCAGCGGTGGCGCAGCTGGGACTGCCAGGTGAAGGCCTGGGAGCTTTCCACCTGCCGAGGTGTGGGACGTGAGGGCCAGGAGTGGCTTGCGTCCAGACTGGCCCGACTCCCAGGGATGCTGCTGGGCCTCTGCCTTCCTCCAGCGCCCATGCCAGCCCCAACACCCAATGCACAGATCACACATCTGGTGTTCAGGTGCGTCTAAGTGGGGAGGGAGCAGGTGCTGCCACCAGGAACAGAGCTGGCGTCCCGGGAAGAGGCAGCAGCAGGGCCCAGCTCCCGCCCAGCCTACATGCCTTGGCCACGATCATCTTGGCCACCACGTCCCGAGCGTGCACGTCGATGGTGCAGATGGTCATGATCTTCATCCTGTCGCCAGCGCTCAGGTTCCCGATGAGCAGGGTGATGAGTGTGTTCAGCTGGCTGATCTGTGGGAGCAAAGGCAGCTCACAGCACGCCGTGCAGCCCCAGGTGCCGGGTGGTCTCCAGGCTGTATGGGGGCCCTCCCCGCCCCGTGGCTGGGGAAGACCACATGCGCTTGTTCACAATAACGAAATACAGAAAAAGTTCTCCATGTCCTCCGGTTGGGGTGGGAAGTCCCCCATTGCAATACCAGCAAGTTGATAAAAAGCGATATAGTAGAAGAAAATCTAACGCCACAGGAAGATGGTGGCTATCGGGCTTTAAGAAAAACATGGGTCTTTAAAGTTGTGTAGATTGTACATTTTGACACAGAAGTCAATGAACTACATGCGAAAGTATCAGAAGGCTACTAAAGAGTGGCTCCAAGAGTCAGCCCAGCAGTGGGTAACAAGAATGTTGCCAGTGGTTATGTCTTGGTGGTGGGGCTTTGGGTAGATTTTCTTTCTTTTGTTTAAAAAATTATCCTTGGGTCTCCCGGGTGGCGCAGCAGTTGAGCGCTGGGTTGAGAAGCTGCCCGCAGCCTCTGCAGCGCCGGTTCGATCCCCGGCCCCCAGCGCGGGTCCCACATGGCGCGCAGACCTCTCCTGCCGCCCACTGCTCCCCTCAGCAGTGTACCTCGGTCCTTCTGCCTGCTCTGCTCCCCGCTCTGGCTCTGGTGAATCCTCTCACCCTCCCGCGCTTCTGACTGTACCCAGAGCTTGTATAAATAAATAAAAATAAATCTTTAAAAAAAATTCTCCTTTGTTTTTGAAACTTGAAACCAAAAATTCTTTTTAAAAAAAAATCTGTGGTAGCATTGGATGATTTCTAGAAAGAGAAATTCAGCTTCCATGTTTCCGAAGCAGGAACACCAGGGTTGCCACCTCCGGGCTGTTTCTGTTCTACCAAAACAGATTCCACCAGGCAGCACCCCGGGGAGCTGAGATGTTTCCCACAGACACCCGGGGTCACTCGCCTGCTTTTTGTTGTAATCTTTGATGGCGTTTTCATAGCCCTCCTCCAGCCTGGCAAACGCCAGCCCCACCTCGGTGGTCCACCAGATCTGGGTGCACGTGAGCGCCACCTGAGAACAGACGCCTCGCGTGAGCCTAGACCGCCCGTGGTTATCGGGGGACACGCCTGCCCCGCGCCCCGCCCCCGCCCCCGGCCGCAGCCCAGACCTGGGCGGGGTAATCAAAGATCCACTGCTCTCGGGGTTTCTCCTCGTAGGTCACCACGGCCTCGGGGATCTCGTGGCGGAGCGTGGCACACATGCGGTCCAGCACGCGGTTCAGCCAGACTTCCACCTGCCGGCCGGAGGGGGCGTGGGCGGGGCCCGGAGCACCTGCTTCAGAGGCCTCCACCACAGCCCGTCGCATCACCCAGGGGAGACACGGCCAGGCTTTCCAGGCAGTAGCGGGACCCCACGATCGATGCGGCTGGGAGGCCCGGTGTGCCCCGCGGGGGCAGAGGGGGGATCCGGAGAGAAGACAGTGATGCCGTCCCCCTCCTCTTCCCTCTCTCCCCCGCCCTGTTCCTCTGCCCCCTCCCTCTGCTCTTCTCCCCTCCCCCCCTCCCCTCTTCTTCACTTCTCAAGAGGTGCCCACACTTCCCGGTGGGGCCGAGCTGGAGAGTCCATGCCAAGGCATTGCCAGCGGCCGCCCTGCCCCCGCAGCGGGGAGGAGACGCCCGGGCGGCCTCTCCGCTCACTCACCTGCCCCGACAGGTCACATTCGAGGTCAAAGTCCACGTACTCGTCCTCCTTGCTGTACATGCCCAGGCCGACCTTGAGGGGCTTCCCGCCGGCGTCGAGCTGGAACTTGAGCTTGCACAGGCTGTCGAAGAGCTTGGACAGGTGGCGGCTCACCTGGGCGGGGGCCGGGGGGCGGATTGTGAGCGAGGGCTGGGGTGGGGGTGGCGCTGGGCTGGGGCCTGGCTGGGGCGGGTCGCACGCCCTGTGCCCCCTTCTTTGGTCGGTGTTTAGCGAATACGGCAGTGAAGAGAAAGGTGAAAAGCATCTCAGCCCCCAACACCGGGGACACACGTCTGTGCCCGCAGGTGCTGGCCCCGGTGTAGGTCCCATCCCTGCCCTCGTCCTGTTTCCGTCCGTCCCAAGCTCAGGCCCCACACCACAGGCCACCCCGCGTGCCCCCGCAAACGTGCCGCAAAGTTATGATTAAAACGAGGGGGGCTCACGCCCCTCCACCCCGCTAGTTCGTCCTCCTGTTCATCAGGGGAGCCTCGACGAAGCGCTTCCTCCGGGCTCCCGGGCACCAGGCTGAGTGGGACGAGCGGGAGGGTGGCCCCCTGAGCGGGCAGGCGCCCCAGAAACCATCAGGCAAGAACGCGAAGCTCGGGGCCGGAGCCTGTTCCTTTCCGTCCCCGCGGGCCCTGGGGTCTCGGGCCTGGGCCACCGTGGAGGGACGCGGGGACATCCGGGGCCAGCCCGGAGCCGCCTGGGCGGGAGGGCAGCCCGGGCCGGCCACCCCCGAGTGCCGGCCGCTCACCTCCACGGGGTAGTTCCCGTTGGAGAGGATGTCCAGGAGGTCAGCCGAGGACACGAAGTAGAACCGCGGGAAGGCCAGCCTCTTGGTCTCCAGGTACTCCGCCAGGGCCTTCTCGCACACGGCCAGGCTGCGGGGAGAGCGGAGCCCTGGGCAGCGGCCTCTCCCGGCCGGGGCTGATGGACAGACCCCGGGAGGCCCGGCCGCAGTCGCAGCCCCAGCCCGTCAGGGTCCCTGGCTGCAGGGCGCATTGTTGCCGCCGCAGCCCTTGGTAACTTGGGGAGGGGAGCAGGGGCGGCCCCCACCCCCAGGGCGGTCGTCTGGCGCAGGGAGGGGAGGCGCAATCCCAGACCCCGGCTTGGCCGTCCTGGCCAGCAGGGGGCGCCCGACTCGGTCCCTGCGCCACCCCGGCCGGGCAGGAGACACCCACCTCTTTTTCAGGTTCTCCAGCTTCTTGTAGAGGCCGGGCTTGTTGGTGGCTTCCACCACGTTGGGCGTTTTCACGGCTTCTTCCATCAAGGCCTGGGGACCATCGGCACGCTGGGAGCCCCGTCTCTCCCCGGGGTGCCCTTTCTGAAAATGCCTGGGTGGGGGCGAGGGGGCGGGGAGGGGGCGGCGTGGGGGCCCCGCACCTTGAACTCCAGGTCGATCTTGTCGAAGAGCCCGGCGTCCTTGGGCAGCTGCGTGCGGATGTCCTCGGAGCCGATGAAGATGCTTTCCAGGTGGCTCCAGGTCCTCTGCACCTCGAACCAGATGGAGATGACCGAGTCCGCCGTGGACAGCTTCTGCTGCCAGCTGGTCACCTCCTTCAGGAAGTGGGCCAGGTACTTGGACATCATCAGGTTCTGCAGCTGCACCTGGTTGTCCTCCAGTGTCTCCACCAGCAGCTCGTCCGACTTGAGCAGCGGGGTGCCCGTGCGCGGGTGCGGCTCGTGCTGGAACTCCATGGTGGACCAGGTGCTGTCCAGGGTCTTCAGCACCTGCCGGGGCGCGGGGGTCAGCGCAGGGGCCCAGCACCCCGGACGTGGCTCTAGGACTCGCCGCTGTCCGCACCCCTATCACTCCCCGCAGCCAAGCACTGGACAGTGTCCCTGGGCGGCGGCTGGACAGGCAGGATGCGGTCTGCCCGCACCGTGACCCCAGACGGCCAGGAAAGGGGGCAGTGACAGCGTTACAACACGGTGACCCCCCAAACGAGACATTCAGGGCAGGAAGCCAGATGCAAAGGCCACCCAGTGTGGGTCCCTGGTGGGAGACATGGGGGCGCTGGGGCGGTTGGGGCCCGGGTCTCCCCCTGAGGCGCTGGGAAGGCTCTGAGGCGCTGATCTGAGGGCTGGCGCCGCCCTTGGGCTGCAGGAGGCCAGGCGGGTGAGGAGCAGCAGCGACAACTCAAACTCAAAACAGCTGGGTGAAGAGAGGGGCGTGACCTGCAGAGGGGCCCGGGGGCTCAGGGGGACCTGCCTCAGTCCACCCCTCCCTCCCCGGCTTCTCCAGTCCAGGGCAGAGGCCCGGGGCGGGGAGGCGGGCGGGACAAGAGGGGGCGCTCAGGTCGTGGAGCTGCGCAGCTCGCGCGGGGCCCAGCCGCAGGCGGGCAGTGGGCATTTTCAAGCAATACATTCTGGAAATGCTGTGCAGATCGCTGCCACGACCCCTGGGCCCGCGTGACGAGGCTGCGGGTGCAGCCTCGGGCCCCAGCCAGTGCCCGGCCGCGGGGTACCTTCTCCATCCCCGACTCTTTCACCGCCTTGTCCACGATGTTCCGGACCTCGTCCTCGTATTTGTGCAGGTTCAGCTGCAGCAGGTCAGCCAGGGTCGTCTCCTTGGACATCACAAACTTCACCTGGGGACGCAGGCACGTTCCCTCGCGCGTGGGCCGACCTTCTGGCCTCTCCGCCCGGAAGGTGGGCACGGGGCTGGGCCCACCACCAGCTGCCCTTGACCCTGCGAGTCGGCCTGGCCTTTCCTCCCTGTTGAACAGTGCCCCCTGCCGCGCCGCCGGGGCCTCAGTGCGCCCTTATGTGGACACGGGTCTTGGCTCTTGAGGGTCATGACGTGGAGCCGTCTGGCTGGCACAGGTGGGCCTTTATCGGGGACAGCAGGGAGACTGAGGCACGCAGAAAGTGTGTGTGCAGAGGCAGGGGCCTGTGACGTGGCCCCCAGCCTGGGGTTCAGGGGGAGCTGGGGGAGCCAGAGGGCCCTTGACAACCCTCATTGACAGTCCTCCTTGACAGGGGGGCGCGCAGCCCTGCTGGCTCCAGATGTCTGAGCCCTTCGTGGTCCTTTGTGACGGCGGCTCCGAGTGGAGGTGGGGCCCTGTGTCAGTCACCGGCTGGCGGGGCCTGACCATGGCTCCAGTAACACCACTGGCTGCTCAGAGCGCACCAGCCCCCAGCCCCAGCCACACCCCCTCAGCCTCTTCTTGGGTCATTGGACCCGAGCCCACCCTGGAAGGCGGCGTCCAGCACCCCGCCAGCAGGTCTGGGGGGACCGTCCTCAGGCAGGCTACACCCCGGTCATGCCAGGTCCTGGAGCTTGGAGAGGAGGCAGCTCAGTGCCTGGGTCTCGCCCGGGACCCCAGGATGGGGCCTGAGCCTGTCGCCAGGGGTCTGGACTCAGAGGGACCTTCCGCTTGTCTTTCCACTTCTCTCTGCTGGCCCAGGCCACGTCCCCAGGCTCTGGGGAGCCCTTCCAGCTCTCCCCAGGAGGCCGAGGACTTCCAGCTCCCACCATCACACTGGAAGTCCTGCTCAATGTGCTAAGCACAATAGGCAGCTGCCGCTGTGTCTCCCCGAGAGCCGAACCAGGCCACCCCTCTGCCCTGGCCCCATGTGGGGCCTCGGAGAGCTGCTCAGCGCAGCCTGGCCACTGTTAGCTGATGGTGGGGAGGGCCCCAGGGTCCCCACTATGGGACATTCCTGGAAAGTGTGGGCCTTGGGGGTGCACAGGAGATCTGGGGGGCTGTCCATCCTCCCCTACAACCAGAAGTGGCTACATTATCTATGGGGCCTGGAACAAAATGGGAAGGATGAGGGCCCTTTGTTTAAAAAGAGGATCAAGAATGTCAAGGGGCCGGGCCAGCGTCCCACGCAGCGGCCCGCCGTGCCCCGGCCTGTGTGACACCCGCCCCCGCGCGCCCACCTGGGTGGCCTGCATGAGCTGCTGCCAGTGGCGGTCCCGGATGGCGGGGTTCTGCAGCTCGCTGACGGCGCGCAGGGACGTGATCATGTTCTTGACCGTGTTGTCCAGCCCCACGTAGGCGTCCCAGGTCTTCATCTCCTTGTCCAGGGAGCGCACGTCCTTGGCGAACTTCTTGCAGTCTATGTCCATCTGCTCCACGTTGATGTCCTTCCACTTGGTGGTCTTCCAGTCGTCGATGCTGGTGTTCACCTGCGGCGGAGAGCTCGCTGTCCGTGCCCGGAAGGCCCCGGAAGACACCGGGACACTGAGGCCCTCACTCGTGGGCAGCCAGGCCCAGGGAGAGTCGGGAGGGTGGGCAGCTGCCAGTCACGAAGGCACCTGCCCAGCTTGCCTGCGTCACGTGCGGTGGAAGCAAACTAAAAGGTGACCCAGACAAAGGGAGAGCCCCGAAGCCCACGGACTGGACGACACAGCCGGGACGCAGCTCCCTCTTACCTGCAGGCTTCATGCGCCCCCAGAGAGCTGGAGACGTGACAGGCTTGTTCTAACATGGACGTGGAGGCGGGTGGCGATCTCGGGAGGGGGGAGGGAGGGGTCCCCGCTGGCCGGCCTGGCGCTGACGGGGCAGGTCAGCGGACACCGGTTCTGGCTCACGCCCCCCGAGTCCTGACAGGCCGCGGAGCCACAGGCGCAGGCAGAAAAGGGAAACGCACCCCCCCCTTGACTCACACGGACCGAAACGGTCACGGGCTTCAACGAGAACCCAAACCGTCCAGCTCTCAGGGAAAGAAGCAGGACTAACCATCGAGCTGCGGGGGAGCCCCTGGACCTGACCCCTGGCAGGACGCACTGACGGCTCAGACGGCACCGAACTAAGGCCGTGCCTCAAACGCCCACTGGGGATGGGAGTCGAGATGGGGGGCGGGGACACGCCTCTGCAGGCCCGCGGCCACCCCCTGGCCACCCCGCAGCCGGCCAGCGCACTGACCGCGTGAGGAGTCGCAACGCTCAGGCTAGAAACTGGGCGGAAGGGGCGGCCTCGTGGGAAGCCGCCCCCGCGGGAAGCCTAGGGAAGCGGGGCGGGGGGGTCTCTGCCGAGGAGCCGGGGTGCTCCCGGTTCCATTTTGAACCCAAGGGGGCGAGACAGGAGAGAACGAGGGGAGGCGGAGAGGCCCGGGGAGCACGGGCGGCAGGAGAGGCCGTGGCCCCCCACCCCCCAGCAGCAGCGCAGCCCCCCGCAGTGGCCCGGCCAGGCCGGCCCCTCCGCACTCACCATGACGATCATGTCCCAGAGCTCCTTCAGCAGCCGGACCTCCTTGTGGCAGGCCTTGAGCTGCTTGTAGTCCGGCACGGTGACCTCGAACAGGCTCCCCGACTTGCACAGCGCCTCCATCACGTCCTCCATCATCGTGATGCTCTTTTGTTGCTGGGGGCGGCAGGGAGGTCCTCAGGGCAGCCCCGGCGCACCCCCGCCCTCCCAGGTGAGGGGCCAAGGCCAGCAGAAGGGCAGCCGGGCCCTCCCTACCAAGCAGGGCCCCCAGCCCGCCAACGGGCAGGGTCGAGGCCAGACTTAACGGCCGTTGCACAGACGCCCGACTCCCCGCAGAGAGTCCCCGACCTCCCAGCCTCTCCCCAGTTTTCATGGGACGCGCGCCCGTGTGTAATAAGAGACCCTCCCGGGGGAGCGGTCGCTCCGAGAGGGACATGCTGTGCTTCTCAGGGCTACGGCCTGGCTTTTGCTGGCGTCTCCAGCAGCGCACGCCCGGACCCAGGCTTGGGGGCCGGCGGGCTTTGTCTGGGATTATCCTCAGAATTAGACGCCTGCAGCGCACTTTCTGTTTAATTTTAAAAAAGGGCCTTGCACTGTGCGGCCGACCCCGGAATCTCTGTATTTCTTGTTCTGTTTCTCTATCTTGTCACGCGTTGGCCTGCGGACCCGCCGGACGAGGGCCCAGAGCGGCCTGAGATGGGGGCTTGGGAACAGGGAGTCTGTCATGCCAGGGGGACCCCCTACCCATGAGTGGAGAGGAGGAAGGGTCGCTGTGCTCTGGGCGCGAGGGGCTGCCCGCAGGCCAGGCGTGGCCCAGAACGGCCCCCGAGGTCCTGGGGTCCAGGGGCAGCGGGCACAGGCTGGCAAGGCGGAGAATGATGTGCGGGACGGACACACGGAAGGGCAGCGTCTCCCCCTGGGGAAGGGGGCTCGGAACCCCAGCTGGTGAGAGGGCCGAGGCTCAAGGGGAACACAGGGCACTGGGGGTGTCTGCTGAGCTCCTGGGGGGCCGCGCATGCCACACGCCCCCGCCCCGGGAGTCTCCGTCCAGGGCCGTGTGAACTTGCTCACTGGACACTGACCACGGGCCGAACAGCAGAGACAGAGGAGGACATGGCGAGGCTCGGCCTTGCGTGCATGGGCGGGACCCCCAGGCCAGCCCCATCGAGGTGCCTCCGGGCGCTCACGATGACAGCCCAGGGTGGACAGAGCACAGAGTCCCCAGAGCCGGCGCCCCCAGCAGACGCACCTTGTTCAGGGACTTGTAGGGGTCGGGGTCGGTGAAGGAGAAGGGGGCGTCTTGCCTGAACTTCTCTCTGAAGTCATGCTGCCTGAGCTGCGGGAGAGCGGGGTGGAGGGTCACACCTGCCCCTGCCCGGAGCCCCCCAGGAGCACCGGCCCAGCCCCGCATACCTCGAATTGCTGGCACTTCCTCCTCAGGATGCTGACCTCGTTGGCCTGCAGGGGCGCCACGTTCTGCTTCACCTGCACGGCCAGCTTCTTGGTGTTCGCCCACTGCTCTGGCAGCTCCTGCGGCAGGCGAAGGCAGTGGCTCTGCCCCGTGCCCCGTGCCCTGCCCACTGCCCTGCTCCGTGCCCTGCCCTGTGCCCTGTGAATCCTGAGCACCCCCAGCCCTCGGGGCGGCACTGTGGGGAGCGGTAGTCCTGCGGCTCAGCCAGGAGGCCGGTGCCTTCGCCGACTTCCACCCTAACCCGCGTGTGCGTGCTGCAGGCACGTGCCCGTGTGTGGATGTGCACACAGCAGGCCTGTGGCCACCCACAAGAGCTCCTTGCAGCCCCGCCAGCCCCCTGGACTGTGGGGTTCTGGGCACCAGTGGGGCTGGACACAGCTGGACAGGGCCGGGGAGCCACAGAGGCGCCGGGAGGAGGCTGGGTGGGGCTTAGGCCCGCTCTGGCCCCTCACACCCCAGCTCGGGGCACACACAGCCTCATGGTGTGACGGCGGAGACCTCCAGGCCCTGGCCTGCCTGAGGGGGCATGTCCCACACGGGGAGCGGGGCCTTGGCTCCGGGATGGGGGTTCCCAGAGCAGAACCCCGCCCTCTTGCCCGTGCTGGGGGGGGGGCAGAGCACAAGGCCTCTCAGAGCCAAGGAAACACCAGTGAAACGGGGGCCGTCTCCCTGCCCCTCTCCAGGAGCCCCGCGCCCGCTGCCCGCTGCCCGCCGCCCACCTGCAGCTTCGTGTGGATCTCCTCGGGCATCTCCTCCCCGTAGCTCCTCAGCAGCTGGATGGTTTGCTTCAGGGGCTCAAATAGGCTGTCGGTGGCCGCCTGCCTCTCCTTGACCTTCATCAGGTGCCCCATCACCTCCACCAGGCCGTCGTAGTCCCCCTCCTTGAGGGGCTTCTTCAGGCCCCCCCTGACCACTTTCATGAACACCTCCAGGTCGCTGAGGCTGCGGGCGCATGTGGCGTCTAGGAGCTGGGCTCGCCCGGCCACCTGGCCCTCGCCCAGCTCCGCCCGGGGCAGCGCTCCCCGGGGACCCCGCGCCCAGCAGCCGACTCAGCCTGACCCGCCTGTCGGGGGAAGGCGAGCGGCAGAGGCTGGGCCCCGCCCTCTCCGCGACACCCGCTGGCCTGTCTCTTCTGGCCGGCCCTTGACCCGCGGGCTCCCCCCGGGGTCCAGCAGGTTTCCTCGGGCGCGGGGAGGTGTGCAGGGAAGGGGCGCACCCCGCTGGCCTGGCCTCACCCGACCCCCTCCCGAGGGCCCCACGCCCACCTGTTGATGACGTGGTCGCTCAGGTGCCGCTTGAACATGAAGCTCCAGCGCCGGATGGTGTTGAGCAGCGCCTGCTTGAAGGGCCGGCAGTCGCACTGCAGCCAGCCGTTGAACACCTTGGCGTTCTCGCACCGGGACACCTCCTCGTACAGCCGCTCGTAGGAGTCGATCTGCAACGGCGGCTCTGCTCAGCGCCCGCCCGGCCCCACACCCGGGCGTCCCGGCTGCCCGCTCCGCCCGGGTCTCAGCACGGGGCCGCCGCGAGGCCAGCAGGCCGTCCAGCACCAGGAGCAGCAGCCCCGGGGGGCCCGCCCTCCCAGGGGCTCCTCCTCACCCTTCCTGGGCCCGTGTCACGTTCTCGGGGTGGGGTGCCAGCTCCTCTGACCAGCCCACCTTCAGGTGGCAAAATGTGCCCACTGGGGTCTCCCTGTCACTGGCGTGTCCCGGCTGCCCCGGGGTGAGAGGTGGGGTCCTGCGTTAGCTCCTCTGAGATGACTCAGGCTGGCCCGTCCTCAGCCTGCCTGCCCACCTGCCCCCGCCGCAGGCCCGGCCCACCTCCCGGGGCTGCCGGGGGCTGCCCGTCCTCCTGGGAACGGAGCCACACGCGCCCGTCTGCTGGGCTCCGCCAGCCCGACGAATCACAATACCGCCTTGTAAAACTGCTCGCCTGGGTTTGAAATCAAGCCCGTGGGCCCCTGGGGGGCCCTGGGAGGGGTGGGGTGTGTGGGGTAAGGTCCCCACACACCTGCTGCTGGAACTGAGCCAGGGTGGGCGGCGCCTTGGGGAGGGTCTCCTCGGGCCGGGCGTCCAGGTCCTCCGGGGAGACGGCGTGGCCGTAGGCCAGAAAGTTCCTCATGAACTCCTGCATGTTGCCCAGCCACAGGTAGGAGTAGCGCTCGAAGGAGTCCTGGTACTCCTCGGCCTCCTTGATGGCGCTGATGACCAGGTTGGACACCTCCTCCCGCATCTCGATGAGGTCGGTCATGTCCTCCAGGTCCGTCTGACGGGGCGGGAGGGGCAGGCGGGTGAGCGGGGCCGGGGACGTGAGCGTCCTCTGGGTGGTGTGGGTGAGACCGACCCCCAGCCCCGGAGCACAGCACCCCTCAAGTCCGAGAGGCCTGGGCACTGGGCACGCAGGGATGCACATGGGGACCGCACAGGCAGGGCCGGGCATCCCCAAGAACCAGGAACCATGGCAGCAGGCCCGGCCTTTGCGTGGGGCACAGAAGGGAGGCTGGAAGTGGCCGCGGGCTGAGGGAGGAGCCGGGCGCTGAGGGGCTGAGAGCCCGGCCGTCCTGGCAGGATGGCCTGAGTGTCCAGTGAGGCGAACCCGCCCAGGCTGGCGCAAGGCCGTGACACGCAGCCAGAGCCCCTCGAAGGGAGGGAACGTGTGTGCACCGTGTTAACTTCCTGTCTCTCGGGACGGTGGCGTCTTAAAAGCCTGGCCGAGTGTTTGCTTCGGCAGCACATATACTAAAATATTAAAAGCCTGGCCGGCCGGGGAAGGGCCTCTCTGGGCCCAGCCAGTTCTGAGAGAGCACAGGACAGGACGCGGACAGAGCACGTAGCTCACGTGGGAAGCAGCCGGTCCCGGGCCCCCCATCGCCCCTTCCGGAGCTCACACACAGAGCCGCGCGCCCCTGCCCTGCACCAGCCTCCAGCCGGGCCACGGCCTCGCACAAACCAGCAGCTTCCTCCGCCCTGCCTTCCTTTTCCGCAGGAACCCCCACATCACCTCTGGCCTGGGCATCCCCCTCACTCTGCACCGGCCTCCTGGTGGTGCCTGGGCCTCACCCGCGGCCCGAGGGGCCTGCCGTGCTCTCGCTCCCAGGGCTTCGCTGTCACCCATCACTCCGCAGAGGAAAACCTCACGGCACAAGCGTGACTGGGACGTGGGGTGGGGGGAGGTGCAGCCTGGCGCAAGGCTCGGTCTCCAGGGCCCCGACCACTCTGCTCTGTCCCTCTCCGGGGGCAGCAGTTGCAGCCCCGGGTCCTGACGGGCGCCCGTGGGGTTCGGGGCCCACGCGGTCTGGCTCACTGTCCTGACTGGGGCCCAAGTCCACACCGAGCCGGCGCGGCGGCAAGTCTATTCCGCCTCAGGAGCGGCCTGCTGTGTGCCTCGGCCCAGCCTGCCCAGAAACTCACACCAGGTGGGCCAGCGCCCAGCCACGCGCCGCCGCGATGGGCGGTTCAGGTGTCTCAGCTGCTGCTTCACGCTCCCCAAGCATACCCGTACCCAGAGCTCCCACAAACACCTCCCGGGGCTGCCCTCCAGGAGCCCCATGGCTTTGCAGCCCCCGAGTCTGATCTGCCTCGCACCCGGCTCTGTGGGCAGGAGGTGGGAGCATGTACTGCGAGAGGGTGCAGTGGCCCGCGGGAGGCCCCGGTCCCAAGGCCAGAGAACCACAGAGGGGGCACAGCGGGCGTGGGGGCGCAGCACTCTCTGCACTGGGCGGGGTGAAAGCCGCGGTCGAGAGGCAGCCGAGAGTCAGGAGAGGTTTCAGGAGTGCCCGACCGTCCCCAGGGGTCCGACAATGGAGAACTCCGCGCTCGGCCAGGTCGGAACCAGTGTCATTTAAACGTGCAGCCCGGGCACTGCCGAGTTGTGACGGCAGCTCCCAGGCCGGGGGCAGCGTTGGCCTCTGTGGGAGGCAGGCAGGGCCGAGCCCCAGACTGACCTTATAGTTGAACCGGCCCCTGGCCAGCCGGGGAATGAGCTTGGCCGTGTTGTAGATGTCATTGATGAGGCCCTCGATGAGCACCAGGAAGCTGTGGCTCCCACCCACCTCCAGGGACGGGCTGAAGTTCAGGCCCTCCTCGTCCAACTCCATGCGGACCTCAAACAGCGGCGCCACGCTCTCCTGAAACAGCAGATGCAGGGGTCACTGCCTCAACCGTGCAGGCCATCGGGGGCTCCTGGCTGGCAGCCTGCACCTCCCCACTTGAGCGAGCCTCCAGACGCTGCGCACGGCGCTGGCCCAGAGCTCTGGGGTGGGCAGTGGGCAGGGCCAGGCCTGGGTGGGCAGGAGCCCTGTTCCCCGGAGATCTAAGATGAGGCTCATCCTGGAGAGGACAGAGACGCCAAATGTCCCGGGCTGTCCTGGTCATTGCCAGGACTGGCTGAGTCAAGGACACAAGCGTGTGCAGCGCGGCGGCTGCCCACCTCCAGGTGCTGGCGCCCCGGCCGCGTTGGTGGCGGGTCCTGGCCGGGCAGGCTGGCCATCATTGTGCCCCGGAAGGACATGGCCTGGGGCCCCTCGCAGCCTCCTGTCTGCATAGACATCGTACACGGAGGCCCTGGCTGGGCCCTGGGGGCTGCAAGGCTGCAGTGTCAGGTCAATGGTCAGGCTATGGGAGGTGGCCCTGGCGCCCCTGGATCCTCCAAGCCAGGGCCAGAGCTCCCGGGGGGCCCTGAAGCCCACACCGCAGCCACTGAGCACCCCCCAAACACAATTCCCACACCAGCTCGTGGGGTGCTGGCTTGTGGGGTGCTGGCTCGAGAGCCTGTAGTTTTCTCTGGTGCTGGAGCGGCCTCAACCTGGCGCACCCTGCAGGGGTGGTGTGCACCACCCCACCAACAGCGCTCAGCGTCTGTCTGGGTGCCAGCTGACTTCAGGGACCGCCTCCGCCCTCCAGCTGTTCTCGGGCACCTCACATGGCCCCCTTCTTGCCTGCCAGAGGCTGGGCGGGCTGGGGTCTTTGCCCCGGCCCTGCGGGCAGCCTTGGGGGACGGCGGGATGAGATGGGCCACACGGCCTCCCTGCCGACGTGGTTCGCGCTTCCACGTGCGCGGCAGCGGGTAGGGGAGGGTAGAGGCAGGAGCGCCCCCCGCTGCCCGGTCACCGCACGTGGTTCCAGCGGCCACTGCCCCCCTCCCCGGCGCAGGAGGCTGACGCTGCGTCTGGGTCTGCTCAGCCGGTTACGCTGCGCTGGCTTTAAGGCGGCCGATGTCCTGAGCGCCTGGGGTGAGTGAGGGGTCCCCGATGCAGCACTGGCAGTTCTAAAACTGGGACAAGCGGGTCGCCGCAGGCAGATTTTAACACGCCTGCTTTTTTGCAACACACTGGCGCGTTCTCATCAGGGAGCCGCAGGCCCAGCCGCGCGGCGCTGATGACGCGGAGCCACCCCGACGGGACGGGACGCGCAGGCCGGCGGCGGCCGCTCACGGGCACCACTCACGTCTGCGACCATGTTGTTTATCAGGTAATTCAGAGACTTGCGGATGAACCCGTCAAACTCGTCCAAGACCATGTTGTCGATGTAGCTGACGTACTCCTTCCAGGACAGGCCGGCCGTGTCTGCTCGGAACAGCTCGGCGTTCTCCTGCGGGCAGAGGCGCGGCCCGTCAGGCCCAGCTGGGTCACCTGCCCGTCCGACCCGCCGACCCGGGGCGCGGCCCGAGCCCGCCCTGCTTCGCACACCACACACAGGCCCGCGGCCAGCGTGGCACAGCCTGCCGCCCCCTTCCCGCCAGGGCCGGCTGCTGAGCCTTTCCAGGTCCCCCAATCCACGGCCGCTTGGGTTCCTGGCCCTCTGGCCGTCTACCGCGTGGGCCTGTCGCGGGGCAGTGCCCACTTCATGAGAACGGGATTGGTTTTTCTTTCCTCCACTGTACCTGCAGCGCTCAGCAGTGTTCCTGGGGCACCCCAGGAGCTGGGGGTGGGTAACCTGATGGGTGGGGGTGGGTAGATGGGTGGATGGATGGTGGGTGGGCGGTGGGTGGACTGTGGGTGGGTGGGTGGAAGGCTGGATGAACAGACGGGTGGGCGGGTGAGTGGACGGAAGGCTGGAAGATGGGCAGTTGGGAGGTTTGGTGGGTGGACGGGCGGATGGGCGGACAGGTGGGGAGCTGGGGGCTGTGAGACACGGAGCCTCACGGAGGGCACAAAGGGAAAGTGGCCGTCTGCACGGCAGGCAGCTAATGCTACGCTAACAGGGCAGAGAAGACACAGGTTGAGCCGCGGCGTGGCGCACACGGCAGTGGTCCAGGGGAACGCCGCGGGAGGGGGCGACAAGTCCAAGGGACGGCTCAGCCACGGCCCTGCTGCTTGTGGCTCGGCCCCTCGCCTGCCTCCCCTCCCCCCCGCCCTGTGCCCCTCACCTTGCCCTGACCCAGCTCACACCCCCCGGCGCCCTGAGCCCGCACACGTGCGTGCTGACCCGTCCTCCAGCTCTTCTAGGTAACGTTCCTGCAGGTTAACATTTTCGCTCAGTGGGCCCTTCGGCACTCTCTGGCGAAGGGGGGGCGGGGGAGCTGGAAATGAGTCGGGATGGGCTTTCATCCCTTCAAGCCCTTGATGCTGAGAATAGCTGACTGTGGACCGTCCCCCGCGGGGCCCGCTGGCCTGACGGAGGGTGGCGACCTCCATTTAAGGCCACCCCAGTGATTGGTTCCGTGCACCCAGCAACCCCAAAGCGCTGCCCGAAGACACCCGGGCCCAAGGGAGACGCTTGTCTTTCTCAGGCCGGGCATGTGCCGCCTGCCAGGTGCACCTGGGAGCTGACCTGGGCGCGAGGGTGCGGAGGGGGGCCTGAGGCCCCACCTATGGGAAGCAGGTGGCCTCCAGTGAGCCAGGGCTGCTGCCGCTCGTGCTCCTGCAGGTGCCAGCGGGGCCCTCATGCCCGATGGTCGGCAGAAAGAGCATCTGACCTTGGGCAGCTTGTGGGGTGTCGCCCCCTCTGCCCATGTACGGGCGCTACTCCTGATGGAGGTGCCCCCCACCCCAGCCCCTCACGCTGTGGGCTGGGGTTTCTTCCTGACACTGGTGGGTGGGCCCCCTGCAGACACACACACACACGCACGGACACACGCACAGGCACACACGCACGCCAGCAGGCAGGGAGGTGAGATGTGCGCAGCCCGTGGGAAGGTGTCAGCTGTCTGTGCTGAGGGTGCGCGGGGCCCCGCGCCCTGAGAATGGGGGGGCAGACACGTAACAGGCCTGGACTCCAAAGGGCACCGTTAAGCGGCTGCTGTTTCCGAGGGGCACTGCCTCGGGGTGGAGGCGGCGGGCTTCTGTCACCTCTAAAACTGCCCCCCTCCCGGGCCGGGGGCCCCAGGGCCGCGCCCTTACCGCCACCATGGCCTGGACCTTCAGGCCGGCCTCCCTGACCGCCGCGTAGCGCCGGTTGAGGTTCAGCGTCCTCCCCTCCAGGTCCAGGAGCGCCTCCTTCTTGTTGTCCTTTCTTTCAAACAAGGGGTTGGCCAGACAGTCCTGGGGGGAAAGGCCAGATGCCGCCCCGCGTTGGCCGCGCCAACACACGCTCGCCCTGACCTCCCCGAGGCCCGCTGCCCAGAGCCCGCGATGTGCGACCGCGCGCGACACCTACTCGTGCGGGACCTGCAGCCAGAGCAGCCCCCCCGCCTTGAGGTTGTCTTCTTTGGGGGCGCTCCTGCTGTTCTTTCGTTTTTGCTGTTTTTCCTTAAAAACTACAGGGCCTTCGCTCCTGTTTTCTGTGGAGATTTGGCTCACGGAGACACTGCTTCTGACTGAGCGTACCAACGCGGTCTAGCAGCTCAGCCTCAGGTGATGGAAAAAAGGACAAAGTGCCTCGATTCCCGTGACCGCGCTTAGGGCCTCTAGGCCCCAGGCCCCTCTGCCCTCCTGATTCCAGCCATTGATCACGTTCATCGCCACAGGCACCGCTTGACTGTACACGTTGTGAACACGTGTTGTTTTGACCCTGTTCATCTCTTGCAGCCACGGTAAGTCATTTGCTCTTCTGTGTCTTTAGATTTAATTGCTTCCGGGGCTCGCGCAATTTTTTTTTTTTTTTAATTCTCCTCTTGGTGCTCTTGAATGAGGTTGACCTCTTGCTGGCCTGGAACGCACCCTGCAGTAGGCTTCGCAGGAAGGGCACGCACGGCGTGGCTCTAGCCCAGGCCTGTGTGAAGATGGCGAGACTGCAGGCTCGAGGTGACAGCTTCTCAAGGCCGTGCTCGCGGCTTTGCGGCTGCCCAGGGCCCCGTCTTGTGAAGACCGAAGCAAAGGACGGCTTCTTTTGTCTCTTTGCAGGATTGATCTCGTGCTTGGTGGAATGATGTCGGTTATCGCCCTGTGTCCTCAGGACTGGAGACGGAGTATCTCCCCATGTCTGCGCACTGGCGGCATCGTGGTCCTTTAGTTTTGATATATTGATGGAGAGAGAATGCAAACTTGACTGCTTTCAAAAAACAGGATAGAGGGCCTCCCCGGTGGCGCAGCCGTTGAGCGCTGGGTTGCGAAGCTGCCCGCAGCCTCTGCAGCGCCGGTTCGATCCCCGGCTACTCCCCGGCCACCGGAGGAGGGTCCCACATGGCGCGCAGACCTCTCCTGCCGCCCGCTGCTCCCCTCAGCAGTGTCCTTCGGTCCTTCTGCCTGCTCTGCTCCCCGCTCTGGCTCTGGTGAATTCTCTCACCCTCCCGCGCTTCTGACTGTACCCAGTGCTTGTATGAATAAATAAATAAATAAATAATCTTTAAAAAAATAAAAAAGATAGAATTACATGGTAGACACTGCAAATTAAAGGAGAGGCATTTGAAAGCCTTTCTGGACACACTGCTGCAGATTTGGGTGCCGAAGCCAGCCATGGGGAGGGGCTGAGTCGGGCTTGGAGGGACCTGCGCCCGCCACGGGCAGCGAGCCTGTTCCAGGTGGGGCCGAGTCTCAGCGCATCCTTCCTCCTCCTGTCTCGGTGCCGACCCGCATGGAGGGGCCCTGCGCACACACTTGCCGAACTCCACAGACAGGGACAGAACTGAATTCTGCAGAGCGGCCGCGTCTTCCTGCGTTGGGGCCATCTTGACCTTGTCCAGCCCAGACCCTCAACAGCAGGTCCCTGCTGCTGCTGGCACCTTCCACGAGCCTCTCCATGCGCCCCTGCTCCCCAGGGCCCGCCCTGCAGCTCCATGCAGGCCCCCCTCTGTGCCGTGCCGGGGCTCACCTTCATGACCTGGGAAATTCCGTCTACATTTTGCTTTGCTTTCTGTATCCTGTTCTGCAGGTTGTGTAGAACTTCTCGCATTTCTTGAATGTATTCAAACACACCTGCGTTTGAAGCGTAAAGGAATCTTACACAAGGAGCGGCCAGGCAGGTGAAGACCTCCCCAGGGCTGCTGGGCAGGCACAGCCGGGGAGCTGCGCTCGAAGATGCATCTATTCCCTGGAGTAGGAAGAAACCGCAGGGAGCTCCTGGGGTGAAATGCCGAGGACTTGGACCTCCTGTCTGGAAGGACTTCTGGCCCAGGCAGGCGGACCCACCCAGGAATCCAGGCTCCCGTGTGCCCGGCCATCCGCCCACGGGCAAAACCCTGGAGACATCTGAGGTCTTTACAGAGCTCTCGGTGGCCTGGCTGGGGGCAGAAGGGAGAGAAGCCCATTCTTTTTTACATGGAAAAGTCCAGAAGGACCCGGGTTTCAGGTGAGTGGACAGTCCCACTTTGTAGTCAGGATGGTGGAGGCTGGAGATGGCAGAGGAGGGCTGAAACGGTGGCAAAAGGCAGGTCAGAGGGCCTCAAGGAGGGGCGAGGCTCGGAGGCGGCGCCCACCCGGAGGAGGGCTCTGGGGACTCTGGAATGGGCCAGGGGTCCTCGGCCTGGTTCCGTGCGGTGGTGGGACAAAAGGAGGCACCACTTTTCCCACTTCTGCCACATCCCCCTGCCCACTGCACCCTGTATCCGCCCCGCACCCTCCCAGCCCGCGTGGGGAGGCCCCCAGAGCCCTGGCCTCCAGCAAGTCCAGCCTGATTCCCGTGGTAAGTGACACAAATGGGCTCTTGGACCGGGAGAGCTGGGGGAGCTCTTCTTTAGCTTTCAACTTCACCGTGCTGAGACTAGAAAGACCCGCCAGCCAGGGCGGAGGCGGCCCCGTCCGCGGCCAGGGCGGACCTCCAAAGCCCGGCCACAGGACGAGCGCGGCCTGAGTACCTTCGCCGTTCCAGAACAGTGTGGTCTCAGCGCTCAGTAATTTCACATCGATGGCTTCCAGCTCTGCCCTTATTAGTGGGAATTCTACGTCCAACACGGTGGTCTTTATCTGTAAAGCAAAGGCTGCAGTTTCAGGGCCTTTGCGCCCAGTGAATTGTCCCGAGGAAGGATTCTCATTACCCCGAGCCAGCCGGCCCAGGGACATCAGTGTTACTTGACTGGGAAGTAAATGCACATCAAATTTCAAGGAATTTCAACCTCTGAATTTCAACTTCAACTTTTCAAATAATTTCTGATCACCAAGGAAGGGCTGATGTGTATATTAACTCTTAGTGACCCGTGTTGCGGGCAGAAAGGGAAGGAAATCCTGTAAGGAAAAAGCAGGGTGTGCAAAGAGTGTGTGTATAGTCCAAAACTTTTTTTTTTTTTAAAGATTTATTTATACAAGAGCTGGGGTACAGACCAGATGCGCGGGAGGGTGAGAGGATTCACCATAGACAGAGCGGGGAACAGAACAGGCAGACAGACTGAAGACACTGCTGAGGGGAGCAGCGGGCGAGACAGGAGAGGTCTGCCGCGCCATGTGGGATTCTCGCAGGCCGGCCGGGATTGAACTCGCGCTGCAGAGGCTGCGGACAGCTTCACAGCACGGCGCTCAACCCGCTGCACCACCGGGGAGGCCCAGTCCAAAACTTTTTAAAGTTTATAGTCCCCAAAAGAAAATCAGAGAATACGCAAAGGTGATGGGGGATTCCTTGGACTAGGGCCTCCCCCTGGCCACAACTCTAATGTTCAAGTTCTGGTTCTGCAAAGAAACCCAGTGTCCAGGGGTGAGTTACTAGCGAGCGAGTCGGAGCAGACAGCTGTGAGGGCGCCAAACAGTTGACACAGCTGTTCCCGGCGCTGGGAAATGAATGCAGTGCTCGGAGACCTCAATTCCAAAACAGGCCGTGGGGTGGGGGGCGGGCTGTATGCAGGCTTTATAAATTATTCCTGTAAGTAACAGGCCCCCTTTGAGGCTTGCAATGCTACGTCATCTAGCCGCAGTTGGGCTCGTCACCCCTAGACACCGCTCCTCTGGGAAGTGAGGGAGGCACACAGAATGGACACTGTGCCTCAAGCATCTAAAGGTGATGGTTGTGACAGGGCCATGAGCCAAGGGGTGCAGGCGCCGCTGGCAGCTGAGAAAGCAGACTCTCCGGGGCCTCGAGGAGGAAGCAGCCCCACCAACACCTCGCTTTGATCAGAAGGGACAGATTTAGGGCTGCTGGCCCCAGGACTGGGAGGTCATGCTGGGGTGTTAAGCATTGGGTGTGCTGATTTGCACACAGTCCTGTGCAGTGTCCACTCCTGGCCGGGCCTGCCTGCTGTGGCTGGTGGCAGGGGGTGGGGCGGGGGTGTGGACGTTTTCCAGGATCTGCGGGCAGGACTGTAAAACGGGGGTGCCCCCAGTCCATGGCTCTGGGGCCCCTTCTGATTACTAATTCAGCCCCCGAGGGTGTCCCCCGGGGTGTCCTCTTGCCAGGAGGAGGGTGCTCTGAACCAACCAAGCTCCAAATGTGTTGCTAAAGGGCCTGTCTCCCCAGGCTAATCCATGCCCGGGCCCATATTGTCCATCAGCCACTCGTGGTCACGTGTCTCCAGCCCCAGATCTGACCCAGGACAGAAGTCAAGAGAGAAAGGGGCTTCTTGGCCACAGAGCTAAGGGTGGCCCCCTGCACCTCCTGTACCCCCAGCCCCCCCCCCCCGGGCACCTCTCAGCTCATCCGGAGGGTGGCACATGCACCCAGACTCCTCCCCGAGGCCAGCAGGAGCTCTGCCACCCTCATGGGGCTCCCTGGGGACACAGGAAGCATCCCCATAAACGTGGCCTGAGCCCGGGTGGCCTGGCCCCTCCGCTTGGGGATCGTGGGGCTCCGGCCGCACTGGGACGTGGCTGCGAGCTCGCTGGGGGGCCCCTCGGAAGCCCACGCAGGGCACCTCACCTCGTTGTACCAGCCCACTATGAGCTCCAGGTTGCCCACAAACTTCCGGAAGGTCTCGTTCTGTGAGAACAGGTTCTCGGCGCTGTTTGGAATCTCTTTCTGTTGCTGGAAGTTCAAGTACTTGACCTCTCTCAGGACGGCCACCAGCTGAGGCAAAAGGGAACCCCAGGAGTGCACAGGGCCCCCCAGTAGATAGCACCTTAGTAATGCGGGGAGGCCTGTCTGAAGGGTCCTGGGGGGCAGGGGCTGCAGGCAGCGTCAGAGCATCTCCTCCCCGCCTGCCGGCCCCCCGCCAAAAGTGCTGGGGGGCCCCGTGGATGCCGGCGTGGACGCTTCACAAATCCCAGTGGTTCAGAGCTGGGGTCCGGGCGTCCCTGGCTCCTCCCGGGTCCCCCCGCCCCTCCCCACTCCCCCACCTGGTCGTGGCCCCAGCAGGCCTCCCTGCCTGGCCCTCCCATCAAGGTGAATCTGCCGTCACTTCACCGCCCGACTCGCTGTCCTTCGGCAGCTGGTCAGCCCCGCCCGCCCGCCCCCAAGGTGCACAGGCCTCTCGGCGCCCCGGACAGGCGGCCTGGTCACCGTTCTGGGGCTCTGTGGGTGCCTTGGCATCTGCAGCGCTGGCTTTTGCTCTCGCTACTCAACCTGTGCTCCAGCGTGGCTGGTGGGCCCTCTCGTCGGGGTGTCCCCTCTGTGCCCCTGCTCCTGACCCAACTCCCGCACCCCCCCACCCCCTGCCCCTCCAAGGGAGGATCTAGCTGGGGCTCCAGCTCAGCCTGGCCAAAGCGCTCTGTCTGTCCTGCCCTGGTGCCCGTCCGCCCGCTGCCCCCGCCAGGCCCACCTTCCGCTACCAGCCCCAGCACTGGGGCGACCCCCTCTTCCTGGCAGCCTCTGCCCCATGATCCAGTGCGGTCGCTTCTCACACCCTCCTGCTGCCTCTCTGCTCTGCCGCCGCTGCGCCAGGCCGCCTGGGACACCTCCACCCCGGGGCACACTTCTACCCTCTCACCCTCGGCACCCACAGGGTGTGAAAAATCAGGTCCTTAAGATCCTCTGTGATGACCTTGAGGGTCTGGGGACAAGCCCGAGGCCCGGGGCTGTGGGGCGCCCTGCACTGGTCCTCCCTCCTCTGCTGTAGCCCCTGGCCTGCCCCCTGGGCACTCCCCATGGGCTCCAGGCCTGGGGAGCAGGCGGCTCCCCACCGCAGCACACAGGCCCAGTCAGACAAAACTTTTGGGGAAGAGGAGGCTGCAGAGGTGAGGTTGCACTAGTTCCCCACCTTCCTTGTCCCCCACAAGCAGCCAGACCCCCCTGGGCTCCGCACAGGCCCACTTCCCCAGGGGTTCTGTCTAGCTCGCCAGACCTGACCACATTCCCCCAGGCTTTTCCCTTTGTGTAGCTGTACCCCTGGCACCCCCTCCAAACTACTCCCATATCAAAGCTTCCACTAAGGGGAGCAAACATCACCCCCAGTCTGCTGTAGGCAGAGGGGTCAGCCTCGGTGGCCCTGGGGTGGGCAGAGCCTCTGGGCCTCACCCCCTCCCCCAGCGCAGCTCAGGCCTGGCGGGCACCCACCTCCCTGCTGAAGTTGACCCGGATGAGGCTTGTGGTGGGGTCCCGCTGGATCAGGGGCTGGCCCAGGTTGAAGCGGCAGTCCTCGTCCACCCGCGCCACCCACTGCCGGTAGATGTCCTCGCGGTAGCTCCGCAGCAGCCCCATCATCTCGTCGTGCTTCTGGTAGATCAGCTCGGCCTCCATGCTGGACATGACCCTGGGACCGGGATGAGACGGAGGGACTTTCTAATGCCCACGCCACGGCGCCAGATCTCGGGGTGCAGAGGCAGGCAGCCAGCTTTCTTTTGCTTCCCGGCCCCAAGACTGAACAGCCCAAAGGGCAGAGCCCTGCACCTGCAGCCGCCTGGCCAGACGCCACACAGCAGGCCTCGGGACTGGGCCCGAGCGGCAGGGCTGCGGCTCTCTGCCAGCCCCCCTGAGCGGCCCCGCCCAGGAATGCCCCCCAGGGAGTCACATGTCCGCACCACTTCTAAGTCGCCCCCACCCGCCAGCCAGCAGCCTCCCCCAACAGCCCTCTCATAGTTCTCTAGAAGCTTCCTTCCCTGAGCCCGCCTGAGAGCCTGCCCAGAGCCGTGGCGGCTGACGCCCGGCTTTGGGGAGCTCTGGTTCTAATGGGGGGTGCTCTTCATTTCTGCCAGGCTGACCAGCAAGGGGGAGGTCAGCTAGGTTCTTCCTGACCACGTGGGCCAGCGGACACTAGGATGGTGGGGGGAGGTGCGGGGGTCTCTCTCGGAAGGTGCCTCGGGGGCACAGGCCTGGTCGGTGGGAAGCGCAGGGCTGCCCCCCCAGGGGGCGCCCCCAGTCCCACTCACGGGTGGTCGATGAGTTTCAGGTCCCTCAGGGGCGCCTCCAGCCTCTCCTGCAGCTCCAGGCTCCACTTGAGCTGCCCAGCCACGGGGGACATGTTTTTGTGGATGGGGGGGCTGCTGCCGTCCGCGGAGGCTGCCAGCTGGGCGTCGTACAGGACCTTGGCGCTGTCCAGCTGAGCGTCGAACAGCTCCAGCATGACGGTGTACCTGGGCGCCACCTCGGCGAGGATCAGCGGGCGCTCCAGGAGGCCCCCGCACATGTACAGGAGCTGGCGGGACAGGAGGGGTGCGCCTTCGCCGGGTGCCTGACCATGCCGTGCCAGCACACACGGGAGCCCGGAGAGACGGACATGAGCCCCCTCGAAACAAACGGGGACTTTAACCCCCGTGTGGACGCACGCGGGTCCCCGGGCCCTGGGCTCGTAAAGCAGCAGCACAAACCAGACCCAAGATTTGGAGAGACTTATTCCAGGCCCGGGGGGAATCAGGCTTTGGGCAAGAAAAGCAGGACAAATTGTTTAAACAGCCACGGAACTGCGTCAGCCTCCAGGCTCGTGCTGTCTCCAGGGGAGAAACACAGATGGAGGAGCAGGAGCCGGGGCACCCCTCTTAGGAGGGGCCCTGATTCTCCAGGACCCACCAGCAGGGTCACCACCTGGGGGAAGTTTGTTCCGCTCTGGAAAGGGCTGTGGGGTGGGCAGGGAGGGCCTCGGGCCTCTTGCCCTTCCCCGGGCCCAAGTGTCTGCTCTCGGGAGCTGGTGCCCTGGGTCCCCCTGAAGGCTGGGGGCCCTCTCCCAGCTCCCAGGAGGAGGCTGGGGACAGTCCCTGCCCCTCCTCACAGGCCCTCGGCGTCTCTGCTCCCCACCCCTGCCAGGGGGCCTCGCTGGCCCTTCTGCGCAGCCCGGGCATCACATGGGGAGCGGCCTCGCGGGCTTAGCCCTCCTGCGTCTTCCTCCTGCCTCTCCCTTCTTCTCGTGTCCACGTGGTTTTTGGCTCCTGGGGAGGAAGCTCATTTTATTTTCTGCCAGGAGGAGCTCATGCAGAAAATTGTTCTAGAACTCTCCTGGCGGTGTGAGCTACTGGCAGCTTGGGGACATGGCCCTGGGCGTCCTCACTGGCACACAGGTGGACAGAGAATCATGTTCTCAGAGAAACAGGACAGATGGGGCCGGAGACGGTCTGCAGGGCCATGTCCTTCCTGCTTTTCTTGCTAATCTACCCGGAGTAAACGTTAGAGGCTTTGCCTCCAAAGATGGATGCGGGGCCACAAGCTTGGGGAGAGGGGCCGGGATGCCTGGGAAGCCCTGGGGTCAGAAGGTGTGCAAGTCTGAGCCCCTCGCCTCCCGGCCGCTCCTCCCGGGCCTCCCAGGCCCTCCTCCCCCGCCTGGGCCTCTCAGCCGCTCTCTCCTCATGGGGGGGCTCAATCCACAGGGGCCACGCTGGCTTCTTACTGCCCCCCACCCAGCGGGTCACCATGGGGACAGGTGCTGCTTTGGGCACCAACAACAGACCAGCGTCGTTCCAGCAGGGGCCTGGGTGCTGTCCCCTCCACTGGGCCCTTTCCAGGAGGTGAGGGCACTAAGGCCTGGCAGGCGCCGGATGGTGTCTTAATCTGGAGACCCCATCCCAGGGGAGGACCCAGAGTTTGCAGTGTCGGAACTGAGTGGAAACCACTGCTCAGGTGCCTGCCACCTCTGGAGAGCCCTGGAGCGAACGCCCGCTGCCCCCACCCACACGCCTGGGAGTGAAAATGTCTCCCCTCAACCCAGTGACAACTCAATGGCAGGGAAAGCACCTACTATGTGCTGAGCACTGTTCTGAGTGAGCTCAGAGCAAGCGTCTGCCCTCAGGGGGCTTATCCTCTGGCTGGGCAGACTGTGAACACGAGGTCAATGTCTGGGCGGGCCAGGGCTCAGCAAGGGTGGGGAGAAGGTGCTGATGCAGCCCCTGGCAGAAGGTGGGAGGAAGCTGCTTGGGGACTGTATTAATTTGCATCCATTGGTGGCGTGCCTGGAGCGCCAGCTCAATCCAAGCCCTAACTGATGGCTGCATTTGCACATTGGCAGAGCTTCAAATTCCCCCGCATTTGCATTTTCAAAAAGAGTCTCTCAAAGGCAAAGGAAACCCTGACATTTGCATTGGAGAGATCTTCAGTCTCAGCAGGTCTCAGGTGGGAGGCTTCCTGGGTCCCCAGCTCAGTTCCAGGAAGCCCCACCTTGACATCCTGCAGAGGCTGGGCTGCCTTCCTGCTGCCAGGGGCCTGCAGGGCCAGGGCTGCAGCGCTGCCCAGGCCGGGCTCCTTTCCTTGCTGGCTGGCTGTGTGGCCTTGGGCAGCTCCTTGACCAGTCTGAGCCGGTAAAACGGGATGGACAACGGAAGTGGTGAGTTTAGCCACAAGCTTGGGTTCTTGTGAGAATTAAACGAGATGAATAGTGGGCCTTAGCCAGAGCTTGGGACCTGCGGTCCTGGAGTCATGCCCGCATGTCCCTGAGGGCACCGCAGAAGCTGCTGTGGAACCAGAGGCCTGCAAAGGCTCACAGCCCCCCGAGTCTGCATACAGTCAGGACAGCGGGGCCTGTGAAGAGGAGCCACACCCCCACGCCTCTCTCCCGGTGGAGACAGGAGACAGGTTCAGATACTAACAAAGAACAAGACAGTAGCAGCTCCCACAAGGACTAACCTCTGCCCGTGTCACAGCCCCGTGGACAGCAGACCAGGCCGGCCTGGCAGCTCCGGCCATCAGGCGCCTGGGGCTCCGCACAGCTTGGTCGTGCCATTCTCCACAAGTGCAGCTACCTTATAGTCTAAGATGGCTGCTGCAGCTCCCGCCACTGCATCCACATCCCGGCAAGAGGGAAGGGCAGGGGTGCTCCTTGCTCTTTTTAAGGGCACCCCAAGACTGGAGCCCACTAATTTCAGTCACACCACTGGCTAGATTCTGGGGCCAAGTCCAGCTGCAGAGGAGGCTGGAAGGGAATCTTTGGCCTGACCCTGGGTGCACGCCAACGCGGCAGGTGGAGACTGGGGGCAGTCACCATCTCTGCTACCTGAGACGCTGTCGGGCGCCTAAAACAAAAGGGAGGCTCTGAAGAGCCCCCAGAGAGAACAGGGCAGGCACTTGTAAGAAGTGACCATCGCAGCCGGGGGTGACCGGCAGCGGCCCTTCTCAGTGTCACCAGGAAAAGGCTGTCAGCCAGGCGTGCCCGACGAAACTTCCAGGATCTGGGATAAAACCAAGATATTTGGGGGAAAACCAAAACTGAGAGTTTAACCCTAACAGACCTTCACAAAAGGGACTTGTTGGGCATTGCTTGGGAAGACCGTGACCTTGGACAGTATGTCTGACCCACAGGAGATGGTGGGCAAAGAAATGGCTGGAGAACAGAGACGGCGGCATCCAGAAGGCCGTGGCCACAACGAGAAAGGGGGCGAGAAAGGACGCGGAAGGCCGGCCTGCGAGCGGGGACGGCGGTTGCCAGGTGGCCACTGGCCTGGACGGGGCTGACAGCGCCCCAGCTCTGTTACGTGGGCGCCATGGAAGGTCGAGGAGAAGAGAGCAGACGCTAGCGAGCCCGTCTCGCCGCCGAGGAACTGGAGGAGAGGAAGGAACAGCGGCGTGGGGGGGTCTCACAACCAGAAAACAAGCAGGAAAATGAAAAACGGAAAAAGCAGAGCGAACAGAGTGAACTGCTCACCGTGGTGTGTTTGCAAGCACCGGACGATGCAGGTCACCACGGGCAAGAAGTGCCGTCGCCTGGAAGCTCGCCCCGAGGCACAACCACGGTCGCTAATGTGGGGCTTTTCAAGTCCCTCCCCTGCGTGCAAACACTTCACTCGTCGCACCTCTCCCGGGGGGCGCCCACGAGGGCACTCACTTCCTACCCTGACGCTAAGATCTGGCAGAAACCCCGCCAGATGCTTCTCTGGGCACTGGTGGCCCACGCGCTCCGAGGCCAGGAGGAGGCCAGGCCTGTGGGGCCCCGGTCTTCACCTCCAGGCCAGCCCTCTCGCCACGCGGGCACCTTGGTGCTGCGGTCACAGGCGCGGTCAGCCGGCCCGGCCTCCCTACCTTGGAGTTGGACTCGATGGACTTGCAGTCGTCGAAGCCCTGGCAGAAGATGGTGGCGAGCCTCCGGTCCAGGTCTTGGATTTTGGTCTCAAAATCAGCATAATCATCATCAAAGCTCTGAAGGCGAAGAACGTCAGCCTCCTGTCATCTGCGCGGCCAGGAGCTGACGCTCACGCCCAGCCCGGAGGCATCTGCGCCTCCCTGCCCCGAGCACCTGCCCTTGACCGGGCCCAGGCCCCGACTCACCGAATCTTCGGGGTCCAGGGGGTCGTACTTGCATTCGGCAAACACCCTCACCAGCTCAAAGACCTCCTCGTAGATCTGCGCCACCTGGCTGCCCAGGATGTTGCCCTTCACGCCCCCAAGCTCAATCTTCTCCAGCTTCAGAAACTCGATGGCTGTTTTGTAAAGATCCTGGTAGAGGAAAACCCACGACGCTCAGCTCACCCTGGTAACCCAGCCTCTCCAGTGCTGACTCACCCTGACGCCCCGGAGAGGAGCAGCAGTTAGAAACGGTTTGAACCGGTTTGATCCAGTCAGAACTGTCCAGTTTTAACTAAAATGATTTGGTCAGAATTGGTTTGAACTAGCTTTCCAGTCAGAACTAATTTGAATTGGTTTTATATGGTCAGAACCGATTTGAACCCATTTGAACTGGCTTTATCCAGTCAGAACCAGTTTGAGCCACTTCTATTTTGACAGAGCTGGTTTGAACTGATTTCAGCCAGTCAGAACTTGTTTGGAATGGTTTCAGAAGCGGTTGGAAACAATTTTATCCAGTCAGAATAGGTTTGGGCCTCTCTGAATTGGTTTTATCCTGTCAAAACCAGTTTCAGCCACTGGAAACTAACTTTAGGTCAGAACTGATTTGAACCAGTTTCATCCGGTCAGTACTGGCTCCAACTAGTCAGAACTGGGTTGAACCAGTTTCACCTGGCTATAACTGGTTTAAATGTCTTGAACTGGTCAGAAACAGTTTGAACCGATTTGAACTGATCAGAACCGTTTTGAACCAGTTTCATTTGGTCAGAACAGTTTGAACAAGTTTGATTCCGCCAGAACCAGCCACAACAGGTTTTCTACCGGGATGATCTGGTCAGAACTGCTTTGAACCAGCTCTCTAGTCAGAACCAGTTTGAATGGTTTTGAACTGGCTTTATCCAGTCAGAATTGGTTTCAACTGATTGGATCCAGTAAGAACCGGTTTGAACTGGAGGCCTGACTGAATGCCAGGATCTAGTCCTGCCATGACTAGGTGCAAGAGCTGCCTGCCTGGCAGAGGTCAAAGACAGGAACAGAAGGAAAACTAGCGTGGGTGGTGGAGAGACGGCCTTGAAGGAATCTTGTTTTAATCCCAAGCACAGCGGGCAGCCGAGCTGAAGCTGTCTGGGCGCGGCCTACGCTGTCCCTCTGAGACCATCTCAGGGCAGGCTGAGAAGGAGGCGCAGGTGTCCTGCGGCAAGATCTAGATGAAGCAAATGCCACTTGTACCTCAATGGTCTGGACGCGGCGGAAGAAGGAATTCATTCTGGAAAATGCAAGCGAAGAAGGGAATTCCCAGGGCATCGGCTCCTTGTCCTGCTGTGGAGAGAGGACGGCCGAGCTGGCCTGAGCACCTCCACCTCTGCAGGTGTGGGGGGCAGCCCCAGCCGGCCCACCCTGAGCGCACCTTGAAGAAGAGCTTCATGTTGGCGCAGCAGAAGTTGTAGGTCTGGTAGAGCCTCTGCAGGACTCTCACAGACAGTGAGATGCCGCTGAGCACCTCCTCGATCTCCCCCTGCAGGCCCTTCAGCACCTCCTCCGGGCTCAGGAACGATCGGGTCTGGGGTGCAGGGAAGGCGACACCGTTCCCACCGGCCACGGGCTGCCTGGCCCTCGGGGGCCTCCACCGGCACTGACCTGGGTTCCCGTCCCAGCCTCCCCCCACCACGGGGACTCATGGGGACCAGGCCCTGCCCCCCTGCTCAACCGTCTCCTGGCCAGGGGTGAACTAGGGGCCCTCCGGGGCTGCGTCTCAGCCCTGCTTCGGGCCCAGCAGCCTAGGCCTCCAAGCCAGGGCCGCAACCCCAAGTCATGTGCTCGTGGAAAGGAAGCAGAGGGGACTCTGCTGGGCGTGGGCCAGACGGGCCCCCTTGCCTTGGGGTGCCGGCCCTGGCTCTTCCTCTTCTCCCTCCCAACCTGGGGCGCGGCCGGGTCTGGGGAACACACTCAAGAGCCCTGTACCAGCACCTTTGCCACAGGCTAAGCTGCGGGAGGGACACGGGTGGGATGGTCAGAGCAGAAATGGCGGGGGGTGGGGGGCGGGTTGGCGCAGGGCCTGGCAGGGGCTGGCGGGGGCAGACAGGGCCGCAGCCCGGGCACTACCATCTCGATGAGCTGGTTGAAGAACTCCTGCAGGATCACAATGATCCGGGAGGGCGAGTTGTAGTGCTCGGAGGTGGCCCAGATGAAGCAGATGGTGTACAGCACTTTGGTGATGTAGGTCGGCAGCTGGGGAGATTCCCCGCGGGCGCTTGGTCAGGTGCCGCCTGGTGCCTTGGCCTGGCGTCGGGAGGGCCCCCAGGACACGGAGCAGGTGTCCAGGTGCATGCACTGACCACCGCCCAGAGACCCGCAGCCGCTCAGGCCCCCGGCCCCAGGGACCCCTCTCCCGTGCTCACCGCCGTGAAGTCCACCTGGTCCATCTCCTCCAGCAGGATGCGCAGCGGCTTCAGGTACAGCACGATGTCGTTAGCCTCCTTCAGGCCTGCACGGAGAGGCGCCTGGTACACGCGTAGGCCCAGGCCGGCCCCCCGCACTCCGCTCTGCGCGTCAGCCCCTCAAGAGGCAGGTCTTGCTAGAAAGGTGGGGCTGGGGAGGTGGGCGCTCCCGGGGTGCACGGGGCCCCCTCGGCATCCTCGGGGCTCACCTTCGGTGATGTTCGTGTATACGCTCTGCAGGGCCGGCCAGTAGCAGCTTTTGGCTTTTTCCAGGATCTCGACGATTTTGTTCACTCTGGGCCTGTTCAGCTGCGGGGAGGGGAGCATCAGCCCTCCTGGAGGAAGGAGGGCCGCGGGTCGGGCCGCACGGGAGCTTGGAACCCCCGAGCTGAGCCCCAGGGGCAGGGGTCACCTGCTCGTGGATGCACTTGAGATTGGTCAGCCGGGCCTCCCAGAACTCAAACTCCACTTGGGGCAGGGGGTTCAGCCCGTCCAGCAGGGCCTGGGCCGAGTCTTTGCTCAGCACGTCCCTGATCTGGTGGGACCAGTCGATGACGATGGTCTCGATGGCGTGCAGGAGCGTGTTGTCCAGGGTCGAGATCCTGTGGAAGGCGAGTGTGATGGACCCGGCGTGTGGCCTGCGGTCTCCGTGCCTGGAGGGACTGCCCCGCCCTGCGGCCCTCAGCCAGCCCGCCCGCTGCCAACAGCTTGGGGTACCTTGGGTTCCTCTTGGCCGCCCGGGGGGATGGAGAACCCCCCACGGCACCCAGCTGTGAGGGACCCTGAGCTGACCACGGGGGTGTGATTGATGTGAGCACCCCCAAGAAAGAGGAGCAGGACCAGCTCTGGGGTGGGGTCCAAGCTGAGATGGCTCCTCCCTGCAATTCTTGTGAGGGTCATATGGGACCCATGTTAGGGGCTTAGTGAATGGCAGAGCCTGTGCAATGAGCCCCCCAAACCCCAAAAGCAGCCCCTCTGTGTGAGTAGATAGAAGTCACACTAACAGCCCCACAGCCTTGGGCAGGTGCAAGGGACCCTCAGGTCCCCCACTTCCCAGACCTCTGTTTAGAGCTGCAGACCCCCGAGGACCAGTGAACCACCTCCCAGGCCCTCACTGCCCCTCTGTGCCACGTGCTGTGTGACAGTGTCACCTATGATGCTGTGGTATGGCTGGTCTGGTACACGTGTTGACAGGAGTGGGGAGGCTGCAGGGCTGGAAACGGGGGGCTCTGGTGGCCCATCCTGGCCGGCCCAGCAGTGCTGCAGGCCCAAGCGGTGCTGGCTGTGGCTGCCTACCTGTTCATGGACTCCAGCGGGCCATCCAGGCTCTCCAGGTGCTCTGGGATGGGCAGCAGCGTCTTCCCCTTGATCTTGCCCCCCATCACAAACATCTCGTTCTTCAGCTTGTGCACCTGCTTCACGATGTCTTCCGACACCACCCGGGGCCAACCGACCATGTTTTCACTTTGGTTTAGCAGCGAGTACAGCACCTAGGAGGAAATGACCCCCTGGATCTGCCCGTGCCTTATGCTCGGGGACCCTGGAGAGGGGGGTGCCCTTGTGCCAGAGGCTGCAGAGCCACAGCCTGCTCCAGGCCTCCGCAACCAGGCTGGCAACCCAGCTCCGGGTCACTGCTGTGGGGAGCCAGCCCCACAATGGGGACAGCCCTGACCACACATGCTCTTCTGGGCAAGGGTCCCATGCTCCTGGGGTGCTGTTGGGGCTGAGCTGTGTCCCCCACATCTCCCAGTTCTGCCCCCCCCCCACCTCAGGATGGGACTGTATTTGGAGACAGGGCCTTTCCAGCAGGGACTAAGATAAATGAGGTCACAGGGTGGCCCCCATCTGACGTGGCTGGTGTTCTGGGGAGAAGGTTGCATTGGCACACCAAGGAGCGAGGCCCTGGGGGAGCCACACCGCCCCCAAGACTGTGGGGCTGCTTCTAGCACCCGAATAGGACAAGGCAGCTGCTCTGCCCTCCAGCTCCTCGTCTCCAGGCCTGGGGAGCAGCCCCTGGGCTTTGTGTTGGCACAACCTGGGGTGAGAGCCCCCTGCACAGGTGAGGCTGTGAGGACTGGAAGGCCAAGTCTGACAGCTCAGGTGGGCAGCACCTGCCGTACCTGCCCGAGGCTGGCGCGGAGGAAACAGCAGCCCTCGTCCTTTCATTCTTGAGCCCAAAGGCTCGCAAGCGGGAAGCCCCTCACTCGCCCATGAATGGGCCGCACCTTCCTGGGAACAGGCCGGGGCCTCCAACCAGGTGGGCCCCGCCGGCCTGCAGGTGCACAGCACCCCCGGGCGGCCAGCCCTTCCAACCCCGGGGGGCTGGAGCAGGGCTGGGGGGAGGGGGTTCCTTTGCTGGCAGGACTCGAGGCCATGCCCCGCAGGCTGTGCCCCGCACCCCGCCTCCAGCCCCGCTGCGCACCCGCACCCCGCGCCCACCTCCTCCACGATGGCGATCAGCTGCTCCACGGGCGCGGGCCCGATGTCCCCGTAGATGAGCAGGTCCTTGTAGTTGTTCTTGGTGACGTTGCTGAGCTTTTTCTTGAAGAAGTAGACGCCCTTGGACTTGAGCGTGGCGGGGAAGCCCAGGCAGGGGACCACGGCGCCCGAGTGGTGCAGCGTCAGCACCAGCACCCTGGCCTCGTGCTTGTCGAAGAACTCGGTGAGCAGCGCCACGTTCTCCTCGGCGCCCAGCATCTTGCTCCACTTGTCGGGCTTGAACTTCAGCAGGAGGGTGGCCACCCCCTCCAGGTACTCGGCCCTGACGTCCTGCGCGAGCGCCATGCCGACCTCCCGCAGCGGGCACCGGTCAGCGAGCGCGCGCAGCCCCTTGCCACCTGCCGCAGGCCGTGCGGGGTCCCTGTTCTGAGGGAGGAAGGAAGGGTCCTTCGCCCTATGCTGTTTGTTGCTGGGGGCGGAGGAGGAGAGGCGGGGGATGGGGGAGCCGGGGAGAGGTGTCCGTCCCCCCCCCCACTCCCCCTCCCGGTCAGGCCCCGTCTGTCCTGCTGCAGCGCTGCCCTGTCCCCCAGAGGTGGCCCCGTGGCTCCCGGCCAGACGACAGCGCCTGCCCTTGTCATCAGAGAGCAAACAGGCGCGGAGGCCCCGCTGGGAGTGAGAGGCCGCAGCAGGTCAGGTGGGGGACGGCGGCGGTGGACAGACATGGGGCGGCAGGACCTGGCTGGGCCCGGAAAGAGGCGGCGTCGGATGGGTGGAGCTCACCATGTCTCCCTGGCCTGAGGCCTCCTTAGCGTCCCCCAACTTTTGCCCTGCTTCAGCCTCCCCCCGCCACCAGGTGCCCCAGCAATCCAAGCTCAGACTCCCCGCGGCCTCTGCTGGGGAGAAGGTGCGTGTCCCATCTGGGGCCTCCCCTGGCTGACAGGCAAGCCGAGGCTGGGCTCCGTCGCCGCCGGAGGTGGGGTGCCCCTGCCTGGGGAGCCGGGGCCGTGGGTCTTTGGGGGTGTCGCGGCCCAGAAGCTGCGATTCCTCGGGCCCAGCTCCTCGGCGCTGAAGCGCCCGCGTGGACGCACCGAGCTGGAGTGAGCAGCACCAGCGGGCCCTGGCGGCCCTGACCTGGGAGGGTCCAAGCCCGCGGAGCAGCGCTAGGAGCTGGCGCGGGTTCTGGGGTTTGTTCCCGCCTCCGCCATGATGCGGGCAGGTATGTGCCATGTGCCGCAGGCCCTGGGGGTCGGGAGCAGATGGGGAGCCCCCATCTGCCAACAAAGGGGGCTCACTGGTGCCCCTGAAGGTAGGAAGAGCAGGTCGGCACCCACGGCTGCTGCACCCTCCAGGGCTGGGCCCCACGAGTGCCCCTGCCCCACAGTCTCCCTGGGGCGGCCGGCACCGCCCTCGTCCTACCAGGAGGCACAAGGAGCCCCGTGTCTACGGGCGCCTCACTCTGTTCCCCAAGCTGGTGAATCTCCTGGGGCGTGGGAGCACCCTCTGGGGACTGACTGTGGATTTGGATCCTTCCGAGAATGGTCTGGGGGGAACCGTGCTGTTTGCCCGTGGGTCTCCAGCCCAATTCCCGTCTGGACATTGTGCGGGTGAGGACCAGGAGGTCCGGGTTGACGGTGTTGTCCCGGTGATGCCTCTGGGGAGGGGCCCACTGGGGCCTTGACAGGAGGAAGCTGGGGTGGGGGCTCCCGGGAGAAGCTTGGTCTGGAGCAGCTGGTGTGGGGACATCTGGGAGACGGAGTCGGGAGGGGCCGACTGTGGGCAGACCCCTGACCGGCCGGGCACTGGGTGCAGAGCACCCTGCGGGCTGGTGACGCTGGAACCGAGCCCGCATCTCCTCCCTGCCGTTCCTGTTCCAGTGGGTGATGGGCTGCTGCCCGCAGGGCTGCCCTCAGCTGCGCCCCAGCACCCCCACGCGGTGAAGCCACTGACCAGCTCACGCAAATGGCTCCTCCATCAGACGAGCTGACCGCAGCTCCTTCCCAGGCCAGTAAGGAAATGGCTCCCTTCCCTTGAAGGGGTCCAACTGCCATAGAATGCCCACCTCCCTGGGACTTCTAGAACCTTCTCCTCTGGACCTGCGTGGACAGTCGCCGCACCACACACCTGCACCCTCCCCTGCCTCGGACGCAGCGTTGTAAGGGTGGAGCGGTCTCGGCCTTGCCCTGGAGCCGGGTTCACGTCCTCTGATCACCGCGCGCAGGGTCCAGACGGCTTGTCTTATTCAGGGCTTGCCTGTTCCCTTTCTCAGCCTCGCTTGCCTTCTTCTGGACATGCTCCCCCCACCCGCTGGCTTGGTGATTAGACACCCCCGTCTTTATTCTGGACGCCCTCGCCTGCTCCCCGCCCTGCCGGGGCGGCCTGCACTCTGGGCCAGAGCCAGGACGCGGCCCCTCGCAGCGGCCCCTGGACAGTGAGAGGAATGGCCATTGCCTTGGGCCCCCGTGCAGGTGGAGCTGGCACTGTCTCCCTCCCGCTCTCTGAGGCCACGGAACCGCACCCAGCTTCCTCCCGGCTTCTGCTCCCGGGCCTGCTGCCACCCCCACCAGCCCAGGGAGGGTCCACTGCCCACACCCACCCTGCCTTGGGCACACCCTCCTCCAGAGCGTCTTCCAAAGCGCACAGTCAAATCAACATTCAGCCCAGCAGCAGCTCCTGCTCGAGCAGGGTAGACCCCGAGGCCTGTCACGCGGCCCCGACGCCCTCTCCCCTCCCTCCCAAGCCGACCAGACCCCCACCCCACCCCACCTCACCCTGGGCTCTGGCCTCTGGGCCAAGACACCTGCTCCCAAGGCCTTCCTGCCTGGCCTGGCGTCCTTCAAACATGCTTGCACACACATGCATATACACGTGCACACACATCACTCACGGTGTGTGTGCACACTCACACACAGGCATGCATGCACACACAGCCACACGTGCACGCACATTCATGCTCCCGTGGGCATGTATGCACACTCACACTCACAAGCACATGTCTGCCCGGGCCCTAGCCCAGCCCTGGGCCTCAGCCCGCCCCCCACCCCCACCCCGCTGTGAGCGTCCCTGCGGGCGGCTCCCTCCTGGGCAACACGAGTGCAAGCGGGTGGTCCTGCCCTCTGCCCCTGGCCCTTCACAGCTGCAACTGGCCACTTGTCACGCTCCCGGCAGCACGGCAGGCTCTGGCCACCATCCTGAAGGCACAGCGACCCCGAGGCCCTGCACAAAGGCCTGACCTCTCCTGGCCCCGCGGGCCCCTTGCTTGCCAGCGCGCCCCCTCCTTGAGGCCCGGCCTCTTCTGAGTCTCCAGCTCCAGGCCGAGGTTTGAGCTGATGCCACTTCACCCCGTTTTTCGTCCCCGAGTCTCTGTGACCCTGACACAAAGGGTCCGAGGTGGGTCGTGAAACCAGGGGTTGGGGACCCCCAGCCAAGCACTCCTGACGAGGCTCTGCTGACCCGGAAGCGGGCCTGTGAGTGACAAGCAGAGAAGGGCACTGCTTGCCTTCTGGGGACCCCCGGGTGCCACCTGGGCTAAGGTGGACACGGGCCAGTCTTCTAGGTGCCACTGGGCGCCTTTGGACGTGGACACTCCGTCCACATGGCCTCGGGCTGCCGGTCCTTGTGGGGGCAAAGCTCCTGACTGCCAGAGTGTTGGGGGGAACACTCAGCCGCCAGCTGGGGTCACCAGCCGAGGCTCAAAACTCACTCATTTCCTTGGCCTCTGGCAGCCCAGGGGACCGGCTCCTCCTCCTCCGCCCAAGGCCCCAGGCACTTCCTCCCGATGAATTAACTTGGAACTTGTGTAGGACAATTTCCCCGGCTGGGGACGCTTGCGACAGCGGGCAGGCCATCTGGGGCTGGCTCCCCCACACGCCCCTGTCTACTTTGTTCCGGCAGAGGGGACTGAGGACAGGCAGCCTTTGTCCTCCTGCCCAGGCTGTCCTCGCCCTGGGCGCTGGGTGGAAGGAGGCCAGAGCCCGCCCACCAGCCTGGCCCAGCAGGCCACTGCCCCTCGCGAAGGGGGCGGCGCTGCCAGAGAGCCGGCTCGGGTCACGGCAAGGGCAGGCACTTGCAGCCTGGGACCTTTCTGGTCTGGGGTCTGCACAGAGGACCAGGGGCGAGGCCCCCAGGTGGCCCCCATGGAAATGAGAGGATTGCAAGTCGCTCAGATTAGCGAACAAGATGGGTCAGTGGAAGGACTTTTTTTTTAATGTTTATTGAGGTACATTGATTTACGACCTGTCTTAGGGGAACAGGCCCCCACCACACTCACCACCAAGACACCAGTCATCTCCCAGCGGAGTCCACCAAGCCCTCTCCCCTGAGCTCCCCACTCCCCCTGCCCCTCTCGTAGCCTCCGTCCTACAGCCAGATTGCTAGGGCTTGGGTGGATCTTGTTTTGTCTGCTCCTTTGCTTCGTGTCTTTGTGTTCCGTACGTGAGTGAATCACCCTGTATTTGTCTCTTTCTGCTTATGTTGCTTGGCGGAACTCTCCGGTCCAATCCACGTTGTGGCAGGTGGCAAACCCACCCTTTTGATGGCTGAGTAGTATTCCACCGCGAGTACCCACCACACCTTCTATCCATTCACCCCTGCTTGGCCACGTGGGTGCTTTCCCTGTTGGGCTACTATAAATGGTGCTGTGGTGAATACAGGAGGCCTGTAACCCTCTGAGTTAATGATTTTGTTCTTGTGGTAGAGACCTAGGTGTGGAATCGTTGAGTCATATTGATCCAGGTCAGCAAGGGGCACTAAAACTGGCCAAGGATAGTGCCCAAATAGTTGACCGGTCACTGTCTGAGTTCTTCTCCCACAGGCACACTTGCAAGACCACTCAGGTTCAGAGGACAACAACAATGGGATTCACCGGAGCTGTGTCTGGGGAAGTCCTGAACGCAAAGGCTCCAAGATGGCGCCTTCCCGCCAAGGAGGACGCAGAGCCGTCTCCTGGATGCAAAGGCTCCAAGATGGCGTCTTCCCGCCACTGAGGGCTGGAGCAAGAGGCAGCCAGACCACAGGCCGGGGTCCAGCTATGAGAGAGCAGGAGACACAGCAGGAGCTGCTCCCAGCGCTGCAGACACGACCCAGCGCAGCCCCCGACGGGACACTCAGAGCAGCGGCCCAGCGGCTGCACCCCCGACCAGCGTCCACGCTCGCAGCTCGGCGAGGCCGCTCCTGTGTCCCCGTCCCCGCCACCGCCCGTCCGGCTGTGCAGCAGCCGGACCCGGAGCAGCTTCAGCCGCTCGGCCACCTGCAAAGCCCCAAACTTTTCCTCTCTGAGGTTGGCTGCTGGAAGCCTCTCCTCGTCCTGCGGAGGCCCCGGCGGCCTCTGGGAGATGGGCCCATGGGGCAGGAACGGCCCCCCCAGAATCGCTGAAAATACGGAAACGCTAAAATCCCAAATGCTGAATGGGGGG